AATGAAAAAAAATTAGCACATAAACTAAATTACAGCATAAATAGAGCCCCGGGTATAAAGCTCTCCATTGTGGGAAAAATACTTTTAAGGCCCAGAATATTCAATCATCTAAATGAGTCTTTATCCACCATTTTTAGAGCCCCATTTAGGCACTACCATTGGGCTTGCCCTTATAGCATCTCCAGGAAAGTCTCTAAATTTTAACCAAATTTTAGCTAAAATGGCTTAAAAGCTATTATAGCAAACTACTTAAACATATTTCCTCTAGCAATGTTCTCTATTTTGGTTAATCTCCAATATTATATTATTTCTTAAAATTTAAATATCTTAGTAACTAAAATTAAAATTTCATTACAAAATCAAAAGGTAAAAGGTGAAAGAGGGTGTGGGGCTAGGGAGAGAGAAGAGGAAGAAATAGAGAACCATCAATTTCTCTCTCATCATCTCTAAATGTAGAGAGCCACCAAACTCAAATAGTGAGTTCTCCAAAATGAAGAGTCAGATAGCAAGTCTGCTGGAGCTGCATTTTGCCCTCATTCTCACCAAAATTGGTATGGATCAGAGTATAACAACTATGCTGGAGAGGCTCTTAGTAGTTGAGATATGGAGAGGGAGCTTGACTCAAGGATTCAATAATTTTCAAAAATGCCTTTAGTTGGAAAAGTGTCACTCATGATGTAGGGAATTGTAGGTCTATACTATAATCATTATGGCCTTGGTTCATAAATAAAGGTGAAAATGTACTTGAAACTTTGCAAACTTTTTAATCATCCACTGTGCTGATTTTTTCGGGCCCAATTTGAAATTCTTTGTCCATAAGCATTTTCATACTCTAAGGGAAGAGGAAAATGGGTAAACAAAATACACCTACTCTCCAGCATCTCTAAGGGAAGAGGCAAAAGAGTAGGCAAACCTCATTTATCTTGCTACATCAGCATTTTTATGCTCCAAGGGAAGAGGCAACTGGGTAGGCAAAATATACATACTCTTCCCAACAAGACAATATTGCCTACTTCAAAGTGAAGAGGTATATTGGCCCACACTTGTTTTTTATAATAAAATATCATCTCCACTCTCTCATCCACTTAAAACATAATTGTAAGTGTAAAAGATGACAATAAATAATATAATAATGGTTTGTAGACTTGCATTGCCTAGCTAGTCCTTTGGAGTGACCAACTTTTTTATGAGGCAAATGGGTAGGCAATATGCCACCTAGGTGTTATAGTACAATTTTGCCAATTACATTTGCATACTCCCTTAGAGATGCTCATAAGGCAATATTGCCTACTTCAAAGTGAGGAGGTATATTGGGCCCCACATATTTTTATTATTATAAAATACAATTTTCTTTTGCTTTTTTGTGGTTGGTGAAATGAGGTAAATGTAAAAGATGACAATAAATAATATAATGTTGCATTGCCTAGTTCATTTGCCTAGTCCATTGGAGTCAGCCGTTTTTTCCAAGAGGCAATTGAATAGGAAACATGCCACATCAGTCTATATTAGGGCTGGGCATGAAAACCAGAAAACTGATGACAGGACCGCCTTGAACTCCTTGGAATCCGAGACGAATCCTGTGGTATTTCCGACATCATACTGATGATGGGGCCACTTACTAAAAGAGACAAGACTTTCTGCCAAAATTTCGGCAGAGTCTCCCTTGAAAAATGGACATTCCCAAAATTCTCAACCTGTTAAAAACACAATTATACATCTCAACAGGCAACATGCATAAGATAATATCATGCAGTTAACATCAATGGCCTCCGACCTTACAATCAAACCCTAACATGGGCGACATCATAACATATCTAACATAATTTAGTTCACAAACGAAGAATAAAGTTCAACATAAGTAAAACGATTCAAAGTTTATCCTACATAAGCTCGACTTGGAGTTCGCGACTTGATATGACTGTTCGATTTCTAGACGATCTACTGCCTGGAGGGGGGCAAAACAGAAAAGTGTGAGTAGACAAAAACAAAGTTTCGTTAGTTGAAAACAAAATATAGTTACCCCACCGTTTGAAAAACGATGCAGAAAACATGCACTCAAAACCATCATAGATATATATATATATATATATAGCCACGTCAAAACCACGATGAAATCTATATCTCATAAAGATATCCAAATATCCATCACATACAACACTATTTCCCCAAACCACTCTCTCGAAATGCGTGCCCGTTGGCATGGCAAGCGAGGAAGTATCCTCACCAATAAACAAGACGGAATGGGACTGGGACTAAGCTCACTAGCATGTACAGCAGAATCCTCAATACTCGTACACATGTGACAAGTCCTATGCGCGCAGACTAACCCCGCTAAGGTTCTACGAAACACCCCGTCAAGGGTGCCCAGGTTCCGACTTTTCCAAATATCCTATATCACCAAGTATCCAATTCCAATATTCCAAATCCATTGAGGTACATAGGGTAGTGCTTATAGCACTCAAAACTGACTTAAGCACAACCCAAATCCACATTTAATAAACTCTTTCCAACCACCCATGCACCCAATACATAAGTCCCCTCACAAGTAGTCCTACACTGCTTGACCCTAAGAGGGTCCTGCCTGCTGCGTACGTTGAGTCGAAGTACCTATTTCAGAATACGAGGACTAGATTAACATAAATTTCTTCGAACGAGAACCTTAAATAAAATCCTAGTTTTCACGGGATTTAAATGTGTGTACGATGAACGAGAAGTTCCTAAGGTCCAACTACGTGTTTCGAATGGTGGAATAGCCTTAGGAGACGCTCGGTCAACTAAGTGGTCAAACTTCCCAAATCTGGTCAACAAGGCCCACAACCTCTGATTTCTGATCCAAAAGTTTCTATGGGTTCAACAAGGTTTATTTTACCTCCTACAAGTTTGGTCTGAATCAAACGGTCGGATCACTCGTGATCGCACGATTGGACTATTACCGTTTAACCTAATATTGAATCATTGAATAGAAGCATCCGAGACTCCAATTCACAATCCACTAATTCTTACATGATCCTAGACGTGCCTAGATCAACATATTTGAAAATGAAGTCGATCCAACGGTCCAAACATACCCGGATAATGCCTAATATGCGTAATCTGATCGATAGACAAACGATAACCAAATTTAAATCCGAGCATACCGTCGTGCTCGGGATGGCATTGGGATCATTTTAGGACCAAAAGAGTTACCCAAACAATACCCCACGCGCCGCCACACGCGCCAGTAGCGTGTGGGTGCCAAGAGAAATGTTGTTGACCGAAAAATCTCGAAACCGTCAGTCAAGACCTATACCTATATTATCAGAACAATGAGTGGAACAACTTTTGTTCTTGGACCATGGCCAAAAAGTGACCGGAACTTGCCGGAAACACAAGCCAAAAATTGACCAAACTTTAAGCAATAGATTGAGGTCCAAAACGCAGAAATTGATCCTAATCAACCCAACCATCAGCTAGAACACATTGAGAGGATGAAAAAGCATACCTAGATTGAAGAAATTGGTGGCCGGAATCACTAGAACAAGAGATGTCGGAATCGCCAGAACAAGCGATGGAAGTTTTAAGTAAAAACTAGCCTATTTTTTGCAATTTTCAACTATTGGAGGCAGCGGTTCCGTCGGAGGTGGGATAGGGTAGGAAGAGGAAGTTGCAGTGGTCGTTTTGGTACCAGTCTCGCCGAATTTGTTAGCTGTATGAGGTGGTGATGGCCGTATCATTTTAGCACAGAAGAAAAGGGGGAGAGAGAGAGAGAGAGAGAGAGAGAGAGAGAGAGAGAGAGAGATTTTTAAAAAGACCAATTTTGAAATATTTACAATTATGCCATTATGCTTCCGTTGATTGTAACTTCTTCGTTACAACTCCGATGTGAGCTAACTACGTGTCTACGGACTCATCTCGACACAATCTACATCATGGTGCCATTCACTTCCCCAAAATCCTTCCGGATTAATAAGTGACCAAAATGATCCTATCCTCGAGGGCAAAATTGTAATTTCATAGTTTATTAATTTAATTTAATTAAACGAATACTTAAATTTGGGTAGGGATGCTACAACTGAAACCATGCCAATCTCATACCGTGTTGTTCGTTGTTGCAGTGTAAATGGTATGATTTAGACAAAGAGCCATTAAAGTTTATTGGGAATTTGAATCAAAAGCATTAATAAGTTCAATGCATGAAGGTTTTGTTTTGGCATCTAATAAATTCCATGTATTTGGGATGGAATAGCTAGAGTCATAATTATTTGGATGAGGCTTAATGTTCCTGAATTAATGGTGGTTGTTGATATTGAAATTAAAAACAAAGAGAGTGTTCTCTCATCTTTGCTCATAATCTGGGTATTCTTAGAATTAACGGGTTTGAGTATTTTATTATATCTTTTATAACAAGTTTCGGGTATTCTTAGACCAAACGTTGCTTGGTGGTTCGTGGTTCGTGTTTTCCAACATCCTCGCTCGAGTGTCGCTACATCAGATACCATATCATACCATTTCTGTTTGACACGACACTGGTTTCATATTTCCTGTATTGTTTGGTGTCATACCGTACCGAATAGTATCCATCTTCTCTATTTCTTTATTCTTTTTCATTTTCTCTCTTCTCTCTCCCTATCTCTATCTTTCTTTATTATTTATCCCTTCTTCTTCGTCTCTTCTTCCTCTTTTCCTCTGTTCTTTCTTCCCAGCTGCCCTCCCCACTCCATCCCCATATATCTTCTCCCTTTTTTTATTTTTTTTCCTCTCTACTTTGTCTTCTCTCTCTCTCTCTCTCTCTCTCTCTCTCTCTCTCTCTCTCTCTCTCTCTCTTATTTTCTTCTCTTTCTTCTTTCCCTCCCCATCACTTTCTTTCTTTCCATTACTATCTTTTTTTCCCTCTCCTCTCTTTTCTCTTTCTCTGTTTCTTTTTTCCTCTATTTCATTTCAGTTTTTGTTTTCTCTTTTCAGATCTCAGTTTTTTTTTGTCTTTGTTCATCTTTCTCTTTTCAAGTTTGAAAATCTTGGCTATGAAAATTCCATTTAGCAACAGTGGTACTGAAATGGTACCGTGTCATATCGAAACCGATCAGCTCTGGTATGATTCGGTATCAAAAAACTAAAACACCAATTCCATACCATACCGTACCGTGTTGTTTGAAAATTCTAGTATCAGGAGCAGGCTGCAGGATGTGGTCAATACTATACCATCACGTACCATGCCCGAGCCTAATCTATAAAGTACACTTTTTCCTACTTCATTTGCCTATCCCTTTCAAGATGCTCTAAGTAGTCAAGTTTTGTCTATCATGTGTCCTAATAGAACAAGAGTATGGCCTTTCAAAGTTCACATGTTCCCAATCTACTGTTATGTAGGTAGAATTTAACATACTTTTTCTGACACCAAAGCATTACTAATGAGTAACATGAATATTATATTTCTTTTTCACATGGTGGTGCATTGAAATTTGAAGGATGACGATGAGATGTTGATCTTCTTCTGATAAACATAACTACTAATTCTCTTAGGCCACCTCCAACGCAGCCCATGTTGCCAGGGCAAGAGGCCCCTTTTCTAGGGTTTAGACCTCCAGCGAGCGCCAAGCAGCTCGGGCAAGCCCTGGGTCCCACCAGCCCGGGCAAGACCAAGGGCAGATCTTGCCTGGGCTTTAGCCCAAAGGCGATGACGTCACATTGACGTCAACGAGCACAATTTGAAATTTTTTTTACCGTTGCCGCGTGAGTTTCACGCGCCAACGGTAAAAAAATTTGACTTCCACTCAATGACGTCAGCTCAACATCATCCTTGATAGAACCCAATGGGAAAACTTCACGTGGCGCAACCCGGACGCTCAGATTGTTTTTTTTGTTTTTTGTTTTTTTTTCAGAAATCCGACAATCCTAATTTTTTTGGCTAAAAAAATTGCAAAAGAAAATTGAAAAAATTCTGACATTTTTTTTATAAAAAAAACCAAAAAATTATGGGTTTTTTCCCTATAAATACCTAACAATTTTATTCACTTTCCACACCAAATCTTCATACAATTTCTTCTCCTTCCAATATTTTTTACTTTCCACACTAAATCTTCATACAAACTCTTCTCCTTCCAATATTTTTTACTTTCCACTCACATTTTCTACTAATTTCCATTTGTATCAAAAAACAAATGGCATCTTATGTCGAAGCCGGAGGCGCATAGACAACTCAGGAAGATATTGCGTTGTGTCAGTCTTGGGTGAATGTTAGTCATCGCCCTGTCACGGGCAATGAGATGAAGTTCTCTCATATGTGGAGCAAAATTCATGGAGAATTTTGTCAAAGATCGGGTTCCATTCGGACCAAAATGGCGTTGTCTAGTTGATGGAAAATTCTGAATAGAGAGTTAGGGAAATGGAGAAATGCCTTGACAAAAGTAATGGAGAACATTTGAAGAGGTCAAAATCTATCCGATGAGGTAAAATATTTATAATTGCCATTTTAATCAATTTAGTGTAACTTTTATTTTTTTTAATTGCATATTCTATTTCTTTTTTTGCATAATATATATATTTTTTTGCATTTCCAATTTGTCTATATTTTCTTGCATAATCAATTTTTTTTTCTTGCTTTTCAAAATTGTTTATGTTTTCTTGCATAATTTTTTTTTCTTGCACTTCCAATTATTTATTTTTAATAGATCATACAAGCACAAGTTTGGTTCGGTGCTATGGGGCAAGGCAAAAAAAGTTTCTTGCATCACGAATGTTGGGAAGTTGTGAAGGATTGTTCGTGATTCAAAATTATTCCCACAGGTCCGGCGGTTGTGTTGAATGAGACATTGCTCCACGATTCGCCAACAACCGATTCGCCATTGGACTCCTCAATGGAAACGGAGTCACCACTCCCACGTGAGCCTAGACCTATTGGGAGAAAGGTGGCAAAGGCCAAGAGATGGAGCACTTCGAACAATGAATGTGCACAATTTTTGGAGCAAATAGCTAAGAACACTGTGAATTGAGAGAGACTTGAAAAGAGAAGAAGCGGACATGGCACGACATGAAGCATCTGCAATTCAACAACAGCAGACACAAGAAAAAGACATGGAGGATAGAGAGATGAAAATCATGGTCATGGATACGAGCCATATGTCTCCTGAAACAAAGGCCTATTGAAAGCTAAAATGAAGGGATGTGATGAGAAGAAATTTTTTTCATGACGATGGACCTAGCAATACGGATTGGTTAAATGATCAAAACCATTAGGTTGTATTGAAAGATTTGCTATATGTATTAATTTGTTGTATTGTTTCCTTTTTATTCAATAAAGAAAGCATTAAATAATATGACTATTTATTAAAAACATTTGCCCATCAAAACAAAGATTAATTAAAACCAAACCTTAATTTATTGCAAACAACACACAAAACAAACCATACTTAAAAGCATAAAAAAAGAAGAAGCATAATTTCAAAAAACACCACACACAAAATAAAGCATAATTAAAAACAAAGCACAATTCCAAACAAAGCACTAATCTTGACTTCATCCACTGTGATTGCCTTTCATCTCCCACAAGTGCTCTATCAAGTCAACTTGACGTCTCTCATGAACATATGAATATTGCATTTCTTGATAACGATCAATCATGGGGTTGTTGTATCGACCATCCCGAATTAACGGTTCGGGCTCCATTGGTTGTCCATTTGGTCCCATCGGCCTTTCATATATTCTTGTCAACGTCGTGTTCATGGGATCAGGTTCAAACACCTCTGGAGCATCATAATCATACTCATCCTCCACAATCATGTTGTGGAGGATGATGCAAGTCATCATAATGCTCCGCAGCACCTCCTCATCAAGCATCCGAGCAGCACCCCTAATAATTGCCCAATGAGCTTGCAAGATATCGAAACACCTTTCCACGTCTTTCTTGTAACCTTCTTGAAAAGCAGCAAAGCTTTTTTCCTTCTCGGATTGGGTATTCGGAATTATTTTCACGAATGTCGTCCACCTAGGATCAATTCCGTCGGTAAGGTAGTACGCACCAAAGTATACGGTATTGCTGATTTGGTACGTGATCTGGCGGGAATGACCTCGCAATACCTTGTCGAACACCGGAGATTGACCAAGGACATTGAGGTCATTCTGAGATCCGGCAACCTCAAAGAAGGCATTGCCAAACCCAACAGTCGAATGAAGCTACGGCCTCCAAAATTATACTTTTTTGGCCCTTTCAATTCCCATAGTCTCCTTGCCAAGCAGTTGGACAATTCTTCCACGGCCAATGCATGCAATCGATGTTTCCAATCATTCTTGGGAAACCTTGAGCCTCAGCTTTTTGTAGAAGCCTTTGCAGGTCCCTCGGTGTAGGTTTATGAAGGTACTCCCTCGTGTACAAATTTTCTACTGCATCACAGAATCTCACCAAGCACTCTAGGATAGTCGATTTCACCATCCTTGCAATCTCATCCACCTGCTCTGCAAATGCCCCATAAGCAAGCATTCACAAAGTAGCTGTAAGTTTTTGCTCCGGGAGAAGACCCAAAACTCTAACAGGATCATACTTCTGAATGAAGTATGTGTCGTAATTACAAATATCATGCATGATTTTTTGGAACAAATATGGCTGCATTCTATATCTCTCTTGAAACTTAGAAACAAGATATAATGAATTTGGGATAAAATAATCTTCCATGAGATTCTTACCCTGAGACTCCCTATGTCTGTCCACATTCAGGGCACGACGACGGCGGTGTTGCCTTGATTAATTAAGCATACACACCGCTGCTACAAGCATTTCTTCCTCTTCTTCATCGGCCTCCTGATCTTCATTAGCACGTTTGCACTGGATTTCTTCCTCTTCTTGTTGTTGCCTCTCCAACACCCTCCTCAAGTTTGACATTGAGAGTAGAATGTGTTTTGTAAAATCTGAGAAATGAAGGAATAGATAAGATATGGTGTGAGAGGTATGAGTTGATGATGTAGTTTTATAGAGGGATCCAGAAGATAGAGATGACACGTGGCACAATTTTCTAGGGTGAAAATCTTATCTGACATATGATATTATAATTTTTTTTAAATATCTGAAAATCTTATCTGACATGGGACACGTGGTGCAATTTTAGAGGGTGAAAATCTTATCTGAAATATGAGATTATAATTTTTTTTTAAATATATGAAAATCTTATTTGACATGGGACACGTGACGCAATTTTATAGGGTGAAAATCTTATCTGAAATATGAGATTATAATTTTTTTTTAATGAATATCCGAAAATTTTATCTGGAATATGACACGTGGCAACCGAGATTCTCATCCGAAAATCTTTTCTGAAAAATGATGGACACGTGGCAACCAAAAATTTAATTAGAAAATTTTATCCAAAAATGTTATCTGAATTTTTAGGTGATAATTTTATAATAAATAGTGACACATGGCAACCGAAAATATTATATAAAAAGTTTATCAAAATTAATGGTTTAAAGTATAAAAAAAATAGGAAATAAAGCACAATGAATATTAATTGCCTTAACCCTAGCTTTTTGAGGTGGAACCAACAAAGGCAAGGTTGCCATTATTTACGTGAATAGTAGCAGCCCTTGCCTTACCCTTGTCTTAGCCTTAGCCTTTGAGGTGGACATGCTCTTAAAGGGGCACGGGCTGGTGAGAACAAAAACATTTACCAACTAAATGAAACTGCAGATATTGGGGGTGGTATGCAGCATGTTGCATTACGTGCACTTTTGGCATCTTTCCTTTCTTTATCTTGTGTTCACCCCCTTATGTAGATGCAGGGTCTTGATCCTTTTTTTTTGGTTTGTCAAACAGTATAAATAGGTGGATTACGTGTGAGTTGATGTTTTTTTCCCCTAAGTTTTTACAAGTCGTTTTATAAAAAGATAAATTTATCTTTAAAATTTTGAGGATAAAGTAAGTAAGAAAATAAGATTGGGCGGAAATAGCATTACTAAAAAAAATTGGACAGAAAATCGGAGTTATCTAAAGCTCTGGGGTGTTTTGGTCATTAAACTTCAAAAGGAGAAACAAAGCTTAGGGTTCCTTCTGTTCTGTCACTCTCTGATTGAGCGGGTATTCAGCTTTCACTTTTTGACTGAAACAACTCTCAAACGGTACTGCCACCATTATCCCAACCCCAACCCCAATCCTAATCCCAATCCCAATCCCAAGCCCTAACCCTAATTCTGGTTGTTGTTCTTCATTCAGGTATCTGTCGTATAATGCCGGCGTTGTTTTCTTCTGACTTCTTTTAGGTTTTGAATTTGAATTTCACTCTCTCTGTTGTGTGAGGAAATACGTAGACAGAAAAATGGATCGGTATCAGAGGATAGAGAAACCTCGGGAGGAAACGCCAATTAACGAGAATGAGATTCGCATTACCACTCAGGGCAGGATCAGGAACTACATTACCTACGCCACCACTCTGCTTCAGGTCCTTCTCTCTCTCTCTCTCTCTGTTGTTGCTGTTGCTTTTGTTGTTGTTCGTGCATTTTGGGGATCATTTCTCAACGGTTTTTCATGTTTAAGACCCTAGTGCATTGTAAATGATGATTTGTATATGTTTGTGCTGATGCAATTTCAGCTTGCTTTTTGTTGTCAATCCTGTAATTTTGTTATGATTTATTTGTTAATTTAGTCAGTTTTTCTTGTACCAACGTACATTGTTGATGAGAAAAAAGAACCATTGTGGGAGAAGCCCATTTTTTAAGAGATGTGTTTGCTTATATATATATATATATCGCATTGTTATTCCTGTTTACGTGAAGGGTGTTTAAATAATTTTGAGAAAGGCATCTGTAGTTGTCTGCCTCTTGGATAATTTGTGTCGGTTTAAACTGTGGCAGAAGGAAATAAATTTTTTGTTCATTTGTTATTTTCGGGAAAAAAAAACAGAAAAGTTATTGGGCCTCTTTTTTGTTATGTTTTACTAACTTTATTATATACCATTTGTTATGTTTTCACTGTTGTGTCATTATTATTTTCTGTTTACAGGAGAAAGGATCTGATGAAATTGCTCTCAAAGCCATGGGCAGAGCTATCAACAAGACTGTGATGATTGCTGAACTTATTAAGGTTCTTTAAATCAGCAACTCAACAATTTTGTGTGCCTTTCTGTACAATGTTATGTTGCTCATTACAAAATTGTTTTCTCTTCAGCGAAGGATTGCTGACCTTCATCAAAACACATATATTGGCTCTACTGATATAACTGACTTGTATGAGCCGCTGGAAGAAGGCCTCGATCCGTGAGAACCATAATATGATCCTTTCTCAATGATAATTTCTCATGTATTCTGTCATATTGAGTGTTATGTTTGGCTAATAAAATTCTACTGACACAGTGTAGAAACTACTCGCCATGTATCAGTGATTACAATTACTTTGTCCAAGAAAGAATTGGATGGATCCTCTACAGGGTATGTAGAACTGGATTTTTACCCAAGCTAATTGCTGATTTTTGTTTTTTTTTAATAACAGTAATGAGCATGGGTTTACAGATACTCATCTCTCTCTCTCTCTCTCTCTCTCTCTCTGCTTCTAGCAATATCAGGCTGTGTTTTGTGCTTCCATTATCATCTTTAGCTCATAAAATCTGATGCACATGGAGTTTCTGCTGTGTTATATGATTACCATCTTCAAAGTTGCATTTTTTGCTGACATGAAAAAAAAGTTCAGACGAGTTTGTATTATTGTTCTATGTGTGTGATGATTTACATTGGTTTACTTTTAATATGATGCAGATATCAGGCACCGATTCCAGCAGATCAAGTGAAACCATGGACTGAATATGGTTATGAAGGAGGTAACCACATCTTATGATCACTGATTTGAATTTAATCCTGCTCTAAGCATTTAATAATAAATTTTTTTTTGGTACAAAAATGAATAATTATTTGTTTTATTTTGTGAATAGAGGGCTCTCCTAGTATGCGAGGTAGAGGACGCGGTCGAGGAAGGGGTAGAGCCAGAGGTAATACACAAATTTACTAAATGCTCCAAAGTGATTTTTATTTTTTATTTGTTCATTATTTGCACTTCGAGCATTGTGAATTATTGGTTTGATTACTCAAACCTCCTTAAGAAGCTAGATGAAAGATGGATTTTCCTTGAATTGGTACAACTACAGGTAGTTTCATAGAGTGTGATTAGAGAAATTTATTTTAGATGGTTGTATGCACTGAAGACCTAATAACGTGTGAGTGAAGAAAAGATGAGTTGATTTGGAGTGAAATGAATTAAAGCGGAAAAAAAATTATATATAGAAATTTGGGAAGTAGCATGTTCAATTCATTATTAGACATAACCTGGAAGTATTTCATATTGAATATCCAAAGTAGTATGGTTACAGAGAAAAAGACTAATGTTGTTGGGCCTGATAGTTTCCTTAGAAGGAACAAAAGAACCTAGATGGTTTGTTGTGACATGTGGCAAATTAGTGGTAATGTGAAAACTAGGATTGTTAATTTTAAGCAAAGATCATATATATGAAACACCAACCAACTTAAGGAAAATAGTGTTCCTTTGGAGTAATATCATAAAGTTTATGGGGATATTTGAGTAGGCCTTGTCCATTTAGCCCACATGTGCAACCTCCCTTACTTTGTCTTCGTTGAAATCAAATGCTCGTTGGTGTCATGAAGTGTTATTTCCAATTTTTATTTCCTTATCTTAATATGGTGTGGGTTGACCAGGTTGCACTCCCATCCCTAACCTGTTCACATCTTTCCACCAGATTTTTTAAATGATCATATGACGCTATTTCTTACTTGACACTCTTCTCTATTTTTGCAAGAGGGATGGTGGGGCACCTCACAAAATTCAGGCTCTTTCTTGTGACAAATCAATCTAAGTTTTATTTGTCAGTCTATTTTTTTTTCTTATATTAATTCTAATTCATACTAAAAATTTAGTTGCAATTCAAGAGGAATTTAAACGCGAGAGTGAGAGAGAAAACAAAGAGGGGAGGGAGCCACTTAAGAATTTAAGAGGTTGTGGCTCTTTATAACTATACACATAGTGCAAAAACTGCCGTAATACCACCACTAGACCCAAATTGTTGCACCCTGTTTGAAAACCTTGTGGATATGCTCTCTTTCTCTTGCTTACTAGTAAATATTTGGAACCACACAGTACCTCCTGATTTCTTGCTCGTTTTTATGTTCTTTGTCTGGTGGGTACATCAGGAATTCCCATAATCATTGTATACATCCTAAGCGCAATGTGCCTTCTTCGTCTACTGTTGTTTATTCTTCAATAAGTATGCCTTCACTTATGGGGAAATGTTTCGCTGCATATTGTCTCGGATCCAAAGTTCTAAACCTCTGAGGTGGTACTAAAGCTGTATCACCCCCACCAGTCCCAATCACAAGGCCACAATATTTGCATATTGTGCCCTATTTTTTCCATTAATGAAAATCCATGCTCCCAAGCATTATCATGTCTCTATTTCCTCTGCTAGATATCATACATTGCCCTTAATATTTTTCAGAACTGCACCCTAATTAGTTATAAAATTATGTAGTATATGTAATACCTCTCCAATTACTTTATTCAAGTACTTAATCATGCACATATCACAGTAGTTATTTAGTTATCACTTACTACACACCAATTAGTACACATTGTCATAGACAATAAATACCTCACCAATCAATGCATAAAAGTATGCAATCATTCAGGAATTTGCTTAATCGTCCGTACAAATACAAGAAGAAACATTAATTTGCATTGGGCCTGCAAGTTTCTTAATCATGCAATTAATTGGTTAATGCGTTGTGTTGGTTTGTTGTGCTTCAATATTTGTGGAGAAACACTGGGGGGATGTATCTAAGGCAAAAGTTCTTTCGAAACTTTTTTGTTTTGTCTAGGTGATTTGGTTGGACAGAAATGCTAGAAAGATAGGGGAAAAAGGATGCACTTGAACTATGGGATTGGAATGCGTTTTTGGACCTAATTATGGGCTTGGTTCTTTTCTTATTGATTCTGGTTGGGGAGCTGTTGTTGAGTGTTTTGTTGTTGTGGTTTCAGTTTAGCTTTGATAACTTTGTTTTTGAGAGATTACTTTCCAGATTGTATAGTTGAGTTAGTGCACTGCTGGTCTGCTGAAGGACGTTTATCTTTTTATTTCTTTGATTTAATAGAAGTCATTCTTTCCTATTTAAAAAAGTGCTCAGTCATTCATTAATATATGTTACTTAGTTTTAAACGTATACTGTTGGTAAAAGTAAATAAAAATAAAAACTAACACTAATTTAGGAGATTATAGCATATATATATATATATATTAAACTAAGACTAAGTTAGGAGATTGTTGATTGCAGAAAACAATTTGTAAGAAATACAAATACATCTGTAAGAAAGAAAGAGATTTTGTGTAACACGTCAATAGTGAGGGAGATAAGGGTATAGTGTCAGGGAGGTTTTGGTGAATAAATTGGTGAAGTCCGTGTCACGGTGTCTCAGATGTAGACATAGGTAAGTTTTTTTAAGTGAGTGGGTGAAGTTGTCTGTGTATTGGAGAAATTAACTTGCTTATGATGGATGATGTGACTGCATCTCCGGCTGTTTTTCTATTATTTTAATTTTTATTGTTTAGAATATTTAAACTGAGTCTATTAGATCAAATAGAGCTTTTAGATCAGTTGTCAATTTGATAAAGCATTATAGACTTCCATCAAGTGTAGGGTTTGCATCAATTGGGAAGTAAGGGTTGAACCTTTGATTGGTCCTCTTTTTCTTTTCTTTGTTCTTTGGAAATCTTTTTAAAATCATTTACTCTAACTTCTGGCAGGAACAGGCGCCACCAATGCCAAGTTCATATGGTTATCCAGTCCTCAAAATAAACCATATCTACGCATAGAGATGATAAGAGAGTGAAAATTTTGAAAACCTAGGAATTCTATGCAGTATTGAGTTGCTTGTGTGATTCGTTATATTTGGTCAAAATAGTATAATTTCTCAAATTTCATTTAAAATTCCATATTTTCTCAAAATTTATGTCCTTTCTCTCAAATTTTTACCTATATCGTTACTTTTTGTCAATATTTCTGTTTTTAAACTCTCATTTTTCTATCAGTTTTGTTCTTTAATACCTTGATTTTCAGTAGCAGGCTGTTTATCTTTTTTATTCAGTATATTTGCTTTTGGTGTTGTTTTACATTATACCAGCTAATTTTGTATGATTTAAAAAGCAGTAATAGTTCATGTATCTCTTTTGTACAGGGAATGTCAGCAATGGAGTAGTAGAATACAATGGTGATGGTGGCTTTGATGGTGGGCGTGGCTATGGTGTCTTTGATGGTGGGCGCGGCTATGGTGGCTTTGATGGTGGGCGCGGCTATGGTGGCAGGGGTCGAGGTCGTGGAAGAATCCGTGGTTATCGTGGACGTGGACGAGGATATGGTGGTGGAAGTATGCAGCTGGAATCAGGTGGTTATAATGCTTATAATGATTATGGAGGTGGGGCACCTCCTACACAAGGTCGTGGTAAGCTTTCACATCATTAAATCCATTGTGTTTAAATAATATAATGGAGAAATGTATATCCATGATTATAATGTTCCCCATTGTATTATGAATCCTTTTCTTAAGATATGGATTTTTAAATTTAAATAGTCAAATAATGTAAACTAAAGCTTCCATGGGACGTGTATGTTGGGATGAATAATTTACATTGTCGAGGGTGCTTTTGAAATATTTTGGTTAGTTCCCGAACAAATAACAAAATTGACTTTGAATGTTGCAAATTGTCATACAAAAAACAAATCCTTTATTAGAATGAAGAAAGGTGGAATCCGCCTTCATTTTTGTTGCTGGCATTGAGTTTCCTTTGGTGCTGATGCGTTTGATATTTTTCTTAGGCTATCTGCGAAATTTGTCTTTCATTCTTAATATATGAATGTAATATAACCTTTTTATGGTTTCTATCTTGGTTCTTGCAGGACGAGGGCGTGGCCGAGGCAGGGCAAGAGGTCGTGGGCGTGGTCAGGGTTTCCGAGTTGATGGACCTCCTACTCCTACCCAGGCTGCTCCCTGACCTCAGGAGGTACCGAACCTGCGTTAGGTTGCAGAAAGTTTTGGATGCCTGCTCAGCTAATTATGTCTATTTTAGGGGCAAAATGGGGGTTGGGGTTCTTCAGTAGTGAAGTTTAAGATCCTTTTCTAGGGAGGGATACTAGCTAGTGAGCTGCCCGCTCAATGTGTGTGGCAGCCATGTTTTTGTAGTTCGAAGGTAGGATAAGGATTGTTCTCGTTTATATCTGACCAAAACTTGAAAGTTGTATACCTTTCTCTTTTAGAAAATAATAGAGCAGTACATTCATTCTTTTCTTTTTATAAATAAACTCTTCAATCTGTTTTGCTTCAGGAAAAAGTGATGCATAAGTTTTAGGTCACCGACCTTTAGGGTATAGGATTTGCAGTCTTGAGCTTGGTTGATTTTGTTGGAACCAGATCATTGAGTATGTGCCTGACTGTTATATGTTAGAAAACAAATCTCGAATCTATCTCGAGTTTGGTGCTTTGGAGGTCAGCTCAAATTGTGTTGCTACATCCGTTTGTAGCTGAGATGATAGCTTCCTTATAATCCAATTCTAGGCTAAATAAATGGCCAAAAGAAAATGTGTTAGAATAAGTGACACGCCAATCCAGTGGTAATTCTCTTCATTTTGTTTGGGGATTTTTGTAGAAAAGTCAGATGACTTTAACACCATTAATTTTTCATCTATTTTGAAGGGTATTTTAGTCTTTCTAATGTGTAAACCTTTTTTTATTTTTATAAAGCCATGTAAACCTTCTTTTTATAGGACAGCGCTTTCATCTCTTTTAACCCAAGCCTTTTCGCTGGTTTTAACTCAATCATCCACAACCCCATTAAGAGCAGTTCCAACGGTAGGCCCTGCCTTGGCAAAAGGCTGTCAATGCAGAGAAATGGATCTCCAAGGGTACAAAATAGCCCAGGCAAGGCATGGGCTCCACCAAGCCCTGTCAGGCTCAAAGGTAAGAACAGCTCGAGCTGTTGCTTTAGGGTTGTGACATCATGTTGATGTTAACAAAGAAAAAAATTTAATTTTTTTAAAGAAAATCACCAAAAAAATTCAGAATATTTTTTTAATACATATCTAGCAATTTTTATTATTATTAATCACATACATATAAATAAAATTAATCCCATGTGAATAGTAATTGTCATTGAGTTGCCATGACAATGGGTGAAAAAGCAACAAAAATATTGCTATGGCATATTTTATTCACGTGAACGGTAACCCTTGCTTGCCATTACCCTTTGCCATAGAAAATAGGTGGAAGTGCTCAAACAAATCACACGGCCAGACTTCCACCGAAAAACTCCTCATGTCCCGCCAAAAAAATTCCTCAAGACCCCAACCGTGGCCAACCCGACCAATATACCATGGTAAAGGGCAAGAGTGAGATCCCTGGTTCTACCATGGTGAGCACAAGAGTGAGATCTCGTGTTTGAGTCTTAAAATTAAAAAAAAAAAAAAAAAAAAAAAAAAAAAAAAAAAAAAAAAACAAAAAAAGAACAAAAAAAAAAAATAAAATCAATAAATCATACATTGAAGAAAAAAAAAGATTGAAAACTAAGCTTGCCAAATGGAAGGTTGGAGAGAGTGCGGCTGCCCATGCAAATTCTAAGCAAGGGTGAGGAGAGAAATGGAGAGAAATAGCCATTGAGGGAGGAGAGAGTGCGAGAGAACCCACCGCCACCCCTGTTCCGAATCCACCCCATCATCAACCTTGCCACTGAACCAATAAGAGCGCTTCCACTCATTTACCATGGCAAAGGGCAAGTAAGGACGGTTACTGTTCACATAAATAGTATCTGTCCTTGCTCTTTCTTTTGTGCTTTTCCACCCATTGCCATGACAACTCAAGGGCAATTACTCTTTATATTGGATTAAATTTATTTATATGTATGAGATTAATAAATAAAAAATTAATAGGTATTATAAAATAATGAATTTATTGGTATTTTTTCAGAGTTTTTTTCAATTTTTTTTAAAAAAATTTTCCTTTGCTGACGTCAGTGCCCTCATGCAACAACTTGGATTGTTCCTATCTTCGGGCCTACCTAGTCTTGGTGGAGCCCACCATTTGCCCGAGTTGGATTTGATTGGTGGAGTGCGTTTTTGCTGCCCGGGAGGGCCTTTTGCCATGACAATCCAAATCGGTGGAACCCCTCTAAGGACGAGCAAGCAAGCAGCCCACCGAAATTTTTCTCTCTCTCATTTCTCAATTGAATAGGAAAATACACATGATGAATAGTTTTATATTACAAGCTTAGCTTAAGTGCTAAGCAAACCAGCAAACCAATCTAACCAACTTTAATACTAAACACGTGATTCTATTTTAAAAGACTAACAACACTGGCATGTCATCTAACTATTAGCCAAACATGAAAGACTATAATACCTTTAAAATAGATGAAAAATTAGATGATGTTAAAGTCAAATGGCAAATTATGGATTTTGAAAAATTAAGGTGACCGTTCTCTTAAATTTTTCTTTAAGGTGAAAAATTGAAACTGGTATAAAAGTTTATGTGACATTTCTACAAAAAATTTCTTTTATTAGAGGAGATTCCAAATTCTGAGTCTCCCCACTTCAACAAAAAAAATGTGACACTTCCAAGATGCAAAATGAAATTATTCATTCCTTGTATGATAATAATACGCAATGAAACATTTATTTTTTTTTTTTTTTTTTTTTTTTTTGGCGACTAGAATGTTTGTTTTTCTCTTCTCTATTTTGCATGGATGGTAACAATTGACAAGGAACGAGCATTAGCATGACAATTTGCCCCTTAACTATTTTTTTTTTTAAGTATATTTTTATACAAGCGATATTAGGAGAGGGGGATTCTAATTTAAGACATCAGGTGCATGAATAAATACTCTTAACCACTTGAGTTACAAGCCTCTTAATTATTTTACAAGGAATTACTGCTCTTGGCCAAAAAAAATAGCAGCTCTATTGCAAGTGAGCTTGTTTGAGTTCTTCCTACCTTGAATACTGTTATTATGTTTGCAACTTTTTTTCGTCTCTTATCTTCTCTTTGCCAAACAAAAAATTATTACATGCCTCAGTTTTAATCGGTGCATATCCATGGCTTGGTTCTGATGATACACCATCAATACTCTCTGCTTGTGCAACAAAGGAAAATCCTATTCTGAATTTTTATTTATTTATTTTTGGGGAGTTTTTCTTTAAAATCTCATAAATGCATTTATTAAGTGGCTCCCTCCCTTTGGCCCAACAAAACCATTAGAAACAACAGTATATCATAAACGAATATAATATTCTTTTTTTCTCTAATTTTTTTTATTTTAAAAAAGAGGGTATTTTCAACTTTTTATTTTAAACAAAAATGATTATTTACCAATAAAAAAATACTACTGTCGTCTGGAAACCTTGCGGACCACGGAATCCCACTACTCCTAGTAGACTTAGGATTCGAAATCCCTATATATACCTATCTGGTGGTGAGGAAATTAGAAACCCCTAAAATTTGTTCTCACTTCACTCTGTAGTATTTGCTCTTCAATCGTTGGCCTCCTTGTTCACTCTGTTTGAGTTCTTGCATTCCGGGTTTGGTTAGTTTTGGGCAGGCTAGCTAGGCGTTGCATCATCAATGGCTTCCAACAACGAAACCCGTAAGCCACGGATGCGCGTTATGATGCCCCGTGAGGTTTTCCACTTCACCATGCCAAAACCAGAAGAGTATGAGCACATGGATGAAGATGTTATCTCTGAATCTGATGACGACTTTTCTAGTTCTTCTGTTCATTCAATTCGCGATTCATGTGTTACCTACGAAACTGAACATGATCATGAGATATATGGCCCACAAAGTGATAATTTGAGCTCTACCCATCATCAAGATCACGATCATGAGTATGATGAAATCCACGGCCCAGAGCCACTGTCTCCACCAAGATGTGCAGCCCATTTTGACTGCAAGTTGTGTTCGAAGATGGCAACGGAGCCAGTGGTGACTCCATGTGGTCATTTATATTGCCGGGATTGTCTGGACAAATGGTTGCACTTCTTCACCTCTCATATGGAGTGCCCTGTTTGTCACAGTAAGGTGTTTGATTCGTCCATTGTTCCGATTAAGCCAACGCCGGTATGCAACAGAGACCAGAGTTATGGCTTCAATGTGCCACCACCAACACCAAAGGGGGGCCTTTGCTTTCGAAGAACTTTCAATTAAATATTGGTGTTTGTAGGCAGCTTATTTAGTCCGTCTGTATTTGTTGATTTGTTATGAATCCTTATGCTTTTATGTTCATTTGTTTAATACAAGAAATTTATAACTGCGTTCCATTTTCCACTCCTCCAAAATGTTTGATTGAATAAACGAACCTTAACAACAACAAAAAATTCCTGGATTTGAAATCAATCTTTTCAGAAATCCTAAGGTTTATTTGGCCACAAATTGTGGTACACTAGATGAAATAACCTCAAAATTGTGATTTTTTGTTATTAATGTTTCGAAAAATCATACCAGGTGGATAGCGATCTTGGGATTTTTTTAAAGTTGTGTTGATGTGAAAATAATGGAATTAAGTGAGTTTAATCTCAAATTAGGACTAAAATGCCCTTACATTTAATTTTATGAATTTTTAAAGAAAGTATAATAAATTGAAGTGAGAAAATTATAATTTTTGGATTGGCAAATCAAGCTTGATCTCACGAACTCGTAGGCCCAAACGGTTCGTAAATCCTAGTTGAAACGAAGAATTTATGCTCGTTTGAACTTTTAGTGAGTTCATTTCAAAAGTGAACAGTGACATATTTTGTCCATAAATTATGAAAGGCTAGAGGGGCGATTTTCGGCGGCTGCTGTGATGGTGTCCAGTGAAGGTGATCGACAGCACCCATGTCGATCAAAAGCTGAGTATCCCGCGAGCATAAAACACAAGAATTGGAGCAATCTGAGCAATGGTGAAGGCGCAACGGTATTGGGAAGTTGGCTCGTGAATAGTGAAGTCAACGACTTCAATCGGTGGTTTGAGCCACTTCCGCTTCAAATTGACTTTGAGGTAAAATTAAAGTTGCTCTACTTGTTGTTGCGAACGTTTTGGTATAATTCTTGACCGTCGATTCTCAGCTTTTCCGTCGTTGGAATAGTACCCCGAACCACCACTAGCGATGGCGGCTAGTGGAGGCCCATGGTGGGGATTCTAAGTTGGAGGGTTTGAGACAGGTTGTAATCCTGGAGGTGCTGAGCATGGTGGTGTTCTCTAAGTGTTGAGATTTCGTCGTTTGATTGATGATCATAGCCTTGCAATTCTGAATTGTTGATCGGAGATGATCGGATAGTTGCATCTTGTCTGATTTTATATATGTTATAGTTGGTGTTTTTTTGAGTCTGTAGGATTAGAAATAATGGAGATCAGACTTCCCGATTTGAAGTTATTGTGTTTCGAAGTTAAGGCGAGCGATCACTGTTTGATCATGCTTGATCATGCGATCAAGAATGATCTGACCGTTGGATCGGGCCCAAATTGATAAAGGGTGATGTCAGGACTATTTAGAGTCCATTAGTGTGATTGGATTTGAAATCTGAGGTTGCGGGCCCTAGGCGGATTTTAGAAGTATTGTTGGATGTGTGGGACCCATGGAACCCAAATAGTGACTTTTTGGACAATGGGTGTCATTGGTCATGTTTTGACGTCGACAATGTGTACGTCACTATTTTGGAATTGTTTGGACAATATTTGATTACTTTGGACCTCTGGGTGGGTCCAAAGGGCATTCTCCTCATTTGGGAGCGGAATCTTGGATTTTGGATTCTAAGTTAAGTTGCAAACTTTTCTTAGTTTTTGCAAAGCCAGAGTTCGAGGATTGTAGAGCTTGAGTGGTTGTTGTGGACTTGTGAGTTGTTAAAGTTACGCAGCTTGGACGAGAGGTGAGTAAAACCATTATGGTTGTGAGTAAGATAAGATATTATTATATTTAATATAATGTGGTTCTGATAATGTTAATGGATATAATTAACATGCTGATGTGGTTTTTGAGAAACAGTTTTGGTGTGATTTTAAAATCATTTAAATGTGTTTTAATTTTAAATGAATTTGCAAGTTTTTGCAAAATGGATGGTATTTTTGGGAATGACCATATATATTATGATTGTATGGTGGTGTTCATGAATGAATGGCCACGTAAAGATATATAAGTAAATATATATTGTTGTGATGGATGTAATTTGATAGAATACAATATTTGATGCGGAAATACATATTTATTATTTTCGGTGTGTGTTGTGATTGGAAGGATAGATGTGAGACTGCACTGATTCCTTCAATCGGAAGAGGACCTCGTAAAGAGGTCTGACCGTGACAAGTAATTAGGGATTATAGCCCTGGGGTGCGAGGCCCCAAACCAGTTAGAGCTCTAGTTGTCGCCATTGCGAATGTTCATGATGGTAACACATAGTTACTTGGCTTTGGCACAGATTTGTGAACAGGCACTAATGGATGTGTACTTTAGTGTTCGTGAGTTGGGAGAGTCTAGCATATTCTCACTTCTGTTGTCCAAGAGTGACATTTATTTCTGCATCCCCCAAAACAAGAAAGCGGTTCGAGTTTAGATGTCTGCTGCAAGGAAGTTCGCTGACAATGATACCTGGCAAAGAGAACCATTAAACATGAAGGACAGAGGGAGGGGGGAGGAAGGGAGGAGGGAGGGATTGATTTTGAATCCAACAAATACCTTCTCGCCTGGTTTGAATGGAGGAAGACCTTTAAAAGGACATGTAGAGCATCTAAAATCATCACCTAGTCCGCACTGCATATTGCAACTTTCAGACCAAAATAAACAAAACAGAAGAAACAAAAATTCTTTCAAAGCTGAGAAGCAACTCTAGGACATACACTGCCACATTGAGACTGGAAATTGTTCAAATCTACCGTCGAGCCTAACTTCTCCACTTTCTGCTCTTCTTCAGCCCTCCCACAAGTGCAATTTTTACAAGCTTTCCTTGTGCTTCCAACTTCACAATCACCAGCTGCACAAGCACATTGCTTAGTACATGATTACAAAACTCACAAAAATTGCAGTTGACCCCAAAAGAATCTCACAAAGTCAAACTTAGTAGGAAATTCACAAAATAAAATAAAAAAACTAATTAGTACCACGATGCCTCACGTAGAAGCGGCTGGGGTTTCTTTAAATCCTCTTCTGTTAACAGACTATCCTCATCAATCAGATCTGAATCATCATTGATCTGAACTTTTGGTAAACTTTTGGTGGTCTTTTTAAGGCGAAGGATGAACCAATCTTCCAGGAAGGCTTTTTTTGCCTTGACCTACAGCAAGAGAAGAGAACAAAATCACATCCATCCAAAAGTCCATCCAAAGTGTGTATCCAGTGATAAAGTTATCATGAACCCATAGATTCTATTCTTTTATGTAGACAAAGAAAAGTTTATTAAAATGCTAGAGTAACTAGCAAAATCAGATAAGCCATTGGACATGTTCATCGAATCCGTTATCAACCAACAATGAGAGAACAATTTTAGATGGTATGTTCATGTGTTACATAAAAAATGTAAGTGCACCAGTACAAACGACTTGGAGGCAATTTAAAATAAGAAGATGGATGAGGTGGATTAAAGGCATTGTGAATGGCATGCCTGCAAGAGATTTAATAGAGAAAATAACCCTAGATGGGATTGAAGTACATAAAAAACCTCACATGTAGGATCCCAATTAGAACCTGATAAGGTTCCATGCAGCCAACCCCAAACAGTTAGTATTCAGGCTGAGATGAGTTGAATTGAGATTCGTGTTACGAATTTAACATGCTAGGAGGAGAGGAGGGAAATTACAACATGATGCCAATGGATACTAGGAACACTAAAACTTACCCCAAAGGACAACTCGGATGGTAAATTTGATTTAATTTGAAAAGCTTGTGCTTCTAGAAAACCAGACAACAGTAACTTACGCTCAATAACAGAGGCAGTCTGCAAGAAAACCCAAAGTAAGATTTCTCACTTCAAACTGAATCCATAATGTGACAATGCGAACATGAATTACCTTATCACTTTCCCCTGTGGAAGAATCAGAAGTCTTGTAAATTAGGACTGTTCCACCAGGCTTCAAGACTCTTGAGATTTCCCCTAACAACTGCTCATTAAGAAATTCAATCGATCTACAAAGAGTAAAAACAATGTCCACAGAAGAACGCCCCAGGGGAAGCTGACCTATCATTAGTCAAAACAAAATCAGATGAACACTATTATATGGCCAAGAGACTTGCAATAAAAATAAAGCACAACTATTAAATGGCTATAAGTTAAATGGTCATTCAAATGGATACATATTACCCCAAGCATTTTATAACAAATATTAAACAAATTTGCAGGTTACATCGTTTAGAGGGGAACAATAAAAGACACACTACTACTTTCAAGCACAAAACGGAATAAGAAACTTACTTAAAGAAGACACTTCAGTGATAATTTGAGGTTCGCACTTTTCGGTAGCTCCACTCCCAAGCTCCCTCAATACATCAAAAACAAGACTTACAGGGAGAACCGCATCATCTATGAATGCCACCACAGATGCCTGCAGAAACCAAGTCAATAAGTTTTAGTGGGCCACTTCCTAACTAAACCAACAAATCAACTACAATGGTAATCAATTTCTTGAAACTTGAAATTCGAGTGACAAAATCAATCCCTATCAGGAGAACGAAAAGGAAAGAGAAAATTGAAACTTGAAAGGGGAAAGATAGAAAATTGAAGTTGGACTCACCATGACGTCGAAGGTGAAACAGATTTTTCAAGCCACTAAATACCAAAACGAAGAGTATTGATTCTTCCTCTACAGGAAAGGCTACAATGTCTTGTGCTTTTAGCCGACTCTCTCTCTTGTGTTCTGCAATTGATAATTTGCAAAGTCTTGTCTCATGAGGCTGCGTAGGAAGAATAAGAAAGCTATTTAAATTAGTTGTTTTATGGAATCATACTCAAAAGTGCATGGGGTATAACAGGCAGCTTTAACAAACAATCAGGTGAAACATAAATTTCGTTCTTGCCTAGGTAGCAGTACTCGACTAAGGGTCTTGGCGTGGAAGTTACAACTGGTTTATTTCATAACAAAGCTAGGCCTTGGAAAAATAGAAATACATCATGTGAAAAGGGAAGAGACAATATCACAAAAGTTTTGCAACCCCCATTAAAGTGTAAAGATGCCAACTATTCAGAGATGTGGATGTAAATCCTCTGTCTTTATTAGAAAAGGGTTATTTTCCTATATGGTTATATAGAATGGTGATAAGAACACAATTGGAAATAGAAAATGACAGGAAAATAAGTGAAAATGAGTGCCTCTTCAAGGATGATTCATGAGAAGTCTAGATTGCCTATAGAAAAACTCCAAAAAAATTGGTGAAAAATGAACAAGCTATTAATAGTGCAGCATACCACAATTCCATTTGGCCTTTGATTTAAAGGACTCGTCCCGCTTGATGCATGATGGATGGTATGCCTTAGGACAGCCCCTAACGAGAAACAATCGACAAAGAAGCATTGAATTAAGCAATGCAAATGAGCACCAAGAACACATTCGCAAAAAATGAATTATCCATTGAATTTCCAATAAGGACATGAAATAACCAATAAATAAACAGCACAGGACGTGCTTCGTTTGTGGTAGAGGTAGAGAGAGTTGAGACAGATCATCATACAAAGAAAAAGAAACTACAGAGTCATCATTGAAGCTTTTCTATAGTTTGCAATCCAGGAGCCTCTCTGAGCCTAATACAAGTGTGCAACTCCGAGTTATGTTACAATATAGTGGAGAAAAAACTAAAACTACCAACATCAGCATGCAGTGGTAGGCAGCCATATAACACATACATGTCAAAGAGAAATGTTATTTCAGAGGTCATATCATCATCGTTAGAGCACTGGGATATTGGGGTTGGACTTCATGCATTTCGCTAAGCTGGAAATAAGATTTCCCTGTTGAACAGATAGGGAAAATTATTGCAACTGGCCTTTTTCAGGTTTCACCTATCATTTTGCAATGGGTATCATATGTGAAAAAATCCATGGAATTAACATATATACTTCTTGTTCTTGTTTGATAAAACCGATTTTTACTATTTTAACTTGCGTTTTAAACATGGTTCTCCACTAATCTTAAAGTGAGAACATGTAAATTTTTCACTAGTGAGGAATCTAAATTTCAAAGCATTAGATGAATCTGAATTGAACAGTGAATCACAAATTTCACTATAGTCATTTTATCAGCTTGAAAAAGGAGTAGATGGCTTGTTTGGTAGCTTTGCCACCAGGATAGATAAGTACTGGTAAACCAGAACAAACAAAGAAACCAGAACAAAACCCAATGGGAAAAGTGACCCCAAATGCACAAAACAGACGAACCCCATTTGAGATTCAAGTTATCGGCCAAGAAAGAAATGCTAGTTAACAATCAATTGGAAGTGGGTAAGCACTAGGTGAATTGATAGTTCACTGTCCAGGTCAAAAACACAACTTCAAAAAGGTCTTGCCTGTTTGTCGACAGCGAAGAAAAAGCTTTGAAGACGAACAAAGATTTGACTACAATCGAAGATTTGACTTGTTGAAGACTACCGAAGACTTGGTTCGCTATTGAAGGCGGGAGAAGACGAAGAGCTCGCGAGCTCGCTTCCTGTGTGTAAATTTGGGCTGCTGTTAGTTAAGCCCACTTAGTGAGCTTCTAATCCTGCAAGTTCAGTTGCTAAATAAGCCTTTGTTTGGTTCAAGACACGATTGGTGCTAACAAACGAGTCATCCTATAATGAGGGCCTTATGCTCTTAGATGAGATCTTATCTTTTAACCGTTGAATCAAACTAACTAATTTGATTCCACCATTAAAAGATAAGGTGCCTCCAGGCTAAACCGCATCATCTGTAAATCCCACCACAGATGCCCTGCATAAACCAAGTCAATAAGATTTAGTGGGCTACTTCCTCACTAAACCAACAAATCAACTACAATGATGACAAGAACCACAAAAAGAAAAAACAATAATGAGTATTAAACTTCAGGTATGCATACAAATGAGAGACAAAAGATCGAGTAAGTATAGCACATGGCTCTCACTCAGAACATGTGGTCATTTATATTGCGGGGATTGTTTGGACAAATGGTAGCACTTCTTCTTCTTCACCTCTCAAATGGAGTGCCCTGTTTGTCATAGTAAGGTGTTCGATTCGTCCATCGTCCCAATTAGGCCGACGCTGGTATGTGACAGAGACCTCAATTCGGGCTTCAATGTGCCACCACCAACACCAAAGAGGGAGGGGGAGGGGAGGGGGGGCTTTGCTTTTGAAGTACATTCAATTAAATATGTGTTTGGAGCTATTGATGATGCTGCAGGCAGCTTATTTAGTCCGTGTGTATTTGTTGATTTGTTATTAATAATAGAAGAAATTTATAACTATGTTGTTCCATTTTCCACTCCCCCACTGTTGATTGAATCCTGGATTTGAAACCCATCTTTTCGGATAATCGTAAGGTTTATTAGGCCGCCAATTGTGGTACACTAGAGAACATGATTGTGAAATTGATGAATACACTAAGAAGAATTGCTGGGTTTCTTGAGTTTATGAATACTGAGAAACGCCTAAACACAAATTAGTGATTGATTTTAAATTAGGACTGACGAAAACACATGGAGAAAATGGTAAATTGGATAATAAGATAAAATTACTTTAAGAGTGCTGTTAAATGAACCCTAAAATTAACTAAGTACACCCTACTACCAAACTAATTGAATTATTAATTTATCATAATATAAAATGACCAAAAGGGATATATTGAATTGTGACTCAAATATAATTTTAATAAGCACATCATATTCACCATATTCAACCCTAATTAAATGTAGAGAAGTTTTCATACAACGAACAACCCAACGAACACTAAAGGAGGCGCAACTGCATATTTGCAAGTAGGATGACAGGAATAAAAGAGAATGAAAAATTCCAAAAGAATGACCACAACATTGAGCAAGTCTCCGGTCTGAAACACGTTGTCGATGAAGCCAAGCAACATCAAAATGTGAAGTAACTGGTCCTAAATTTGTAACTTTCTCGGACTTGCGGCGAGTGCCATGGAACTACCAGCCGTTCTTTTATAATGGTTTTACATAGAATTTGTTTATCTACTTTAGACACAACAAGATATTGCTGGGATTTAAAAATCCATAATTTTGTGTCCTTAAAAATGGTAGGTCATAGTAGAGATCCCTTGAAGAGATCCCTTGAAGAAATATTTGTTACGATATTCAGAATTATAACATGAACGTGAGTGCTTATTGGGAAATTAATTACAGATGTGTGATGTCGAGGAGTTATACAGAGTATTGGGATAGTGTTGAAAAAGTGTATTAAAGTGTATTAGGGATATTTTTAGTAGTTAAATAGGATATATTTAGTTAATTTTATATTTTAATTAAAATATTAGAGTATACTTAGATGATAAGATGTACTCAGTTAGTTTGAGGGTTTGTTTAGCACCACTATTACTTTAATTAAGTTTTCAGTCAAGCTTTTCTTTTCTCCTCATGGATTCTCATCCTTCAAAAATTTAACCATGAATGGAGAAAATTAAAAACAGTTTCTGAAAAAATATTAGAAGTAATCCTGGAGAAATAACCATTTAAATATCCAACAAGTACCTCCAACAAAACAAAATTGAATTCATATCGTTTAACATCCTCAGCACTTCAAACCAAAATGCATAACAATAAAAAACGGAACTATCCCAACAGAACGTCACTGGCATAGAAACTAAAAAGTTGACTAATAATTTGATAGCTGAAAACTCTTGGGCAGTTTCTCTCATACTTATGCCTTGAGGCGACCATAGTACTTCTGTTTCTCCTGTGTTGTCTGGAAGCGACCGTGCCCGAATTTTGAAGAGGTATCGATGAACTTGAGTTTAATATCCTCAAGAGCAAGACGAGAGGTCTGTTTGAGCAGGGACTGGCGAAGAGTAACAACCCTCTTCTTGGGTCCAACGCAGCATCCCTTAATCAGAATGTAATCATCCTTCACCACACCATAGTGAGGGAAGCCACCAATGGGGGTAATGTCTTTCTCCGTCCTGAAACATCATCCACATCAGAATCTTTCAACAACAAAAAAACATAATCAAAAGCAGGCGTCCTATAAAACCAAATCCATGAACCCAACAAAATTTTTCAGAGGAATCCTTGCTAGCATTCCAAAATGCAATACTAGACACTACAAAAATTACCCAAGTTAATAGAGTATACTAACCTGTCAAATTCAGTGACAGCAGTGTGTGACTCCTGCCCAGCCTTCCCAAGCTTATAAATCTTCTTGTTCATCTCAGTACGGTGGTGGTAACCATTCTGACCAGCCCTGGCAACTGTAAATGAGACTCTAGCAGGATGCCAGGCACCAATACAAGCCACCTTCCTCAGACCCCTGTGAGTCTTACGGGGAAGACGAGTTACACCCCAACGAGTAACAACGCCTTCATATCCTTTACCCTTTGTGACACCAATGATGTCAATCATCTCATCTTTCTGGAAAACAGCATCAATAGGGATCTGCTTCTCAAAGAAGCTTTTTGCAAATTCAACTTTCTGAGCAATAGTCCCTCCATTCACCTGGATCTCCATAAGATGTGCCTTCTTTTGTTTCAGTCCCTTCATCTTCCTGATCTGTATGTGTAGAATACAAGCATACATGTAAGGAAACCAGAGAAGCTTGACATAACAATCAAGATAAACAAGTTAAATAAAACAGCTTAGTTAACAAACATGTGCAACATCAATCAGGATATCCCATGGGACATATTATTACATATTTTAATGCATGTTACACTACAAGGAGAGAATTTTATGCATCATACCACTACTGCAATAAGTTTGCAGATAAACAATCAACTCTATCTACTTGAAAACAGAAAAACCATCATAGAATAGAAACACATATTTCAAAGACAGTTTCTACCTACAAAAAAGAGTTAAAAGTGCATAATGTTTTCGAAAGTTGGGTATAGAAAACATAAAAAACCAAACATCCAGGGCAAACATGCATATAATCAATTCAATATATAAACTGTAATCAACACCTGAGTGTGAGCCAGAACACGAATGACAGTAGCATATTTGATCAGTTTCTCAAACTGTGATTCAATGCTCTTCTTTCCCTCTTCACTTTCGTAGTTCTTGCAAAAGCCTTCTTCTTGGACTTGCACCAGTTCTTGTAGAACCTCCTCTTCACCTCCTCACTAAGATGCTGAGCCCACACAGTGTTCAAAGAGCGAAGGCCACGTGGTGTCTTCACATAACCCACAACTCCGACAACAACCATTGGAGGAGCCTCAATAATAGTTACAGCCTCGCACGTCTCCTTCTTGTGAAGCTCTAAAGACATTAAAAGCTAAGTAAGAAAAACATAATAATATACAAATTTCTACAAGATTAAATCTTACTATACAGATTTTACATTAAATAACTAAGTAAGGAAATAATAACACACAAATTAAAGTAAATAAGTTATTTGTAGTGTGCTGTCACCACCCATTTAGTGATTGGATTGTGTGTCCATGTCAGTCAAATATAATACAAATATGCATGCAGTCTTCAGGAATTACATAATACACTGTTAACTCATCAATTAAATATGAATCTACAAGAGAATTTGATTCGAATGTAGCATACTAGATCCGGGTTTCTCAACATCTCTGACAATGTGAGTCATGCCAGCCTTGTAACCAAGAAAAGCAGTCAACTTGCAGGGTTTGGATGGGTCATCCTTGGGGAAAGCTTTCACTGCATATCGACAACATTGACAACAGTTAGAATACCACATAAAAAGTAACAAATACAAAAACCCTGGCTGATGGAATTGAATGTAAAAATGCTGATTTAAAATAAATTTTAGTAGAAAGGCAACTGTTTTACGAATCTTCTTCATATCATATAAACCATTACCATGCGGATAATAAATATTTTATGAATCTCTCCATTTAAAACCAAAAACCAAATCAGTTTATATACCTTTGCCTCTGTGTCGAGCAGCTCGCTTCCTTGGAAGAAACCCAAGGGATCCATGCCTGGGGTGCTCAAACTTTCTGTGAGACATTTTCCTCCTGCTTCATTCAAAAATCAAAAACAAAAATAAGTCCACATAAAATCCAAGATTTAACACTTCATCTTAAAGGAGACAAAATGATCTATACATATATGCTTCAACCGAACTCACTATCTAGCAAAACTATAACATTTTTTTTCCGAAGAAATCATAACAACAAACAAGCTGCACATATTCAAATCAATTCGGAAACAAGAAGTTTAAACAAAATGAAAACATATTCTACCAAAATTCACCAACGAAACGAGATATAAACAGATAAGCGGAAAAATACTAGAATATGAGCAAAAGAAACCAACAGTGTTTTCTCTTTTCAAGACCAAAACAAAGTTTCATGTAAAAATCGCAGTGACAAGAAATCCCATTTTCTCAGAAGATAAACAAACCCGCACTTAACCTAGTGTGTGAGAGAGAAGGAGAGGCACAGAGAGAGGGAGAACCTGAGCTTCTAGCTGCGGCGAAATGCACCCACTCAGTATCACGAATAAACCCTAGTAGGTCTGTTGGCGTTTAAATAATAACCCCCTTCACGAAAAATGCCCTCAACTTTATTTTAATTCCGTAAAAGCCCAGTATCCCCTTTCATGTATATTTGTGAGCCCACGGCCCAAAACCAGCAAAAGCAAAACCACATTGTTTAGGTACATTTGAGGCCCCAAAACCAGCAATTTTTTGGGCCAAGGCCAGAGCAATTTTTATTATTATTCAAGTTATATTTGGGATAAAGAGGTTTTCTCACACACACTGTCAAGATATCATATGGGTTCAAATCTAAAATTATTAGGGCATGTTTACTAATCAAGAATCGGAGTAACAAGGCATCAAGTGAAGCAAGAATCGGGTTACTCGGTAATCGGAGTCATGCATTCTAATTAAGTTGTTTACTAACTGTTAAGAATCAAAATGAAAATAAAAATAATTTCCATTAAAACAATTTATTATTGTCATGAATCGGAATCAAAATCAATTTGATTACCAAAATGCCCTTGTACAAAACAAATTTATTTTATTCAACTAGTTACATAATTTTTCAAATTAAATTTTTTTTAAACATAACCAACTTTATATATAATAATAAAAAATTAATTTAATATTTGTAAAGCATAATCAAATTTTATAAGTTTAATTATTTACTTTCAAAAAAGAAATAATCAAATTGCATGCAAATATTCTATAGCAAAAACAAAAACAAGATAAGAAGAATATAGAGGGAGAGAGAGAGAGAGAGAGAGAGAGAGAGAGAGAGAGAGAGAGAGAAATAAAAAAAAAAAAAAAACAGGGCAAACAGCAAACAAAGGCATTTTAGGTTAGGTTAGAAGGGTATTTGTGGGTTATTAGAAAAAATATGAGGGTAGTTTTGGCATGAAAAATCTGATCCCTTTGCCTATTTTCCAAATCCAACCTCCCCTCTCCGGAATCAAGAATCAAATTGTTGTGGGCTCCATGTTGTTGTTCATTCCGCCAGTATAAGAGCATCTCCACCCACAAGGGCTAAGTCTAAAGCAAGGGCTGCCACTATTCACGTGAATAGTGTCAGCCTTTGCATTTGTAGTTCCACCCACAAGGGCAAAGTCTAGGGCAAGTCTAAGGCAATTACTATTCATTGTACTTTATTTCCTATTTTTTTATACTTTAAACCATTAATTTTGATAATCTTTTGTAATTAAATTTTCGGATAAGATTTTCACCCTCTAAAATTGTGAGTGGAGAGTAAAAAATATTGGAAGGAGAAGAGTTTGTATGGAGAATTGGTATGGAAGTGAAAAATGTGAGTGGAGATAAACAAAAAAATTGGAAGGAGAAAAGTTTGTAGAAAGAATTGGTGTGGAAAGTGAATAATGTGAGTAAAGAGTAAAAAATATGGGATGGAGAAGAAATTGTATGAAGATTGAGTGTGGAAAGTAAATAAAATGGTTAGGTATTTATAGAGAAAAAATACAGAATTTTTGGGTATTTTTTTAAAAAAATTTCAGAATTTTTTCAATTTTTTTAGCCAAAAAAACGAGGACCGTCGGATTTCTGGAAAAAATCCATCCGAGAGTCCCAGTCGCGCCACGTGGCACACGCCCGTTGGAGCTGTCATGTGGTGACGTCAGCGTGACGCCAACGCTGACGTCACCAAACTCGGGCTTCAGCCCGGGCAAGACTTGCCCTTGGGCTTCCTCGGGCTCGTGGGACCCACCACGAAACCGGGCGACGGGCCCTGCGCTGGAGCTTCCTCGGGCTCTCTCTGGCAGCCTTTTACCCGGGTTAGGCCCTGCGCTGGAGATGCTCTAAGTAAACAAATGAGTCATTCGAAATGGGAATGACTCCCATTTTACTCATTCTCATTCCGGATATGTAAATATGCCCTTAATCTGTAAGTCAAGGTTTTTTTTCTTCTTGGCTAGACCTTGTTGGCAAGCCCAATGCAATCATCAAATAGAGGACATAACTCCAACTTTGCAAATTATAACCCAAAAAACTTATTTGTAATGAAGATAACACTATCCTACGTATCATTGCGTTATTGATTGGGATAATAAAAAATGTTATCCCTATTGCATGAGAGTTTGTCTCAATTAGAACTCCCACTTAGCAGCTACTCATGCAAAATAATTGGCTGATGTGGAGGATAGGCAGATTGAACATCTAATGACAACCATAATTGGGATTTCACATGTGGATTGAAATTTTGTTTTAGTTATTTTATGTTCTCCTCCATCTGTTTATGTATTTGTTGGTGCTTTTTGGGTGAGGGATTGCTACCACCATAAACAACTTGATTTTTAGAATAGATAATTAGATGTAAGCCCAATTTCATTAGCAACTATTAGGTATAACCCAATCAGATTTCTTACATTGAAAATGATAAAATTACTCTTCAATCTAATAAAGGGTGCTTTTTGACCCAAATATTATCCACATTGTTCACAATGCTACAAATAAACGATTAACTTATTGCCTAGATCATTCTAATTAAATACCCACATGAAATTAAATACCTCCTCAAACACAACATAGTTGATAGCTCCATCAATAAACCCACAAGGTTACCTATAAAAAGTCTAAGCCAACATGCATTCATGGATGTAATTAGATTAAAATCATGGATAACACAATCGATATATATGTGAAAACCATCTATCTACTTTAGTTAAATTAAATTCTTGAAAATGTTAAGTTTACCACTAAGAGCAGCTCCATCGCATGACCCAAACCCTGACAGTAGGCCCCCCAAGCCTAGGTTAGGCCCTCCAGCGCACAGCTTGAGGCCTGGGCAAGCCCTGGGGCCCACCAGCCCGGGCAAGCCTTGGGGCCCACCAGCCCGGGCAAGCCCAAGGGCAGTTCTTGACTCACGTCAGCCCTGACAGCTCCCAACGGGAAGACGCCACGTGGCGCTTCCCGGACACTCCGATCAGTTTTTGCCCAAAAATCTGATGGCCTTGAGTATTTTGGCTAAAAAAATACCAAAAATTTCTGGATTTTTTCCCCTATAAATAACTAAACATTTTATTCACTTTCCACACCAAATCTTCATACAACTCTTCTCCTTCCAATATTTTTTTACTCTTCACTCATATTTCTCTATTACTTTCCATTTGTATAAAAAAAACAAATGGCCACTTCTGTTGAAATTGGAGGCGCGTGGACAACTAAGGAAGATATTGTGCTGTGTGAGTGTTGGGTGAAAGTTAGAGGGTGAAAATCTTATCTTAAATATGAGATTATAATTTTTTTTAATAAATATCCAAAAATCTTATCTGAAATAAGACACGTGGCAACCGAGAATCTCATCCGAAAATTTTATCTGAAATTTGATGAACACATGGCAACTAAAAATCTTATCCGAAAATTTAATTCAAAAATTTTATCCAAAAATGTTATCTGAAATTTTAGGTGAGATTTTTATAATAAATAGTGACACGTGGCAACCGAAAATATTATCTTAAAAGCTATCAAAATTAATAGTTAAGTATAAAAAAATAGAAAATAAAGTAAAGTGAATAGTGTTTGCTCTTACCCTTGCCCTTTGGAGTGGAACCAAAAAAGGCAAAGCTGACACTATTCACATGAATTGTGTCAAACTTTGCCTTGCCCTTGCCTTTTGGGGTGGAGTTGCTCTAAGGTCTTATTTGCTACAGAATGTCTTCATAGATGCTGCAATAAAAATGTGTGTGTGTGTGTGTGAGAGAGAGAGAGGAGGATGCATGAAGAAAGAATGCATGATTAATTTATGACAAAATGAGACCACTTATATTCTATTTTATATTAGCAATTTGAGTTGGTTATTCTCATATTTCTCATTCTATAGATCTCTCGCATATTAGATTTGTGAAATCCTGCTTCCCAAAGGTTCACCAAACTAACTCTCTCTCTCTCTCTCTCTCTCTCTCTCTCTCTCTCTCTCTCTCTCTCCTCTCTCTCTCTCTCTCTCTCTCTCTCTCTGAGTTGTGGTTTTCCATTCTTCCCCCGATTCTAATCATTTTCTTGGTTATAAACAGCTTTCACAATATAATGAGGCGCAATTTCTGTGAATTAGAGCATCCCAACCCAGTAATGTACTAGGATGGGCGGAACTACCTTATGGGGTACAGCCCACTGTAGCCCAGGGAGCTTTTTGGGGTTAAAAAAAAACCTATATATATTAAATCAATAATGCTATTCTTACCACATTTCCATACCATAGGATATATTAGGGGTGGTTGCGGTTCGGTAACCGCGAATTTTTACTCAAACCGCAAACCGACCGACTATTTGCGGTTTGGTGATTTTTGATACCGCAAACCGACCGCATTTTGCGGTTTACCGCATTGCGGTAAACCGCAAAATGCGGTCGTTTACCGCGAATTAGCGGTTTAAAACCGCAAGTTCTCAAGCATTCACAAAAATATAAATTCACAACCTAAATAAATAAATACACAACCTCAATTTCTCAAACATATATAAATTCACAATCTCCTCAACTTCTCAAGCATTCACAACCTAAGAAAATTAAAGTTACAATTCCAAGCGTTCCAATTAAAGTTAAATTTCTCAAGCATTCTAATTCCAAATCATTTAAAGTTACAAACCAAAAGGAAAATGCAAAGCAAAATGAATTAAAGTTACAACCAAAAAGAAAAATCCAATTCAAAGTTAATTAAAGTTACAAACTAAAAGGAAAATGCAATGCACCAATGTTACAAACTAAAGTGTTGGTGGTGAGTGGATTTGAAGAACCTCGTTGTGTTGTTTGAGCACCAATGTTATCTACAAATAAAAAAATATAGTTTAGTACATTTTATTATAAGAAGAAGCATAAATAACATTAGCATAAATAAACTAATTACTTACAAGTTGTCATATGTTCTATTTCCTTGTAGAATTCAACTTCATCATCCGTTCGGCTATATTTTGCGGTTTGCGATAACCGCAAGTTTTGAAAATCAAATACCGCAACCGCAACCGCAACCGCAAATGCGGTTCGGTTCTTAATACCGCAAATGCGGTTCGGTTTACTGCAATTGCGGTTTCATTGCGGTAAATTGTCGGTTGGTTTTTGCGGTTTTTTCGGTTTAAAATGCCACCCCTAGGATATATCACCTTTTATTTGGACATGCCACCTCATTTAATTTCATTTTATGTTTTTTAATTTTTTAATCAAAAACCCTAGTAAAAGAAATTGATTAGATCTTACGTTTTATTCTCCACTCCATCTCTTTCTTCTCTCTCCACCTCTTCCCTTCTTCTCCTTCCAGCCATTCTCTGTTCTCAATTCTTTTAGTTGATTTTTATTTGATTTCTAGCAAACCATCTTTTCTTTCCTTTTTACTTTTATAACGAATGATTTTATCTAATTGTTTCTTTGAAAATTAAAGGTGTCGAAAAGGAAGAAAAATGTCTATATCATGTTAGGGTTATGGGCCATTGTTCATGGACTATCTAAGATGATTGGTCTTTTCCTATTAATTGCACTGATCCTGCTGTGTTTTTTTAATTTACTCTTTTGTATATCTTTTGTGTTGTTTTTTTCCATTTGTTCTGGAAATTAAGGAGGAGGGATGGAGGATGAAGGGTTTAGGGTTTAGAGGGACTTTCAAGAGGGAGGACGAAATTGATTGGGGGAGACGGAGAATGATGGAGGAGGACGCAAGAATATGAGAAGTCTGACAAGTTTATAATTATAATAATTATTAAATATATTAAGTGAAATGAATGAAAAATCGGATAACTTAAAATGAAATTAAATGAGATGGCATGTCCAAGTAAGGTGCCACATTATGTGGTATGAGAATGTAGTATACAAAATGTGGTAAGAGTACGTAGCATTACTCATATTAAATATAGTTCATTAAAGTTTAAAAAAAAAAGCCAAATATTTATGAATTTAGTTGCAGTTTAGCAATAAAAATAAAATAAGTACACTTTCAATTATGTTGTTGAACATATTTTATTTTGATAATATGTGTTTTTTAGTTGCATTTAATATGTATTTGTTTTATGTTTTAAAAAAAAATTTGTCTAATTTATGTTAAAATTTATTGAAAATTAGTTAATAGAGCTATGAACTAACATGGTAAGTGTAGCATTACTCATATAATAATAAGAGGATTTCCCTAATAACCCAAAATAATTAAATAAGTATATTGCATTTTTGTGGGAAACACGGGAAAGTGAAAATTGAAATTGGTTGTGAAGAAGATAGTTGGCCTAAGAAAGAGAAAAGCTGCCCTTTATATTATACACAAATTATTCTACTCCCAAAAGAATTGAATGTAGTATTTGACTGAAACAAAGCTGCCCTTTTTTTCAGATATGGATTCCTAATTTTTCTCGTAGTTATTTTTTATAAATATTGTATATTAATAAATAAAATAAAAGATATTTTTTATTCTGATTTTAAAAAAATGGTTTTTCTTTTTATGATAAAAAAAGATGATCAAAGATGTTGAAAAAAAATAGTCTGATAAAAAGGTAGTTTAAAAAAATATAATTCCAGTCCAGTACCAAACAGGGTTTATGTAGAGAATGGGTTGTTATACCTCTCTCACTCGTTCCGTCGGAGTAGGAAAAGAACTGCGAAGCACAACTGTTCCGCTGGTAATCAGAGCAATCTTCTATGCTTTTCCCTTGCTGCCCATCTTTGTATCACCCTATATTACAAATCATATGTTTAACACTAGTCCTGTTTATGTCTAAGTTATAGAGATTGGGTTATTAGATCTGCATGTTGTTTATGACGATTAGGGTTCGATTTTGGGTGCAGAATCCGGAAAGTTTCATGTTTTGCATATTAGGGTTTAGGGTTTAGGGTTTAATGATATGATTCTCTTTCCTGAAAATTACCTATGGGCATCATATACAGATAAGATACCCGATTAGATAATATTATGTAACAATTTAAGTTCTGGGATTTACATATCCCCATAATTGCTGTTATAATTGAAACTATTTTTTTTGTATTGAAACAAAATCTATACGAGTGTGGCCCTTAATTACTTGTCTTTTAAATACCTCTCACTTGTTTTCCATTTTGTGTCTAGCTTGCACATGGAGGGGGGAATGCTCGATGTTGGTAAAGCAGGAGAGCACTTATAAATCTGTGTTCATACTGGCGCGTACCTTTAGAAGAGCCTGTCAAGGATATTTATTTGAGGTCAAAATAGGGCAAGGATCAGGAGATATTATGGGGGCAAGAGAAGGAATACCAGTCCCAATAGATGCTCAAGATCGACCCCCACTGCTTCATCCTGTAACCAAGTTCTTTGATGATGAGAAGAGTCATACGGTTTTCAGTTACAATGGTTCTTTGGTGGCTGTGACGTTCAACGGCCCCTCCAAGTTATATATGTTGGTAACTGCTTCTGTTGAACCTAAGCCGGAAGGGCGTGTTTTCGACACAGAGACCAAGTCATTCTATAATTTCAAACGCCCCAAATCATTCGGGAGAGGGGCAAATTTGATCCCTGCGTATGGGAAGCTTTATCATCTTGGAAGGTGGGGACTTAGAGAAGGACCAGCGTTTGAGCGGTATGATCCCTGCAATGACTGTTGGGAGCCCCTGCCACATGCTCCTGCTGAACTCTTTCGGGGCATATGGACGGTAACTGGTTATGCCATTTACGGCGATAATATTTTGGTTTCATTTAGGCCCTACAGAGATAATGTTTTTGCTTTTCATGTAATTGAAAATAAATGGCATCCTGTGTCGGGTAGCATCTCTATTCGGGGGAGGGCTGTGGTTGTAGGTGATACCATCTATGCCTTAAGCACCGCATTCCAGATGGTTAAGTTCTCCTTTGATTCTAGTATGTATTCTATCTATAACCACAAAGCAGGTACTAAGGGGTTTGGAAAACGTGGCACAGTATGCTATGGGAGAACGTTTTGATAATTACTCAAGAGTATATGGTTCATTTGGGGAACTTGGAATTTTGTCGTGTCTGCACTGCCGTCGATAACTCTGGTGGTGGTCGTCAACCTATTTGGATCACCACCTTCCAAATTGTGGACAGTCCCCATATCAAGATCTTGCATTCAGCTGTTTTTGATGTGGACATGACCGATTACTACATCTATTATAGCTTCACTCCGTACGTTTCTTTTCCTTCTCCTCCTTCACGTTTCTCTTTAATTTATTGTTCTCCCTATAAATTCAATATACTTAGTTGCTTCTATGATTTTTGATATTATTTTATGACTCAGAGATTGCGAGGATGACGAACCCAAAGGAGAAGAAACTAAGGTGAAATTAATACATGAATGAATCAGATTCTACAAGTGTGTGAGTTTTATATAGTTTCTGATAATATACATAAACTAAGTTGGGGTTCAATTCACAGGGACCACAGGAAAAGAGATGCAAGCGGAAAAGAGACTGCATAGAGTAGAGAGTTTAGTGTTTAATCACCAGCTGCTTAATTAGTTTCTCTCATCATTGATCATTCTGTCTTGGATCAAATAACTTGTAATCAGTACATTTATTTATGTGCATGCTTTTGAGATATTGGTGATGTATTCACTGTTAGTATCATCAGCTTTCAAATTGTTTTCCCTTTGTTCAGTTCAGTCTCTTCGTGTGGGTTGGTTTTACAGAGTGAGACTTGAATAAAGTTAAGTTTGAAAAAACTTCTCGACTGCTACTGAAAATGATGATACATTCCTCTCTTTACCTTTTCTTTTCCACCATTTTGTTCGGCCTTTTCTTTCAGTATATGGTCTCTTTTCTCTTCTTTGCTTGTGGTTTGATTTTTATCAGATGTTGGAATCATGCAGGGGTTGATTCTGAACTGCACCCGCCTTTTGTTTTACTACTCTTTATTGTAATCTGTTGTGTATTAATACAGATGTTTGGTTTTTGGCCATTTCTTTGAAGCCGTCGTAATAACTATTTGAATCGGTTGTGAAATAGTAGTGACTGTTGCAACCTTTTTTCTTCTTTATTTTTTTATTTTTTTATTTTTTTATTTTTTTATTTTTTATTTTTTTAATTTTAATTTTAAGTTTTATTATTTTTTAAGTGAGAATCTCTCAAGTTAAAATTATATAGTAGTGAAAGTGTAACACCCCGACTCCAAATTTATTCCTATTTTAATTAAATTAAGAGAATTATTAATTTACTCTTGGGTTAAGGGTAATTTTGGTCATTTTCTTATCCAGAAGGATTTCGGGACCACGAGTGGTTTGGTTGCGTAGGTGGTACTGAGACGAATCGTAGACAGGCGGTAGCCTTGAATCGGAGTTGTAATGAAGTTTTGGCGATCAAAATATGTTCAGTGGCGGAACCGTAATTATTTCAAAGTGAGTTTGGGGTAAAATCAGATTTTTCACATTTACCTCTCACTTTCTCTCTCTCTCCCGCGTACACTCTCTCTCCTCCGTTTCTCTCTCCCCGACACCGATTCCCTCTCTTCGATTCTCTCAGTTCCGGCAACGGGAAGAGCCGGCACCGGTTCCGTTCGACTCGTCTCGAAGCCCCGATCACAACCCACCCCATTTCCCCGCCGGAAACCTCGAATCCCGATGTCAGTTTCGACTGGTTCGAACCGGAAGTTTCCGATCGTTGCGCCGTCGCCTCCGCCGTCTGTTTCAAGTAAAGTTGGTGAGTTTTCTTCTTCTTTTTACGTGCTCTAGCTGTTTTTGGGGTAGGTTTGGATCGATTTTGAGTTTTGGAACCGAATTGGAAACCTAGGTTTTGGCCGGTTTTCAATTTGAAATTCCGGCCAGTTCCCGTGCGAATTGGACCTCGTGGTAGTTGAATAAAGTGATCCTGACCTTGAGAAGAAGCTAGGGTAGGAAGGGTGAGCGTTGGTGTGGAGATTTTCCGTCGCCGGAAATTCCTCTACACACCCACGCGCTGCCGGCGCGTGTGGCGGCGCGTGGGCAAGGCTGGTGAAGTTGCTTTTCATCCTGACGAGATCCTTAGGTTGTCACGGGTGCGTAGGATTTTACGGATCTCAATTTGGATGTCGTTTGACTATCGAACGGATTTCGCATATTGTGCGTTATTCGGGTTCGATAAGTTCTAACCGTTGGATCGTTTCCAAGTTGAAGTATGTTGATTTAGGTACTCTTAGAATCCTATAGGAATTCGCGGATCGTGAATCGGAGCCCCGGATGTTCCGATTCAATAATTCGAAGTTTGTGGAATTAGCGATAACCGTAGGATGGGAAGCGATTCCCAAACCTGTAAGGATATCCTATTGGACGTACACGCATTGGGATCTTGGGGATTTAAGTATTCTCTTTTGTGAATTCCCGTTTCGAAGTGTATTGTATTAATCAAGAGTTCGTATCTCGAAATAGGTACTTCGGTCGATCGTTCGCAGCAGGCAGGACCCTCTCGGGGCCGGGCAGCGTGGGATTACCTGTGAGTGGACTTTGTTTTCAAGCATTTGCATGGTTTTATTGATAAAAGATTTGTGCATATGTTTTAAATGGAAATGTGATTTATTAAGTATTTTGGTTGATGACTTTGGATATTCATATACGTATTGGCAATATATTTTGAGTATGGCTATGTTTGAGTATTATGGATATGTTTATATGGATTTTGGGATATCTATCTATATTGCCTATGTATAGAGTATGAGGAGTTGATGTTGTGAGATTGTGCTATGTATGGAGTATGAGGAGTTGTTGTTATGAGATTGTGGAAAGATATGAGTTTGAGGGATGGTTGTGAGATGTATGAGTATGTTAGGTGAGTACCATTCCCTGGTTACTAGGCTTCCCACACATGGCGTTGGCAGTGCCGGTGTGGTGGGAAGGTCATGAGATTGTTGGTCCCATACATGGCGTTGGCAGTGCCGGTGTATGGGAAGAGTATGTATATTGCTTAGTATCATCACACATGGCGTTGGCAGTGCCGGTGTGGGGATGATACTGTCTGCGCGCGTAGGACTTGATATGAGATATGAGATTTGTGAGCTACACGTGGCGTTGGCAGTGCCGGCGTGTGAGCTATGGAGTTCCGTCCCCCGGTTGGACTACTCATCCCTGGACGCGGGTTCTGGTTCGAAAATCCTGCGTACCAGCCAACAATCCCCCGGTTGGATTGTCTTCCCCGGTACATTAGTATGGAGAGAAGTATACGTTATATTATAGATATATATATAAATATATACTTATATAGGTATACATATGTATGGGTTGGTGAGAGTTGCATACTTGTGGGAATGGAGTTGTGGTTTGAGATTTTTGAGAGTTATGGGACTTTGAGATTTTATGTTTGAGTATTTGATTTATGGATGTGGAGACTGCATGCTTGAGCATTATTTTTACATGGTGGGGTTACTATGTTGTTTTAAATGCAAACTTTATTTTTGTCCACTCACATATTTCTGTTTTGCGCCCCCCAGGCAGTAGTGGCTTTTGGAAGCGCTCAAGCAAGTTGCGAGCTCCAAACATTTCATCTGTAGATAGGACTCGTGTAAATTCCTTCTACTCTACTGTTGTTGTAATCAAATTCTGTTAGATGCTCTGTTATCGCCCATGTTAGGCTGTTACTTGAGGCCGGAGGCCACTTTACTTCGAATTGATGTTTGTTGAAAGCATGCTGGCAGTTGGGAATTATATTATGTAAATTATGCAGGTTGAATGTTGTTGGGTTTGAGCATCTTACAGGGGAGACTCTGCCAAAGTTTTTGGTAGGATGTCTTGGGTTTTTAGTAAATGGGCCCGGCATCGGTGAGATGTCGGCAACAATACGGGGTCCGCCCCGGTTTGGGGAGAAATTCCGGGGCGGGTCCTGTCAGAAAGAATCATCAATATCTCGGACTTGGCCTAATTCTTCGCCCCAACTTTTTAAAAGTTACAAAACCATCAATAAAATGAATGAAAAAATATATATCTTAATTTTTTTCGATATTATTGTTACATCTTCTTCTCCCTATGGGTTCCAGAATTTGCATTTCTTCTTTTCATGTTTTTATAGAATTGTTTTTTTTTTGTAGATATGGATTCCTGATTTTTCTCGTAATTATATTTTATAAATATTGTACAATAATTTAAAAAGGGAGTTGATTTTCCCACTCCCTTTTTCTCCACTTACACTCCCTTTTGCTTTTTAATATTTTTTAATCAATTTTTTTCTTTCTCTTTCCTATTCTAGCTTTACCCTATATTATTATTATTTTTTACTTCACTTTTATATTATTTATTTTTCTTTATACTTAATTTTTCAACCTACACTCCATTTTTAGTATTAAAAGAAAAAACCTTAATTTCTTACTTGATTAAAGGAAAAAAAATACTGAAAATAGAGTGCAAGTTGGAAAATTAAGTATAAAGAAAAGAACTAATATAAAAGTGAAGTAAAAAGAAATTAATGTAGGGTAAGGGTAGAGTAGGAAAGAACAAAAGGAAAAAAGAGAAAGAACAAAATTAAGGGTAGAATGGAAAGGGAAAGAACAAAATTGATTAAAAAGTATTAAAAAGTAAAATGAAGTGTAAGGGCTCGTTTGGTATGTTGAACTGTACTGACTAATTTCTATCGGATAGTATTAATCTATTCCAGATAGTATTGCCTGTTTATCCATAATATTATATTGTTTTTGGTGCTGTTCCGGATAAATAGTCAGACTATTCTTTTACAAAAAATTCTTTGATAATTTAAGTGGAAATATAGACAATGTAATTTGCATATATATAATTAAGAAAAAAAGAGAAAATATTGAAGCCTAACAAAAGCAGTCAAGAAGAGAATCATCAGTCAGTAGTTGCAACACAGAAATAACTAGAAAACAAAACAACAAAGCACCAAAAGTAGAAGGAAAAAAAGTTGCAGCAAGAAAAACATAGTCGCATGTATTGTTCTAACTGCTGACTTGGGATGATAATTTGATTATTGAGTTGGATACTTGGAAAAGATGGATACATAAAGGAAAAAAAAAGCAAAAAAAACTCAACAACATGTATTGAGTTGGATACACACCCGCATGATGATTATTGGATTATTTGATTATTGAGTTGGATACACAGCCAAGAAAAAAAATCCTAAACCAATAAAAAAAAATTCAAAAAGGAAAAACTCATAACCTAATTTCCACTAAGATTTAATAAAATAGGAAATATATAAAGAAAGAGAAGATGAAGAAAGAAGAAGAGAGAAGAAGTATATTGGAGAGAGAGAGAGATGGATACCTAGAGAAGAGTGAAGAGAATAACCTTGAAGAAGATAACAGAGAAGAACCCTAGGGAGAAGAAGATGAAAATAGCGTCGTCGGATTTTTCACGTGAACGTGTGTGTTCTTCTAAACCGGAGTGTGTGAGTTGTATTAGTTAGTCAGGTAAGAAGAGTATTAAAAGCTCAACCCGTATAAAATAGTCAGGTAATTAAATAATACAAGTTGGCACCAAACACCTGACATGAACTATTTACTCATATCCAGAGTCTAATACGGTGTATCAAACGAGCTCTAAGTTGAGAAAATGGGAGTAGGTAAATCAAATCCCTTTTTTCTTTTTCTTTTTCTTTTTTCTTTTTTAAGAGAGTTTTATTATGATAGAAAATATGGTTTTTCTTTTTATGATAAAAAAAAAGACGATCCTTATATGATAAATAAAGAAAGATGTTGAAAGAATTTGGGTTATGATTTTTCTACTCCTCTAATGTTTTTAAAAAATTTTTTTTTATAACAAAAAAAAAAAAAAAAAAAAAAAAAAAAAAAAAAAAAAAAAAAGTGGATAAAAAAGGAGTCAGAAAATAAGTTATCAAAAATTAATTTGATTAAAAGGTAGTTTTAAAAAAATATAATTCCAGTCCAATCTCAAAAAGTGTGTCATTATATAATAGCTAGGATTGAAAGTCTGGTCGAGTCTCAACCAGTCCAGTTTATAATATGAAATCTAATCCAATCTTGTTCTTACTGGCCCACCAAACAAGGCCTTATCACACAAAACAATAAAATTATCATGCAAGACAAACAAGAAAAATAAATTAAAAAGACAAAACCGTATAGATAAATGCAATAGTTTCAATGAGAAAACGTACCACAAGAAGATTTTGAATTTTGAATTTTACGAGAAAATCAGAGTAAGTCTTGAATGAAACGTAGTATATGACTGAAACAAAGTTGCCCTTTATGTTATACACAAATTGTTCTACTCGAAAAAGAATCAGTAGTCGAAGACTTGCAATAGGAAATTATGTTCACCACCTGGCACCTGCTCGATGGAATGCCCCAACGAACCTCCACAGTCTGCTGCCTGCCTCTTTTTTTTTTTAATTTTAAATTTTATAGCCTAGGAAAGAGGACGTCGTTTCGGCCCAGGTTTTTTCCATTTCCCCAGTCCGACATCCCAAAAAACTCCAGAATTTATAATTTTCTGTCTAATTGCTCCTCAAGTCCTAAGCCCAAGGTCCCCAGCCCCCACCTGCTGCCGTCGTCCGGAAGCTGCTGTGCCTCCGCCACTTTTATCAAATCTCTCCATTCAAGTGAGTTTTAAACCCTACTTCCCAATTGATGGTGATGTAAGATGTTTTTAATTTAATTTAATTGAAATTGAAATTTATGGTTACTGTCTTTATATATCACGCATATTCATTATGTATTTTATAATTGCACGAAAAAAAAAAAGAAGAAGAAGATATACAGGAATGAGGGTGGATTGTTTGAGAGAAGAAAATTGTGGATCATATTTTAGTTTTCGACAGACCAAAAGGAGCTACAACGCTAGAGAGAGATGTGGAGGCGCGTAGCTTCAGTTTCTCATCTGTTTTCTCATTCTAAATCAACCAAATTTAACCAGGTATACAATTGCACATTCGATAAGCTTGTATTCAATCAACAATTAGGATTTGTTTCCAGATAGAGTGATAATTGATTACTGACCGCAGGGAGCAAGCACATTCAAGATTTGGGAAACATTTACCTCAGAATCAGAGATACCAACTCCGGTACGGATGAATTACATTATTTTGAGTCATGGGTTGGGGTCTGAAACAGTTTTGGAGACTATATATTTATACACAAATGATGAATTGTTTAATGAGATCTTAATCTATCAAAAAGAGATGCCATGTTAATTAATCATATTGACTAAATCATGTTGTTTGGAACTTTGGATGCAGTCGAAAGGTTCTCCGTTCGTAACTTTTGTTTTAGGTAAGGTTATGGCATTGTTTATAAGTGTTATGTTGCTTTGAAAAGAACCAAAGAGCTTGTAACATGTTGGTGCTCTCAATCTCAGGTGGCCCTGGCAGTGGAAAAGGTACTCAGTGTGCAAAGATAGTTGAGGCATTTGGGTTCACTCATGTAAGTGCAGGAGATTTGTTGAGGAGGGAAATAGCTTCTGGTAGCGCATATGGGTAATAATTGTTCATTATTGTTGTTCATGGTAGTTTCCTGTATGTGTTTTGTGGTCTTCTTAATTTCCTTGATTTTTGTAACTTCAATTTCAGCTCTGTGATTCTTAGTACAATTAGAGAAGGAAAAATAGTACCCTCTCAAGTGACAGTCGAACTCATTCAAAAGGAGATGGAATCAAGTGACAATTATAAGTTTCTGATTGATGGGTTCCCTCGAAGCGAGGAGAACCGCAAGGCATTTGAACAAACTGTGAGTTTCCTTCTATTCAACTCTGTTTAATCTTTCAGAAAGTCTTGTTAGACCTGGCTGCAAGGATCAACTCAGTTTCTAGCAAACTCATACAATAAATAAGTTTATGAAAGAAAACTAAAGATATCATATCATGAATCCAACTGTGACATCTATAGTAGTATTTCATTTTTCAACCAAATTATTCCTCATCACTGGCTTCACCAAACTGTTGCAGATTGGCGCAGAACCGGATGTTGTGCTTTTCTTTGACTGTCCTGAACAAGAGATGGTGAAGCGAGTACTAAATCGTAATCAGGTGCTTATGTATTATAATTTTCTGTAGGGTTGAATTATGTGAACATATTTATCTAAAGTTTGATGTTTTATTTGCAGGGCCGAGTTGATGATAATATTGACACAATCAAGAAGCGCCTTGAAATATTCGATGAATTAAATTGGCCTGTTATCAATTACTACTCACAGAGGGGAAAACTTCACAAGGTAAATGACACATTCAAGGTTTGAGTGGATCCTGTGTTTAAGTTAGTAGCACTTGATACCTTAGAGTTTCTCATGTTTTTATATGAAGTTTTCTTTGCTGAATAGCTGATCTCTGTTATTCCCCTTTCATCTTTTTGTTTCAGACATGTATATTTAATTGTTAGTGGTTTTTTTTTTCTTTTCAAATTCCTGGTGAGCTTATTGCCTTCCATTTTCTTCTGGTCTTACTTATAAATTGTCTGAACAATAAATTGGCAAGTTTATTTGTGCAGATCAACGCAGTGGGAACAGTCGATGAAATATTTGAAAAAGTTCGACCAATTTTTGCTCCATTGAGGTATATTCTGTTATTCTGTATATCCAGTTTCCAGCATTTGTTGTCATTGATAATCCTGGTTCTCTTCTTCTTTATAATACAAACTTTTATATGAAATGAAAACGCAGAGAACAGCCTAAAAGAATATGGTTTTAAGCCACAAGTTAATATGTGCCCATGCTTAAGGCCAATGAGGCAATAACTTGTTTTTCTTTCTGCAGCAAATGAACGTTTGAGTGAAAAATAGCAGAGCATGTAAGATAATCTGGTTTTCAATTAAAGTACTCTGTCTTCTCTCTTTGGCAAAGATCACTGCGAAGAGTGGAAGTTTGTACCCAAAGAAGCATCGTGAAGTCTAAAGCAATGAATTATCAGATGGGTTAATTTTTTTTCTACCCGGATTATTGCACTAGATGATGCATGTACCCAGCTTAAGCTGGAAGGAAAACTACGCAGCATAACTGGTTCGTTTCAATATAGAATAATTTGAATTTATGTTAATATTTTGTGGCATCCACAGAAAAGGAAAAAAGAAATTTATCATTACTCCATATTGAATTCAAGATTTGCAATTGGGCTTTTTTGGTTACGTTTGGCCTTCGTCTACACAGTTTCTCCTCATATGAACTTTGTTCTTTCGGCCCTTCACATTACTTTCCCATAGAGGACTTGAATTAGGCCGAATTGAGACTCAAATCTTTTATGGATTAAAACCCAAACCCAAGTTTTAAAATCTTCTGACCAAGAACTAATGAAGAACTTAACTAGCTACAAAATGTTTCCTTCTAATATTTATGGTCAACTTCAAGAGGACCATGATCTTTGGCAGAAGAGTTGTTGAAACTCGGCCCTCTACCTGATTTTCCCAAGAGCGTGGGCCAGACTTATCAACGTTAAAAAGGCAGGCTCCTCCATTTTAGTATTATTACGTGGAAATAATGGTATCATTGTTGAATTAATGCATGAAATTATATTATTTCAAAAACCAACAGTCTTATTCAATTAATATTACATCATGGTAATTTGTTAAATAATACATCCAACCAAGCACATCTACCGGCCGTTCTTTCCTTGGCCCTTTATGTTTTTCCCATACAATTATTGTTGTATTTTACTAATTGTTGTCGTACCAGAACTGTTTCTGAAGATAGTCAACCACATTGTTGTCCACTTGGAAGGCCTTGGCTAGAACATCAGGGTTGATGGGAGGCTTGGAGCCAAACACTGCATTGGCTATGGTGATCACTCCTGGGTTCTGGCTGCTAAGCCCAGCAAAGGCTACAGCGTTGACATGTCCCACATTGAGTTGAAAGTGAATGAGGCCAATTGGGAACACAAACACATCTCCCTTGTTCAACACTTTGGTGAATAGGCGATTGCCATCACCGTTGGATGTGACGAAACCAACATAGAGTGTTCCTTCCAAGACCACAAGGATTTCGGTGGCACGAGGGTGAGTGTGAGGAGGGTTCAGGCCATTTGGTGCAAAGTCTATGCGAGCCAAGGATATGCCGAGAGTATTTAGTCCTGCTAGATTATCCACATTCACGGCTGTCACATTTGAACCAACTGGATTTTGTGTGTTTCTTGGATTTTGGAGCCCAGAAAAGAAGAAATCATTTGCATTGACAAGCTTTGGGTCCTTGCAGAATTTCCCATTCACAAACACTGCGCCTGCACCGAAATATCCACCTAAGCGAAACAGAACCCACATGATATTTAGAGAGGTGATCAGTAAGATGGTCAGTAAATATAATACAAATAGCACATATATGTGTAAGGGACAACATATATATATATATATATGTATATGTAAAATTATGTACTAATAGATTGTTCGTGCATGAGAGCCATGCAAATGCATATAGTTAACAGAAAAACAATCTTCATAATATTCCTAATGCCTTAGGAAAAAAATAATTCATGTGGAAATAATTGCAGGGCAGAATATAATGAATATAATTACTGCATACCGGCAGATTTGGTGTCATTGAGTGCTACACAGAAGTCCTGAAGAGGACTGGGGTCAGAGGCAGAGACAAGGAAGGTTGCAGATGCCAATATGGCAAGAGTGCTTATGAGGAAATGAACACCTTTCATTGCAGTTGGCTTAATTAGAGCTAGGTTGCCTCAAAACTTTCTTTTACTGTTTTTTCTTTGTGTGTAGAGAGTTTTGGTTTGAGGGTGGGATGAAAATCCTTCATGGATTACAAGTCTATTTATAGATTGCAGAGAATGAACTGGTCTTGTACTCTTGGATATGATTTTCCTTTGAGCAGGTAAAGATTTGAGTATTGTAGTATTTAGAGGCCAGTCAAGACTTGGTATTTGACAAAATCTCACCTTTAAGTTCAACTAAGGGGTGTATATATGTTGACCAAAATTTGATATTAATTTTCTATAAACCATTGAAACAAGAAAATTTCCTATATATATGTTAGCACCAGAAAACTAAAATAAAAATCAATTGTGATAGAATTTGGAAGAGCTTTGACTCAGCTCCACTGTTTGGTGTTTCAATAAAATAAGTTACCTTTTGTAAAGGGTTATTAGGGTTGTTTAATTATAAGACAAGGTCAGGTGAGGAAGAATATATTATACGACTATGATGATGAAAGACCAGGTATTAGGAGTTGTACCAAAAACAAAGAGTAGTTAGGAGATAATTATATTTTTTTTAATTAGGTGGTATTTAACCAATGGAAATGTTCAATGCTTATGCTATATAATTTAGACAAAGAGAATGAAATTCATCTCCTTATTAACATTGATGGTGACAATTTAGACAATTTAGCTGGTGGGGTTTTTATTTTATTTTTTGGTTCTTATTGTGTTTTCTTTTGGTCCTAAAACACAGATGTTATTTAGATAATTGGCAGGCACACCTCAAATCAATCTGATGCTGCTTAGCTACAAATGATGTTTACCAACTTGACTGAGTAGCTTTTAAACAGTCCCTCCCCTAATATTTCAAAGAGACAGATCTGTCATTTAATTTTTATGGAAATCAGTAAGTCGAATATATATATATATATTAATAACCCTAGTTGCTATGGTTGTAGATTATAGAATTTTCAAAGTGAGAAGATAAAGAGAAAGTTAGGTGGGATTGCAAAAATCCCATTCGGGTCAGGTCCCGGCCCTAAAGGGGGTAGGTACGGGAATTCCTGATTTTTCTAAATACCCGATCGGAGACGGGTCATTGATAATATTGTTATCCTCATCTCCAAACCTGGCCCGATAAGTGATGTATTTATTTTTAGTTACAAAATATATTATAGGCTTATTTACTGTAGTACCCCTTGAAACTTCAGTCAAATCTCACTTTACTCCCCCAAAGTTAAAATGGCACACTTAACCCCCTTGATCGTGGTTTTGTGTTCCACTTTACCCCACATCATTAACGCCATTCAAAACACTGTAAAAAAAATGATGACTTGGCAAAGTCATTATGATAAAAGTACCTACAGTGGCCAATTGTTGAGCATAGTCAACATCCTATGTGGCACAAGGGACCCCATAGGCTTTTAAAATCTAAATGGAAGCAGCTCAAGGGGGAAAACTTTTGTATGGGTTGATAGTGAAATGCCTCCTCGTGAGAGAGCTCTGATGGCTTGGCTGCTGAGGACAATGAGAGAAGTTGAAGATCAAATTGGGTGTGTAAGAGTAAGAGAGAAGAAGTTGTGGATTGCTCTGTTTATTTCTTAGGCCTTTGTGTTTATGGTTTGCTTTGGGAATGTTATGTAATGTAAGTTAGGCAATGTGATATGTTTGAAAGTTAGGCAATGTGGTATGTTTGAAGTTAGATATTGTGGTGTAATGACCTAGTAGAATGACAATTTAGTGAGATGAGAGGCTTATGTAATTGTTGTAGCATTTTGCAAATGTAATGGTTTCAAAGCCCTTTTGTAATGGGCAAGACTAAACACTTTTGTATGCACCAAGAATTCTTGAAACCCTTCAGAGCTTTTGAACTACCATTGATTAATAACTTGTACATAGTCTTGTACATAAATTGTACATGTTCAATCCATGGCAATGCCAAAACAAAATATAAAAGACTGAATATGCACATGTTATCCCCATGGCAATGCCAAACAATTTTTACCGAAAAACAAAATAGACAACAAAATACCAAACAAACAGTTTCTACCCAATAACACATGTGTTTACCAAGACACAACAAAACATAAAACCAACATTCAACCCATAAAAACACATCTCTGATCCAAAACACATGTGATAACCAAAATTGAGCATAGTTTTTTCAATATCTCCGTGGCTCAAACTTGGCCAAGAATGCTTTCCTCTTAGCTGGAGACTTAAACTTACTTAAAACCTAACTTTCCTTTGTTTAGAAGCTTGTAGAGGTTGAGATGTTTGAGGATAAGACCAATTTGGTTCTTAAGACTAAGATGGTTGTCAAACTGATAAGCTTAAGATGCTTGTTCAAACTGAGACGCTTCTTCAAACCGAGAAGCTTGAGATGGTTGAGCTGGTTGGTGAGATGGTTGAGGACCTTGGGTAGACTGAGAAGATGCTTGGTGATGATTGGTCCTTTTTTTAGCCTTTGATATATTATCTGAAAATTGTGGCAGAGTTAGATTAACATGAGCATTTACTAAAATAAACAAATGAAGAGTTCCATAATGCTACTTAAGTAAAATAAACCCAACATACTGGTTGTTTTCCCTTGATTGTGTAGAAGATGATGCTTGTTTCTGCCTTGATTGTCTTGTAACTCTTTGAGTTGATGTGTTGCCTTGAGGTGCTCTCTTCTTTTGCCTTTGTGATGATACCTGACCAACAAACATCACATATGAATCCATATCAGAATGCTAAACATACAAAACCTTTTAAATCAGATGCTTTGATTTTACCTAGCTGCTACTCCCTGCATCATTTGTCCTTGCACATTTCCTCTTAATATGGCCTGCTTGATTATATATGGAACACTTGATTTCCAAATTGTACCTTCACAAGTGTTTAGCTTTAGGATTAGAGCTTGGAGGTGGTTTAGCGGCTGACCTTACCCTGCTTTTCTATGGCCTCCCTAGTTGCTTGTGATAAATAGGTGGCAGCAAAGATGAAAATTTTGTTTTAGCCCACAAGTCTTGGCTTGCCATTGGATGAACCATGGGTTTGTAAGCTATTATAAAGACCTTTTTTTTGTTGTTGTAATAATCATGTACATAGCTGATATGATTGTTATTTAACTACCAAATGGTAACACAAGCATGCTTACCTAGGATCCTAGTTAAATCCCATTGCCTACATGAACAACTTTTGTTTCTCAAATCAACTACCACCTGAGTGCCTCCAAAACATTTAACCTTCATATTTTCTCTCCCGAGCAAGCCTTGGAATGCACCAAGTTGACTACTTCTTAAGCTTCTCAAGAGTTGCAAAAACTCTTGGCCTCACATCATGAGCCTATTTGTCCATAGCTTCTCTTCTACTTGCCATCAACAATGTGATGTAATACCTAACCCTCTCAAGCATTGTTATAATAGGCTTGTTTCTAGCATCAAGGATAGACTTGTTGAATGCCTCACACATGTTATTTAAGAGAATGTCACATTTTGAGTGTGTTTTAAACTGAGACCTACACCACTACATTGGATCAAGCCTCGCTAACCAATCAAAAGATGGTCCTCACAAATCTTGGTGCTTTTTCATCTTTGCTTGAAACCAAGGTATGGTTGTACTTTTTGCAACAACCTCCATATGTTGTTTTAGAACTAATCATCTATGGCCAGCAAGTATAAAATTGGCATGCAGATATTTAAAACAGTTCATATGCTCAGAGTTTGGGAATGTGTCACCCACTACATCAATTAAGCCATTTTGTCTATCTATAATGAACATATACCCTTTGCTATTTTCAATGCCGAATCAACAACTAAGATTTCCAAAAATCAAGTCTAAGTTTCATAATTCTCAGCCTCTGCCACTGCATAAGCTATTGGATACATGTCGTTGGTAAGATCAACACCAACCACAGAGAGCAATTGGCCAGTGTGTTGCCCTTTCATATGACAAGTATCCAAACTGACAACTAGCCTTAGAGCATCAATAAACCCTTTCTTTGTAGCTGCCAAGCATATGTAAATCCTTTAAAATCTGGATTTGTCATCCTCTAAATTGGACTTAATGATTACAGTACTTCCCACATTTGTCCCTTTTAGCTCCTCAACATAATCCCAAAGAGACTCAAACTATTTTGTGTAATTCCCTTCACTTACAGCAGTTGCCTTTTGCCTTGCTCTGTATATTTGTGATCTTGAAGCTATGACAAATAGATCTTCATTTATCCTTTCCTTAAAAGCTCATACATCCCGATTTATTATTCTAGACAGCTATGTAGAATATCTCTCTGCTAACCATGATGAGTTATCGTGGAAATTGTGTTCAACAGTCCTACAAGTGTGCTCCTCTTCATAACTCTTAATTTGAACCATGCTACTTCCATTTACAACTGAAGCATAAACAAACCATAGACATTTTCCATTCTTGATCCCATCACAAACAACTCTAACCTTATATTTATCATTCTTGGAGAACCTAATCTTCCTTATGTTAAATACTGAATAGTTTCATTGCTTTCCTAAATACATAGACACTAGGAAATCTTAAACCAATCTTAAAGATTAGGTTAGTCAAACCGGTGTTAGGCCTAAAATCATCAAACTTGGGCAGTTTCCTTTTTCTCTTTCTCATAGGCATATCAAACTCATTACATAAGCTACTATCCAAGTTATTAACATCACTTACAGCCATATCATCTGACTTCTCTCCTTCATCTGCAGTTGGATCAATATCTGGAGCATTATGGTCAACATAGTTGTCAAATGCTTTATCATCCTTCTCCAGCAAGCATTGTTCATCTTCACTTTGCTCATACATTGTCATAAAATTCAGGGTCTTCCTCATGTTCTTCACTGTCTTCATTCTCATTTTCAGTCCTTTTGTCATTCTCAGCCTCTTCATAGATAGCATCTTCATCACTGACAGGACCCACCCCGAATTTTCTCGTAACCCAAGACGAATCTTGTGGAATTCCCGACATCAACCCCGAAGTCGGGCCCACTACTGAAACTATATCCTCTTTTTCCCAAAAAGGAATAAGGGCACGAGACTTTCTACCGAAATTTCGGTAGAGTCTCCCCTGTAATTTGAACATTTCCCAAAATTTCAACCTGCATAAAACACATTTAATATCCCCAACCGGCAGCATGCATAAGATAATTTCATGCAATTCACATAATCGGCCTCCAGCCTTCAAATAATCCATAACCAAACTACCAACAAAGTTCTTAAGCCAAATAGTAGTACCTTAACCAATGCAAATAATAAGCTCAACATAATTACTAATGCCAAATGCAATCTTCACCATCTAACTTCCCAAACATCCAACATACGAGGCTCTAACCTCCTAACACAATTGTATCTCACTTTCACCCAAATTTCAGGACCAACGACAAGGTCCGAACCAATCTCAATTAAACAACATGAGTAAAGTTTAGCCTGCGGCTGCACATAGGCATTACCCTAGGCTGCCTACATACCCTTACTGAGGGATCAAGCCACACGTAGTTCCTTCTTACAAACATCCCATAGTCTCCCCGTACGCCGAAAAATCCAACGCCGCGTACGAGGTCTATCAACACATCTGAAAGTCCTACACTACGTGCGACCTCAACATCACATATCACAGTCTCCCCATACGCCGAAAAATCCAATGCCACGTATGAGGTCTGTCAACACGCCGGAAAATCCTACACCACGTGCGACCTCAACATAATATCACATAATCTTCCCATACGCCAGAAAATCCAACGCCACGTATGGGGTCTGTTGACACGCCGGAAAATCCTACGCCACGTGAGACCTCAACATAATATCACATAATCTCCCCATATGCCGAAACATCCAACGCCACGTATGAGGTCTGTCAACACGCTGGAAAATCCTACACCACGTGTGACCTCAACATAATATCACATAATCTCCTCATACGCCGGAAAATCCAACGCCACGTATGGGGTCTATCAACACGCCGGAAAATCCTACGCCACGTGCAACCTCAACATATTATCACATAATATCCCCATACGCCGGAAAATTCAACGACACGTATGGGGTCTGTCCTCACGCCAGAAAATCCTACGCCACGTGGGACCTCAACATCATATCACATAATCTCCCCATATGCCGGAAAATCCAACGCCACGTATGGGGTCTGTCAACATGCCGGAAAATCTTACGCCACGTGTGACCTCAACATAATATTACATAATCTCCCCATACGCCGAAAAATCCAACGCCACGTATAGGGTTTGTCGACACGCCGGAAAATCCTACGCCACGTGCGACCTCGACATAATATCACATAATATCCCCATACGCCGGAAAATCCAACGCCACGTATGGAGTCTGTCTCAACGCCGGAAAATCCTACACCACGTGAGACCTTACAATCACAGGATAGTTCTTACAGTGAAATCAAACATCTTTATATCTTTATAATCTAAATATATATATAAATTTACCAATAGTGCATAAACCTCTACCACAATATAGCATTCGATAATCCCCCAATTTAAAACAATAAATTAATTTCCCAATCCCACATAATCAACATAACTCAACAACGCTCAAGGCCCGTCACTAGGGTCATTATAATCCTCCTAGGAAGGTAAAATTACATCGGAAGACTCACGGTCAACCAATGGTCAAACTACCCAAAGTTGGTCAAATGGGCCCACAGGGCCCACGACCTCCAAATTCTGATCCAAGAGTTCCTATGTGTTCTACAAAGCTTAAGACACATGTCATGCAAGTTTGGTCCAAATCGGATGGTCGGATCGCTCATGATCGCACGATCAGACGGTTACTGTAACCCTAGCCCTAGGGTTGGCATTTCCGGAGTGTTCGGGACTCGATTTTACGATTTGTCAAATCCTACGCAATCCTAAGGATGTCCAGATTAACCTATAATAAACTCAGGACCATCCAACGCGCAATAGGTGATATCCGTTCGGGACTCAAACGGTATCCAAATTGAAATCTGAGCACACCGATGCACTTGTGAGGACCAGGAGATCACATAGGGACACAATGCCCCTTTTCAACAATGCCCACTCACCGCCACACGCCCCGGTAGCGCATGGGTGTCCAAAGCGATTACGCTTTGCAGTAAAATCTCAAAATCACGGCTCAAGACTCCTACCGTAGGTATAACACCTTATTTGGAACTACTTTTGTTCTCGGACCTACCCCAAAAACTGACCGGAAGTGGCTAGAATCGCGATCCCAAACCGGCTGAAATCCAATTTGAAAATCAGACAATCTAGGCTCAAAATTTATACAATCCTACCCAACCATTAGCTATATTATGAAGAAAGGATGAATTTCCATACCTGGATCGCCAAAAATGGTGGCCGGACGACGGAGAACGAAGCCGGCGAAAATTGAGCGAAAAACAGGCATGAAATTTCCCATTTTCCGACGACTGGAGTGGTGGCCGATGTCAGGGAAGGGCCGGGTCATGACGCCGGGGCTGAGCCGGTCCTTTGGCACCGGTCTCATCCACAGCCGTGGCCGGTGGCCGGAGTTTCGAAGAGAGAGAATGCTGTCGTCGTGAGAGAAGAGAGAGAGAGAGAGAGAGAGAGAGAGAGAATCAAATTTTATCAAACCCTTTTCGCAATATTTACGATTGTGCCACTGATGATGTTTTGTTCGTAACTTCTTCGTTACAGCTCCGATTCAAGCCCACTACGTGTCTACGGATTCATCACGCCGTGCTTTACGCAACAATATAGTCGAAATTCCCAAAATCCTTCTCGGTCAAAAAGGCAACTTTATTACTAGTCTAATATTCTAGGGCCAAAATAGTCTTTTATCTAAATAAATTAATATTTACCAATTTATTTTGGACCGGGTCGTTACAATCACCCTCAACCTCTTCATTTATACCCTCATCAACAGCAATGTCATCACACTCATCCTCCACATTTACACCCTCAAGAACAGTACCTTCATCACCCTCATCCTCCACATTTATAGCCTCTTCAAGAGCCTCTTCATCATCCTCATCTTCCTTATACATACCCTCATAACTAGATTGTTCATTACTATCATCTTCATGTTCAAATTCAGCAACTAGATTTCTTGCAATAGGACCCCTCTCCCTCCAAGGCACTGCAGTTTCATCCACATTACTAAGAGTGAGGTGTTCCAAGTAAATTACAATCACTCTTTCAAAGCTACAGGAGGCACCAAATGACACCATTCAAGTAGCTGAGCATCACTATCTATGCACACTTTTTTTACCATTTTGTATCCCTGTGATAACCACTTGGTCATGGTAGCCAAGCTCTTTTGCATACTCATATATCTCTAACAATTTTATGTAGTTCAGAAGACACCAATCCAAATAATCAATCGACCCCCCCTCTCCCCCACATAAAACCACCACTCATTGAGGTTTGGGGACTTTACCATTCTACCTCCATGGTGTACTTCAAAGGTGACTATTCCTTTGTCATCTACACAACAGAACATAAAAAAACACACTTTAACCACTGCCTAGTCATATGTACAGTTTAAAAAGGAAAACACAATCACCAAACTACCAGTAAACAGACATGGAGCAACATTCACACGCAACTAACAATTTTAAAGCACTAAAAGAACCTTTAAACAACTAGTAAACATGAAAACATAACATCAAGACATAGGGGACCACAACAATTTTTTATTCTAGGCTTTTCAAACTCAACACCTTTGAACCTAGACAATAAAGAAGCTTAAACTTGGACCACATTTTGTAAATCTCTCACTTTCATTGATTCCATTTCAAAAGAGAAGGGCCACTTACAGAACTCAGGTTGAGACCCTTCTTTCTCTCTCGGCACCGCTATTGTCCTTTTCATTCTCTCCAATATTCGCGCTTCTCCCAAGATTTCAATTCTTTTGCTTTGATTCTTTGCAATATTCGCTCCTTCTCAGATTTTCGAATCTCTATCTCTCTCTCTCTCTCTCTCTCTGATTATACACTCTAAACCCTAATGTCCAAATTATTTCGACTACGAAGCTTCTTTTTTTGGCCAAATCTACAAACTGATCTACTTTGAATTGGATTTTAAAAGCATGTGGGGTCCATTGTGCCACGTAGGATGCTAACTATGCTGACATAAACTTTCATTCATGTCAGCTAGTCTACGCATAAATAGTTTATCCATTTCCAAAAGGAAGATTTAATTACGTGAACTAAATTTAAAACTCATCCAGAAAATATTTATGTATAAAAGCACTTTGATCACGTTTTTAATTACTAAATATATAATATAACAATTAAAAAGTTACCCTAAACTTTGTAAGATGGTGAAACTTTTGACATATGTTTTTTATTATATGATTTTATTAGTTTTGTCAAATTAAATTGAGATGATTTTGAGTAGTTGAGTGAAATTGTATAGTTCAATTGAATGTAATTGAGTTGAATAATACTTTAAGGTTAAATTTAAATACAATCAATACAATATGATCATTTAAAAAAAAAAAAAAAATAAAATAAAAAAAAAAAAAAAAAAAAAAAAAAAAAAAAAAAAGGATTCAAGATGGTTTGGGATACCATTCCCCGACGGGGACGGGAATGGGGATTCCCCGAAATTTCATATCGGGGATGGGGACAAGGACATGGGCGAGAATGAAGAGTAAGGACGGAGATGGTATTGCCATACCCAACTCCTAACCCGCCTTTTACCATATTCTACATGTAAACTTTTAAAACCCATGTTTTAATCTCAACCATCAATATCGATCCAACGGTTGAATTTGATGTTCGCACACAACTAGCTGTCCTCAAGAGAGATAAATTTCTACGTGATTTGCCCTAGAGCATGGGCCAAACTTATCAATGTTAAAATGGCAAGGCTCTCCATTTTAGTATTATTAAGTTGTCATAATATGTTTGTTGAATTAATGCATAATGTTATTTCAAAACGAAATTATATTATTTCAAAACCCAGAGGGTATGTAATGCAAACCAACAATCTTATTCAATTAATATTACATCATAGTAATTTGTTGTAGGTACGTAGGGAAAAAACAATTGGCCAACTTAATACATCCAACCAAGCACATCGATTGGTTGTTCTTTCCTTGGCCTTTTATGCTTTTCGCATATAATTATTGTTGTATTTTACTAATTGTTGTCGTACCAGAACTGTTTCTGAAGATAGTCAACCACATTGTTGTCCACTTGGAAGGCCTTGGCTAGAACATCAGGGTTGATGAGAGGCTTGGAGCCAAACACTGCATTGGCTATGGTGATCACTCCTGGGTTCTGGCTGCTAAGCCCAGCGAAGGCTACAGCGTTGACGTGTCCCACATTGAATTGGAAGTGAATGAGGCCAATTGGGAACACAAACACATCTCCCTTGTTCAACACTTTGGTGAATAGGCGATTGCCATCACCGTTGGATGTGACGAAACCAACATAGAGTGTTCCTTCCAAGACCACAAGAAATTCGGAGGCACGAGGGTGAGTGTGAGGAGGGTTTAGGCCATTTGGTGCAAAGTCTATGCGAGTCAGGGATATGCCGAGAGTGTTCAACCCTGCTATTTGGTCCACATTCACAGTTGTCACATTTGAACCAAGCGGATTTTGTGTGTTTCTTGGATTTTGGAGGCCAGAAAAGAAGAAATCATTTGCATTGACAAGCTTTGGGTCCTTGCAGAATTTCCCATTTACAAACACTGCGCCTGCACCGAAATATCCACCTAAGCGAAACAGAACCCACATGATATATTAGAGAGGTGATCAATAAGATAGTCAGTAAATATAGTACAAATAGCACATACATGTGTAAGGGACAATACATACATATATATATATAAGTATCTGTAAAATTATGTACTAATAGATTGTTCATGCATGAGAGGCCATGCAAATGCATATAGTTAACAGAAAAACAGTCTTCATAATATTCCTAATGCCTTAAGAAGAAAATAATTCATGTGGAAATAATTGCAGGGCAGAATATAATGAATATAATTACTGCATACCAGCAGATTTGGTGTCATCGAGTGCTACACAGAAGTCCTGAAGAGGACTGGGGTCAGAGGCAGAGACAAGGAAGGTTGCAGATGCCAATATGGCAAGAGTGCTTATGAGGAAATGAACACCTTTCATTGCAGTTGGCTTAATTAGAGCTAGGTTGCCTCAGAACTTTCTTTTACTGTTTTTTCTTCGTGTGTAGAGAGTTTTGGTTTGAGGATATGGGATGAAAATCCTTCATGGCTTAGAAGCCTATTTATAGACTGGAGAGAATGAACTGGTCTTGTACTCTTGGATATGATTTTCCTTGTCTAAGCAGGTAAAGATTTGAATATTGTAGTATTTAGAGGCAAGTCAAGACTTGGTATTTGACAAAATCTCACCTTTAAGTTTAACTATTGAACAATAAATTTCCTATATATATTTTAGCACTAGAAAAAGAAAATTCAGTTGTGATAGAATTTTGAAGAACTTTGACTCAGCTCTACTGTTTGGTGTTTCAATAAAATAAGTTACCTTTTGTAAAGGGTTATTAGGGTTGTTTAATTATAAGACAAGGTCAGTTGAGGGAGAATATATTCATATAATTATGCTGATGAAAGACCAGGTATTAGGAGTAGTACCCAAAGAAAAAAGTAGTTAGGAGATAATTATTATTATTTTTTAATTAGGTGGTATTTAACCAATGGAAATGTTCAATGCTTATGCTATATATGGATTCATTCTACAAAGAGAATGAAATTCATTTCCTTATATATTAACATTGATGGTGACAATTTGCCTCGATATAAAATTTTACAGTCAGTCCACCAATTAACGTTGAGTGCATGACTTTTTCTTCTTTTTCATTTTTTCACCTTCTAGCTGGTTGAAAGTTGTCTTGCTAAAATGGATTCTGCAGTGGCTATGGTGTCTCTGGTTTCAAGCTGCTGGGAGCTTATGTGAAAGTTTGATACCTGTGCTCTTCAGCATGTTTATAGAGAAAGAAATGTGGTTGCTGATTGTATTGCTCAGCGGAGCTACAGTCTGGACCTAGGTGTTTGTTTTCTTGATATGGCTCCGAGTTGGATTGGCTCTAGCCTTGTTGATGATTTGCTAGGAGTCACTAGGACTCGGTCTCTGTAGTGAGTAGTTGCTCTGTGTTTCTTGGGGTTTTACACCCCCCAGTTCATAGAAAAAAAAGAACTGGTCTTGCTCAAAGCAGCCGCTGCTCCTGATTATTTTCCCGTTTGGGTTAGCTGGTGGTGCTTTTGTTTTTGTTTTTTGTTTTTTTTTCCATATTGTGTTTTCTTTTTGGTCCTAAAACACAGATGTTATTCAGATAATTGGCAGGCACACCTGAATTCAATCTGATGCTGCTTAACTTCAAATGACGTTTAACAACATGACTGAGTAGCTTTTAAACAGACAAATGTGTCATTTAATTTTTATGGAAATCAGTAAGTCGAATATATATATATATATATATATATATTTAATAACCCTAGTTGTTATGGTTGTAGATTATAGAATTTTCAAAGTGAGAAAGTAGAGAGAGATGAGAAGGGAGAAGAAAATGTGAAACAGATATGGAGATCATGAGAAGATGAAAAAAAAAAATGAAAATTGTCTGAAATCCACCACAATCTGTCCAGTTCGCCCGGTCCCTTTTTTCACTACAAGATACTGGAATTGAAATCGAACCAAACCGGTCTAGTTCAGTTTTTGGTTAACTCAGTCTGGTTTTTGGTTATTCCGATTTTTTTCTGCTCAATTCAGCTCGATTTTTCAGTTTGAATGCCCAGAGAGGGAGGATAGGAGAATGAGAGGAAAATAGAAGAAGGCAGAAAAAGAGGAGAGAGAAGATGATTGTGTGGGTCAATGGGTCTCAGTCATGTGAATTTGTGTTTTCTTTCACCAGATTCTACATGTAACCTTTAAAATCGATCCAACGTTGAATTTAATGTCTGCACTAATTGCACGCAAATAGCTGTCAGTTGAAAAAAGTAATGCATATTTGTGTAGATATAACTACACAATTCTAGAAAACTCAAGAAACTACAAACTAAATTATGGAACAAAAAAATATGATAAAGCCAGTGGACTTGGTGATGTCGGCTAACACAACAAAAGTTTGAAGAAAGTTCCAGAACAACCATGCAGCAATGAATTGTGAAGTTCACCAACTATGTCGGTTGAACATGTGGCTGGAGTAAAGAGCTCAAGTCGGTTGAACATGTGGCTGGACTCGGGCATATGTCGGCTACTTACACCTATAAAAGGAGTTGTAGCATTCCCAAACAAAGTGGAGTGAGCCAATCAACTCCCAATCTTTGTGGAGCCAATAAGCTCACCAAGTGAAGGGCCAAATAGCCCAAATTAATCTAAACCAAGTGTTGTGGCCAATAAGCCACTATGCTATGTGTATAAGGCCAATTAGCCTACACGAAGCCATGTACTATCCTCCTCCAATCTAATAAAATCACTTTGTTTCCCCTTCAATTCTAACACTGTCCTCGAGAGAGAGAAATTTCTACTTGATTTGCCCTAGAGCATGGGCCAAATTTATCAATGTTAAAATGGCAAGGCTCCTCCATTTTAGTATTATCAAGCTGTCATAATATCTTTGCATAATGTTATTTCAAAACTACAGTATGAAATTATGTTATTTCAAAACCCAGAGGGTAAGTAATGCAAACCAACAATCTTATTCAATTAATATTACATCATAGTAATTTATTGTAGGTACGTAGTTAAAAACATATTGGCCAACTTAATACATCCAACCAAGCACATCGATTGGTTGTTCTTTCCTTGGCCTTTTATTCTTTTCGCATATAATTATTGTTGCATTTTACTAATTGTTGTCGTACCAGAACTGTTTCTGAAGATTGTCAACCACATTGTCGTCCACTTGGAAGGCCTTGGCTAGAACATCAGAGTTGATGGGAGGCTGGGAGCCAAACACTGCTTTGGCTATGGTGATCACTCCTGGGTTCTGGCTGCTAAGCCCAGCGAAGGCTACTGCGTTGACGTGTCCCACATTCAGTTGGAAGTGAATGAGGCCAATTGGGAACACAAACACATCTCCCTTGTTCAACACTTTGGTGAATAGGCGATTGCCATCACCGTTGGATGTGACAAAACCAACATAGAGTGTTCCTTCCAAGACCACAAGGATTTCAGTGGCCCGAGGGTGAGTGTGAGGAGGGTTCAGGCCATTTGGTGCAAAGTCTATGCGAGCCAAGGATATGCCGAGAGTGTTCAGTCCTAGTAGGTTGTCCACATTCACGGCTGTCACATTTGAACCAAGCGGATTTTGTGTGTTTCTTGGATTTTGGAGGCCAGAAAAGAAGAAATCATTTGCATTGGCAAGCTTTGGGTCCTTGCAGAACTTCCCATTCACAAACACTGCTTCTACTGCCAAAAAAAAAAGTTATATTAAACTTTAGTGTTAGAGCTATTCGGAGGTAAAATCCACGTACGTAAGTGGAAACCACTTTAATATATATCAAAGTGATGATCACTAAGATGCCCAGTAAATGTAGTACAAATAGCATTATTCATATGTAAAATTACGTACTAATAGATTTTTCATGCATGAGAAGAAGCTATAGTTAACAGAAAAACGATCTTCATAAACCTAATATCTAATCAAAATAATTCATGTGGAAATAATTGCGGGGCAGAATATAAATAATTAACACAAGTATATATTAATGCATACCAGCAGATTTGGTGTCATTGAGTGCTACACAGAAGTCCTGAAGAGGACTGGGGTCAGAGGCAGAGACAAGGAAGGTTGCAGATGCCAATATGGCAAGAGTGCTTATGAGGAAATAAACACCTTTCATTGCAGCTGGCTTAATTAGCTAGGTAATAAAGATTTGGTTGTGGGATGAAAATCCTTTATGGGTTAGAAGCCTATTTATAGACTGGGGAGAATGAACTGGTCTTGTACTCCTGGATATGATTTTCCATGTCGAAGCAGGTAAGGATTTGAATATATATATATATATATATAGATATATAGGTGTTTGATTAAATCTCACCTTAAGTTTAACTAGAAGGTATATATTGACCAAAATTTTATATTAATTTTCTTCCTTCCAGATCCATGTAGTTTAGGGTTTGAATCTTTTACTTCAAATTAATTGCTGCTTCTACTTTAGGTGGTATTTAACCAATGGAAATGTTCAATGCCTCTACTTTATATATGGAATGGATTCATTCAGTCAAAGAGAGTGAATTATGAAACTCATTCTCCCATTAACATTGATGGTGACAATTTGCCTCAATATAAAATTTTAAAGTCCTTCCACCAATTGCTTCTGTCATTTCCACCTGCACCCCAGAAATTTGAGTGCATGACTTTTTCTTCTTTTCATTTTTCACCTTCTAGCTGGTTTGAAACTGGTCTTGCTCTCTGTTTTCCCCACTTGGGGTTAGCTGCTGGTGTTTCTTTCTTTTTTTTGGCTCTTATATTTTGGTCCTAAAACACAGTTGTTATTCAGATAGTTGGCAGGCACACCTCAGTTCAATCCGACTGGACTGATGGTGCTTTAACTTCAAATGATGTTTACCAATTTGACTGAGTCCCTTTGCAATAATATTTCTTGAATTGGTTGGGGACCTTTTACGTGGCTGAGACAAATCGGTCATTTATTTTTTATGGAAATCAGTAAATCTTTTAACTTTTTTTTTTCATAACCCTATAGTTGCTATGGTTGTAGATAATAAAACTAGAATTTTCAAAGAGAGAAAGTAGAGAGAGATAAGAAGGGAAAAGAAAATGCGAAACAGAGATGGAGATTATGAGAGTATGAGGGAAGATGAAAACAAGAAAAAGAAAACGTGGTCTGAATCCTTCCCTCTTTGTATTTCATTCAAAATAACTTTCTACCCATTTTAACTAAGAATTAGCAACCAAAAAGAAAAAAGTAGTGTTTCTGGAAATACTCAGGCTTAAATTTACACTTCTAGCGATAAATTTTCCTTTGGTCAATAGTGAATAATTCATTAAACAGCCCAAAGGCAGCAAAGGTAATTCGACCTAAGAAACATAAGGGGGATTCATGATTGGATAATATAGTTGAAATCAAAATAAAATCCGAAATCGGTAACCATCAATGCAAAGTAAACTTGCCATAAAAATTAGATAACTAAAGGAAGAGATTAGGATGCTGAGGTTGGTCGAGATCATATAGCTCCAGAAAATGGCTCCTAGAATCAGGCTCACTGCAGAAATTATATCCAACTTCACCAACTCTACCCAAGTTTTCCAAGTCTCCTAGATCTTCATATATGTTGCTTGTATTGAAATGAGGTGTAGCATTGCCCAAATGTTCGAGGTTATTAAGTTCCTGCAGGAGAATATGCACACATTAATACACTTAGGGAAGCCAACAGATACAGATGTATGTAAGAAAAATTAAAATGTATTAAACAGTATGGAAGTTACACCATCTAGTTTAAAACTCATGCTTCAAGCAATGACATTCTGTAATTGAGAACAGTCAGATATTACTATAAGCAGTAACATATCATTGCTCATTGGAAAACAAGAGAGCATGATCAAGAAAGCAGGAAGAGAAAGAAAATCCTCATCAGCGGAGGATAATAGAATACAATTACTCCTAGCAAAATAAAGCAGGGTTTTTCTTTACTCTCCAGCTATGGGAAAGGAAACAGTGACAAGAACCAAAAATATCTGAAAGAAGCATCCGATTGTTAATGTGTAAATGGTGAACTGATTTAGTATTGTAATCGTTTTGTTTAGTGTTAAGTCTTAGCTCATAGGCTAAGTTAGTTTGTTAAGTCTCATAGGACTTGACTTGGACAGGTGTCTTAATCGTATTGATAGTGTAGTTGGATGGTTGAGATTGAAGCTAGGAGCTGTCTAGCTCTCTCTCTCTCTCTCTCTCTCTCCTCTAACGGTAATATGAGTGTGAATTGGTTACCTCACACGATAGATGAATGCAAGTGTTTTACAGAGCAATTTTGTTCATCTCTCTCTCGTCTGCATCATTCTCAATACTCCATTTTCTCATTAGCTCAGATTAGCTCATAAACTCTAACATGGCCTCAAAGCCAAGTTCGATCTAAATTTTCTGGGCGTTTTGACTGTGAGGTTGGGCTCGAATCTGTAAGCAAAAGCTCATTGCGTGATTCTTGAGCTCAAATCAGAAATCTAGACTAACATGTCTGGATCTGGAGGAGGAGAACTCAGAGTGCCAATCTTCAATGGAGAAAACTTCAATTTCTGGCAGATCAAGATGAAAACCATCTTTCGATCACACGAGCTATGGGAAATGGTTGAGAATGGGTATAAGATTCCAGTGAAGGAGGAGGCACTCACGGAGGCAGAGAAGAAGCTGTTGCGTGAGTATGCGGTGAAAGATGCCAGAGCATTAGGCATTATTCAAGGAGCTGTGTCCGATTAGATTTTTCCAATGATTGCAACTCAGGAAAGTGCAAAATCTGCATGGGACATTTTAAAACAAGAATTTGTAGGTGACAAACAAGTAAGATCTGTGAAACTCCAGGGTCTTCGTAGAGATTTTGAATATACATGTATGAATGATAGTGAGACACTTTTTGGGTATATTGCTAAACTGTTTGATTTAATTAATCAAATGAGAAGCTATGGTGAGGATTTGAGTAATCAACGAATTGTCCAGAAATTGTTGATTAGCTTACCTAAATCCTACGATAGCATTGCAGTTGTGATAGAGAATACTAAAGATCTGGACACCATTGATGCACAAGATGTAGTTGCTATTTTGAAAGGGTATGAGTAGAGGCTTGATAGGCATGGTGAGAATGGTACAGAGAAGGCATTTGCGAGTTTGAATATTGGATCGAAATCCAATCGGTCCAATAGTCAAAACAACTAGAATGAGTCTCAGAAATCTAAATGGAAACCATGGAGTAACAAGGTTAAAGGGAGCAAGAAGGCTATTTCTTATGAAGGGAACAATAAGGCTAGTTCTTATGTGAAGAATGAGGCAACAAACACTGGAGACAAGTGTAAGTTTTGTGATAAACTTCACTATGGTGAATGCTGGGTTAAAAACAAAGTCAAATGTCACAAGTGCAATAAAATTGGACATATTGCACGATATTGCAATACAAACAAGACTGTTCAACAAGGGCATTTTGCAAATCAGGTTGAAGAAACTGGAAATTTGTTCTATGCAAATCATACTGAGACAGAGAAAAGGGTAAGTGATGACTGGTATATAGACAGTGGATGTAGTAACCACATGACATCTCAAGAAGATTTGCTTGTTGATATTGATAGGAGAGTGAAAGCCAAAGTTCAAGTAGGCACTGAAGTGTTGGTTGATATAGCAGGGAAAGGGACTTTGGTCATTGAAACTACAAAAGGCAAACGGTACATAAAAGAAGTCATGTTGGTACCTGGCCTTGTAGAAAACTTGCTCAGTGTGGGACAAATGACAGATCATGGCTATTTTCTCTTGTTTGGAAATTGTAAGGTTGACATATTTGATGATAGAACTTTACAACATTTGGTAGTAAGTGTAAGGCATAAAGGGAACAGGTGTTTTCCACTAGTTTCAATACAAACAAAGAGTTTGCTTTGAAAACTAGTGTGCATGAGTTTTCCAAGTTGTGGCACAAGAGGTTTGGGCATTAAACTTCACAAGTCTCAAGCTGTTACAGAAACAAGAACTTGCATTGGGCTGCCTAAAATCCAAGAGCATGAAGCAGTATGTCATGGATGTGCAATGGGAAGAATCATAGAGAGGCATTTCCACAAGAATCGAAATGGAGAGCAAAGGAGCCACTAGGATTGATCCATTCAAATATATGTGGTCCTATGCAAACACCAAGTTTGGGAGGGACTAGATACTTTATCACTTTCATTGATGACTACTCAAGAATGTGCTGGGTATATTTTTTGCGAAACAAGTCAGAAGCACTTCATGTGTTTAAGAAGTTTAAAGTGATGGTGGAACTTAAAAGTGGGTACCATATAAAGAGGTTAAGGACAAATAGAGGAGGGGAGTTCAATTCACATGAGTTTGTGCAGTTTTGTGAAGAATTGGGAATAGAAAGACAGCTCACTATTGCCTACTCTCCCCAACAAAATGGCGTGGCAAAAAGGAAGAACAGAACAGTTATGGAAATGGCGAAGTGCATGGTTCATGAGAAAGAGATGCCATACAACCTGTGGTGTAAAGCAATAAACACAGTAGTGTATTTGTTAAATCGAAGTCCAACAAAAGCTTTAGAAAACTCTACACCTTTTGAGAGGTTTAGTGGAAGAAAGCCAGGTATTAAACACTTAAAAGAGTTTGGCTCAGTGTGTTATCCTTTAGTTCCAGGAGCTGTGAGACACAAGTTGGAAGCAACAAGTGCCATAGGTGTTTTTATTGGCTATGGCATCTATGATAAGGGATATAGGATACTGAATCCTATAACTCAGAAAGTGTTACTCTCTAGAGATGTGATCTTTGATGAACATGGCAAGTGGGATTGGGAGAAGCACAAAGTCTAGGAAATCTGTATTCCCCTATCTATAAACAGATATACAAATATGAATAGAACTACTGATGAATTGGAAAATCAAGATCAAGTGATTTCTGATGATACTCAGGTTGAAAGTGAGATTCCCTTAGCTATTAAGGGTGGAGAATCAAGTAGTCATTCTTAGTATGATGATACTCCATTGAGATATAGAAATTTAAGTGAAATCTATGAAAGGTGCCATGTATGCATTGTTGAGCCTGAGAGTTTTGATGAGGCTGCAACGGATGAGGCATGGAGAAAGGCAATGGAAAATGAAATAAGCATGATAGAAAAGAACCAGACATGGGAGTTGGTGAACAGACCATTTGATAAACCTGTGATTGGGGTAAAATGGGTATACAAGACAAAATTGAATCTAGATGGGTCAATTCAGAAGAACAAGGCCAAACTAGTTGCAAAAGGTTATGCACAAAAGCCAGGGATTGATTATAATGAAACCTTTGCACTTGTGGCCAGATTGGACACCATAAGAACTCTCATTGCATTGGCTGTAAAGAACAACTGGAAGCTGTATCAGTTGAATGTGAAATCTGCATTTTTGAATGGGGTACTTGAAGAAGAAGTCTACATAGAGCAGCCATATGGATTTCTAGTGAAGGCTAAAGAGGATAAAGTGTACAAATTGCACAAGGCTTTGTATGGATTGAAGCATGCACCTAGGGCCTGGTATGGAGACATTGATTCTTACCTTGTGCAATGTGGTTTCAAAAAAAGTACCAGTGAGGTAACTTTGTATGTGAAGTGTAAGGGAAACTCAGAGTTGGTCATAGTATCAATATATGTTGATGACATTGTTTACACTGGTAACTCACAAGAATTGTTGCAGGAATTCAAGTCAGATATGATGCAGAAGTATGAGATGACAGACTTGGGTTTATTGCATCACTTCCTAGGAATGGGAGTTATACATAGTGATAATTGCATCTTTCTACATCAGAGGAAGTATGCTTCTACTCTCTTACAAAAATTTGGCCTGCAAGAGTGCAAATCAGTGAGTATTCCTCTTGTTCCAAATGACAAACTAAGGAAGGATGATGATAGTGGAGCTGCAGATGAGGCTCAGTATCAAAAACTGGTTGGAAGCTTACTTTACCTTACTGCAACCAAACCAGACATAATGTATGCTACTTGTTTGTTGTCAAGGTTTATGCATTGTCCAACCAACAAGCATTATGGAACGGCTAAAAGGGTTCTTAGATATATTCAAGGCACTCTTCATTTGGTTTGGAGTACAAGAGAGGAGAAGAGACAATTTGATAGGCTTCTGTGACAGTGATTGGGAGTGGTTCAGAAGATGACATGAGAAGTACATCTGGATATGCCTTCACCTTTGGCAATGGGTGTTTTTTCTTGGACATCTGTGAAGCAACAATGTGTTGCTCTATCCACAGCAGAAGCCGAGTATATTAGTGCCTCAGAAGCTACGGCACAAGCGACATGGTTAAGATTTGTGTTGGAGGATTTTGGTGAAATGCAAGCTGTTGCCACACCACTGAATTGTGACAACACCTCAGCCATTGCAATCACCAAGAATCCAATCTTTCATCAGAAAACCAAACACATAAATCGGAGGTATCACTACATCAAGGAAGCTTTACAACAAGGTGTAATCGACTTGCTTCATTGTCCTACAAAGGAGCAAGTAGCTAACATATTCACTAAGGTTTTGGCAAGAGAACAGTTCTCATATCTTAGAGAATTGCTTGGGGTGAAATCAGTTCACAATTTGAAGGGGAGTGTTAATGTGTAAATGGTGAACTGATTTAGTATTGTAATTGTTTTGTTTAGTGTTAAGTCTTAGCTCATAGTCTAAGTTAGTTTGTTAAGTCTCATAGGACTTGACTTGGACAGATGTCTTAATCGTATTGATAGTGTAGTTGGATGGTTGAGATTGAAGCTAGGAGCTGTCTAGCTCTCTCTCTCTCTCCTCTAACAGTAATATGAGTGTGAATTGGTTTCCTCACACGATAGATGAATGCAAGTGTTTTACAGAGTAATTTTGTTCATCTCTCTCTCGTCTTCATCATTCTCAATACTCCATTTTCTCATTAGCTCAGATTAGCTCATAAACTCTAACACCGATAGCATAAAGGACACTAATTAGTTACAGCATTTGCAAATATGTATTGGCAAGCTACAACACACACACAGAGAGTGTTTTAAAATGATAACACAAATAGGAAAGAAAAGACTTCTTAGTCAAATAAAACACCAAAGGCATTGCAAGATTCACATAACCAAATAAAAAATCGGCATACTTATTGACTGGAAAAAGCCAAGATGAAAATGGCAAACACATCAGTACATGCGGTAACTGATAACAGTACAAATTTGAATCCAAATATTAAATCCTAATTTGCATTTCCACTTGCCACTAAAATCAAGAATGTTACATGCCAATACTACATGTAAGGAAAAGGGAAGAGCGCATTACACACCTCATTTTTGCCATTATCATTCACAAGAAACATGCTTTCTTCTGCAAAGCAATCCATAATTGGCAGGGTCTCATCACCATTAGAAGCAGGAGGGTTCTCCATTGTAACAAAATTAAAGGAAACTGATTTGATAACATTGCAAGGAGTTGTACCAAAAAGAAAGAGTAGTTAGGAGATAATTATATATTTTTTTAATTAGGTGGTATTTAACCAATGGAAATGTTCAATGCTTATGCTATATATAGCTTCATTCTACAAAGAGAATGTAATTCATTTCCGTATATCTTAACATTGATGGTGACAATTTAGACAATTTAGCTGGTGGGGTTTTCTTTTCTTTTTTTTTGGTTCTCATTGTTGGTCCTAAAACACAAATGTTATTCAAATAATTGGCAAGCGCACCTCAATTCAATCTGATGATACCTAACTTCAAATGATGTTTATCAACTTGATACAGTAGCTTTTAAAGAGTCCCTCCAGTAATATTTTAAAGAGACAAATCTGTCATTTAATTTTAATGGAAATCAGTAAGTCGAATATGTTTATTATTTTTTAATAACCCTAGTTGCTATGGTTGTAGAGAGAGAGAGAGAGAGAGAGAGAGGAGAGAGAGAGAGAGAGAGAGAGAGAGGAGAAGGGGAGAGGAGAAGGAGAGGAAAATAGAAGAACGCGGAGAAATAGGAAAGAGAATATGATTGTGCGGGTCAATGGGTCTCAATTAGGTGGGATGGAAAAAAATCTCCGTCAAGTTGGGTCCCCGGTCCTAATGGGGGGAAATTGGGGTAGGTACGAGAATCCCCAATTTTTCAGAATACCCGATCGGAGATGGGCCGTGGATAGTATTGTTATCCCATCTCCGAACCCGACCCATAAGTGATGTATTTATTTTAAGGATTAACTATAGTAACACCCCCCAACCCAAAACTATGGAGGTCATTACAAACTCATCCCAACCCTTAAAGACCTGTTTGACCAATACCTACTTCACGTAACCTTTGGAAATACACCCTCCGTTAGAAAAACCATTAAAAATTTTGTTAACTGTTGATTTGGCAAAATAGGGTTTCAATTTAAAGTTGATTTGGCACAAAAAATTAATAAATTAAAAGTACAATTCATAAAATATTATAAATTTAAAACTAAAACCAAAAAACCAAAAATTAAAAAATTAAAATTAAAACACAGCCCCTAAACCCTAATGTTTTAAAACACAAAAGCATAAATAATAAAATAACAAAAAAGTTAAAAAAAAAAAAAAAAAAAAAGACAACCTAGGTATACCCAACCCCACCCACATAGCAACCTCATTCATGCCCTATCATCCCAAACCCCCCTACACCGGTCATCAACCCAACCGACCCCCAAACCATCCCACCAATCCCCTGCGAACCCACTTTCTCCTTTGTCGCTCCACAAAAACCCAAATCTGAGTCTAGGGTGGAGGTTGAATCTGGGAACATCTTAAAGGATGGCCAGAAAGAAAGCGAGGCATGTGTGAGCCATGGGGGTGCTTTTTGGGGTGATGTGAAGATGACAGTGATGGTTCAGCTAGATTCTTCAAAGGAGGAAAGGAGATGGGTTTTGGGGGTTGGGTGTCTTCACAAATTTTGTAACATCCCGACCCAAATTTAAGTAATCGTTTAATTTAATAAGTTATGAAATTACAATTTTGCCCTCGGAGAAAGGGTTATTTTGGTCACTTTTTTAATCCAAAAGGATTTTGGGCGAAATGAATGGCACATGACGTAGATCACGTCGAGATGATTCTGTAGACATGTAGTGGGTTCAAATCAGAGTTGTAACGAAGAAGTTACGATCAACGGAAAGCCTAGTGGCATAATTGTAAATATTTTGAAGTCCAGTTTTTCAAAATCATATTTCTCTCTCTCTCTCTCTCGCTCTCTCTCTCTCCCCCCATCCTCACGATCTCTTTCTTCCACTCACGAACAGCCCCTCTCCCCTCCTTGTCTGCACAGCAAGCCACATTTTGGCTGGCCACCATCCCAATCCGACCACCAATCCTCACGGGATAGGTACCAAAACAACCAAAAGGCCTTCCTCTTCCACCCCACCCTACTCCGACGGAACCACCTCCTCCATCACCGGAAATTGCGAAAAATGACTATTTTTTAACGTAAAACTTCCGACGTTCGTTCCATCGATTCCGACCACCAATTTCTCTTCTTCTTCGATCTAGGTATGCTTTTTCATCCTCCTCCACGTGTTCTATCAGATGGTTGGTTGATTAGGATCAATTTTTTGAGTTTTGGAACTCTTTTATCGCTTAAAGTTTTTAGCCGATTTTCTGCTCTTTTTTTTTCGACAAGTTCTTGTCACTTTTTTGGTCTGGGTTGAAGAACAAAAGTTGCTCCACTCATTGTCTTGATCACGTAGATATGGTCCTGTGACCGACGGTTTTTGAGGATTTTCGATCACATGAATTTCTCTGGGCACCCACGTGCTGCCAACTCCTGGGCATATTTGGGGACCCTTTGGTCAAAATTTCCCCATGTCGTCCTTGGCAGACAGTATGCTCAGAGTTGAATTGATTTATCGTTTGACCTGTCGATCGAATTAGCATCTTCGGCCTATCCTGTTCATATCTTCGGACCTTTTGGTCGCCTCCCATATTCAACTATTTGGAATTAGGTATCTCTTGGATGTGTGAAGGAATTCAAGGTTGTGAATTGGAGCAGATATCCAATTCAATGGCTTTCCAATGATTTGGGGATAAATAACAGTATGTTGGATATGTCGAAAATCGGCAAACTTGATGGGGTATTCACCGTAGACCCCTTAGCGTGGTTATCTGCCACATAGGGATTTGTCACAGTTTTTTTTTTTTTTTTTTTTTTTTTTTTTTTTTTTTTTTTTTTTTTTTTTTTTTTTTTTTTTTTTTTTTTTTTTTTTTTTTTTTTTTTTTTTTTTTTTTTTTTTTTTTTTTTTTTTTTTTTTTTTTTTTTTTTTTTTTTTTTTTTTTTTTTTTTTTTTTTTTTTTTTTTTTTTTTTTTTTTTTTTTTTTTTTTTTTTTTTTTTTTTTTTTTTTTTTTTTTTTTTTTTTTTTTTTTTTTTTTTTTTTTTTTTTTTTTTTTTTTTTTTTTTTTTTTTTTTTTTTTTTTTTTTTTTTTTTTTTTTTTTTTTTTTTTTTTTTTTTTTTTTTTTTTTTTTTTTTTTTTTTTTTTTTTTTTTTTTTTTTTTTTTTTTTTTTTTTTTTTTTTTTTTAAAAAAACTCCCTCCTCAAATATTTGCACCTGAATACTTTAAAGGCCAATAACGCTGCTCTCACAATTGATATTATTAGTAGTCACCACCATTTGTCTCCTTGCATTTTCTTTTCTAGCCATATTATTTATCATATCTTCGATGATAATTCCTCTACTCTCTCTCTCTCTCTCATGTACATTTGTCATCTTGGTTGATAACATGAGCTTATATGCATCTGAGAAAGAACATTTCTTTGTTAACTACTACAGAGCATTAATTAATCAGGTTAATTACCTCATGTTGCTGCATATTATATAGCACTTGAGCAAAGCATCTGTTAACGTACTGCAAATCATTAAGTAGTTACTTTCAGCAATCAAGTATATGTCTTCCATGATCTCATTATCTTAAGATAGAGTGAACGGTTGTTTGTTTTGTTTGTTTTAATGATATGTCTTCCAACAAGTTTCAATGATATTAAGTAGGAGAGGAGAACAATTTATCTTGCTACTTTTTTTTTTCCATTGCAAAAGTATGTGTATGCAAGATTTATGATGCAAATAACAGGACATACTGTTACTTTTTTTGTTTCTGCATTCAAGTACATAATTACAAGACTACTGCTGTTGAAGCCAGCCAATTGTGTCCTGTAGTCAATTGAAATTTGGGTTCCTGATGCCATGGCCGATACTGGGCACACTGCTAATGTGCAACTCGAAATGATCGAAAGTATTTGCGTGCTTATTGGCCAGGTTCGCATGAAATTTTCACCTTAAAATTTACAGGCTCATTGAACCCACCTGGTTCTTATTGACACAACTTATGTGACTATTTAAACTGCTATTTTCTGATGTGTATAGGATGGAATAAGCCAACAAGAATTCTCAATCAGACGTGTAAACATTGGCATTTCCTTTGGCTTTATTTAAAATGTGTGCAGCCAATTTTCAAATCAGTTAAATCTGACCAAAAGAAAATTATACAACCATTCAAATAATTGACGTGATAATAAAATAAAATAAAATGCACTAACTTGCTCAAACAACCGCCCAGTGTGAATATAGTTCTTCATTAAAAATACTAGTGTGCATAAACTTCAATTAAAATATCGATGTGCTTGCAAAGGACAAGATCTTGAAAGCAAAGCCATTTTGAGTCTATTGATTGCTCAAATTGCTCTAATTAAATATAAACTTCTGTGTTGCGCTTGTACTCAAAAAAATTCCTCGATTAATTTTCAGAATTAACTAGTTATTTTTTCTCATTGCAAATGAATTTTATTTTATTTTCCTTCATTGATTAGTTGTAGTAGTATGAAAATACATGTAAAAAGAAAATCCTTGACCCCTTAACCAAATTTCGTTATTATCGTGAGGGAAATATCAAGTAATTACCTGCATATTTCCTTGAAAGCGACCATCCAAATAACTCGCAAAAGAAAGCTCTCATTGAAATCAAAAGAAAGCACTCATTGAAAAGCAAAAGAATCATGTTGCTTTCTTTTATGGGGTTCTTCCTCCCTCTTCCTTAAAAAAATAAAAAGATATATGACTCCCATTGGTGAAAAGAGAAACCGTGTGCTCACCACTACACGGTTTCCAAGTCTCTCTCTTTTCTGAGGCTGCTAGCTTTGTTTCTTCTTGTTGGGTTCTTGGCTGGTCTTGAGAAGTTGTATATTTTGAGAGTTTCTGGCTGGCTTGCTGGTATTACAAATTCTCTGGCTCTGTAATTTTTTCGGGGTTGAGGTAACACTAAGCTAAACTTGTTGGCTTGCTTCGACTAGTTTCCATATGTTTTGTTCAGGTAACGTTGACTAAAGCGTATGCAATTTTTAGTTCACTTGTGTAGTCATGAGGCTTATATTTTTGTTTTAAATGTTGAAATTCGTATTTTTGTTCCTTCTAATGTTTATATGTTGAATTCCTCTGTTTTCCTCTGTTTTCCTCTTTAAAATTTACTATATTACCCAAAAAAGACCTCTTTAAATTTTAATCCTTTTCTTTTTGCAAGTCATTTATCATCATCTTTCTATTTATTAGTCGAGTGTTTACAGCAGCAGCAGATTGCCAAATGGCATTGATGAGCACCCAAAGAGACTCTGCCTTTCTTCCTTCACCTGATCAGTCTGCTCCTCAACCGAACCACGATGTGTTTTTGAGTTTCAGGGGTGAGGACACTCGACTTAGCTTTGTATCCCATTTATACCACGAATTGCAGCTCAGGGGCATTAAAACATTCAAGGATGATCGTGAGCTTGAAATAGGGACACCTATTTCTTCAGAGCTCATCAAAGCAATCGAAGAATCAACACTTGCAATCGTTGTTCTCTCGCCAAATTATGCATCTTCTTCCTGGTGCTTGGATGAGCTTACAAAGATTCTCCAATGCATGAAATCCAAGAGCACAATTCTGCCAGTGTTTTATCATGTGGATCCCTCCGATGTGAGAAAACAAAGCGGCAGTTTTGCGGACGCCTTCGCTGAGCATGAGAAAAGGTTTAGGGAAGACATCGATAAGGTGAAGCGTTGGAAAGATGCTTTAACAGAAGTAGCCAATTTATCTGGGATAGATTCAAAGAATGAGTAAGCATGAATGAACAACTTCTCTATATGTCTTAACAAAACCCACGGCTTATATTTTAGACTTCATGATCCTTTTACTTTTCCTCCTTGTAGGTGTGAAAGAAAGCTTATTGAAAATATTGTTGAACGGGTGTGGATGAAAGTACATCGCAGATTCAAATTGTTAGATTCCAGAGAGTTGGTGGGAATGAAGTTTATACGTGAGCACATAGATTTGCTTTTAGCTCATCCTATGGATGATGTTTGCTTTATGGGGATATGGGGGATGGGCGGAATTGGCAAAACAACCATTGCTCACCTAGTTTATGATAGCATTTCTACCCATTTTGAAGTTAGCAGCTTTCTTGCTAATGTTAGAGAGGTTTCTCAACGTGGTAATCTTGTTCATCTACAAAGACAACTTCTTTCCCCAATCTTAAAGGATCAAATTACTCAAGTTTGGGATGAACAGTGGGGAACCTCTGTCATTAAGAATTGCTTGTATAATAAAAAGGTTCTTCTCATTCTTGATGATGTGAGTGAATCAAGCCAACTTGAAAAGTTGGCTGGTGAAAAGGATTGGTTTGGTAAGGGGAGTATAATCATTATTACAACTAGAGATAAACGGTTGCTAGTTAAGCATGATATGCAGGTATCATATAAGGTAGAGGGATTAGGTGATGATGATGCTCTTGAGCTCTTCAGTCGGAATGCCTTTAAAAAAAATGAGCCTGAGGAAGGTTTCTTGGAATTGTCCAAGGGTTTTGTAAATTATGCCAGAGGCCTTCCACTAGCTCTTAAACTTTTGGGATGCTTAGTGTATAAGAGAGATCAAGATGAATGGAAAAGTGAATTGGATAAGCTGCAGAAAATTCCTATGTCAGAAATTATTGATTTGCTCAAAGTAAGTTACGATGGATTGGATGAGATGAACAAGGATATATTTCTTGATGTTGCATTTTTTCATAAGGGGATGGTCAAGAAGCATGTAGTTGAAATACTAGACAGTTGTGGCCTATGTGGTAATATTGGGATAAATGCTCTCGTTCAGAAATCACTCTTAACTATATCAAATGGGAATGTTGGGATGCATGATTTAATACAAGAAATGGCATTGGAAATTGTTCGTCGAGAGTGTCCTGATGAGCCTGGTAGACGAAGTCGATTGTGCAATCATGATGATATCTCTCAAGTATTCATAAACAATATGGTAAGAATTATGTAGAAAATACCAAGTTTTGAAAGAAATATGATTGAAATTTGACTTAAATGTGCAATTAACTTTTCCTTTACTATTCTTAATTACAGGCAACAAACAAAATTAAAGGCATTGCCTTACGCACGATGCGACTTGAAATGGCATATTGGAATTGTGAAGCCTTCTCTAAGATGTGTAACCTGAAAGTTCTTGAATTCGACAATGTGATCATTTCTTCAAGCCCCAGAATTCTTCCTAATTCCTTGAGAAGTATCAAATGGAGTCTTTATCCTTCAAAATTTCTCCCTTCAGGTTTTCAACCGAATTTCCTTACTGCACTTAAGATGCGTGAGAGCAAACTTGTTCGGCTTTGGGATGGAAGAAAGGTAAGAGTAGACCATATGCCATTCTAGAAATTAGTTTTTTTTATTTTATTTTAAAAATTAAAATAAATCTGAGCTAATTATCTGTTCTACCATTGTTATGAATCGTACAGGACTTGCCCAACTTGAAAAAAATGGACCTTCTTGGCTCTGAAAACTTGACCACAACCCCAGATTTTAGTGGCATTCCGAATCTTGAGTTGTTGGGTTTTAAATGTTGTACGAATTTGGTTAAGATTCACCCGTCAATTGCAGATCTTAAATGTCTTAAAAGCTTGGATCTTGATTTTTGCTCAAAATTGAAAAAGATTCCAGAATTTTCAGGGCAAATGAAAATTTTGTCAACGATTAGTTTATTGGGGACGTCCATTGAGAAATTACCTTCATCAATAGGATTTCTAGTTGGCCTTACTACTCTGATTCTATCGGATTGCAAAAATCTCTTGGGTCTTCCGAGTGAAATTTGTAATATCAAGTCTCTTCAAGGGCTCTGGATGAATGGATGCTCAAAAGTTGAGAAACTCCCAGAGAACATGGGGGAGATGGAGTCCCTTACAGGGCTTCATTTGTATGAAACTTCTATAAGACAGTTGCCACGCTCCATTGTTGGTTTGAAAAAACTGATTGGTCTATCTTTGGGTGGAATAAGTGGACCACAGCCTAATAAATCAGGGTTTTGGTGGGGCTCCCCCCGCTCAAATGGAAGAAAGGCTTTTGTGTTGGCTTCGCTTGATGGTTTATTCTCTTTGAAGTATTTGGATTTGAGTAATTGTGGTGTTTGTGAAGGGGATCTTCCCAGTGATATTGGTTGCTTGTTCTCTTTAGAAAAATTAGAGCTTAGTGGAAACAATTTTGTTAGCCTTCCTGCAAGCATTGGATGTCTTTCTAAGCTTAAGGTATTTTGGGTGAATGGGTGCCAAAGTCTTGAACAATTGCCAGATCTTTCTAAGCTTATCTCATTGGTGGATATAAACATAGCCGATTGCACTTCCTTAAAAATGTTACCACATCTTTCGTCAAATTGCTCATTAGTGGATATAAACAACGATATTGATTATCGTAGATTTGATTGTGCCAATTGCTTTGTATTGGTTGACAATGAAGGCTGCGATAGTATAATACTGAAAATGCTACAGCGATACCTTCAGGTTCTCTCTCTCTCTGTTTGTCTCTTTTGTTGTTTGCTATAATAATAATTACAACTTACTAACCTCGTATATATCTATGTATATGGTACAGGTACTCCCTTGTATAAATCTTGACAGATTCGAAATTTTAACTCCTGGAAGGAAAATTCCAGAGTGGTTCAGTAATCAAAGTTTGGGAGATTCCCTAACTATGCAGCTACCTCTGGATTCATGTACCACGGGGATGGGAATTGCTTTATATGCTGTGTTTGAAGTTCCGGCTGATCTTTCTGAATTTCATTATTTTAAAATTAGTTGTTCCGCACCAGGAGTAATAAATGGAGAATTTTCAAAATCTTTTGAAATAGGCAATGTTGTGTCAGATCACCTTTGGGTAGTTTATATATCTGTTAAAGAATTTGAGAAGATATGCGGTCAGATAAAGGTTTGGTTCACAACTGATTATTCTCAAGACATAATGCGGGGAGACAAAAAATCTTGTGTGAAGAAGTGTGGATTTCGTTTGGTGCACGAGCAAGATGTGGAACAACTCAACCAGATCATGATGAACAAATCCATCATCAAGAGCACTACTACTTGTCCTACCAAATCAGCTGATGCACAAGGTCAACAACGCCACGATGACGAGGAGGCTAGTCCTAGTGGAAGTGGTAGCTCTCACCAAAAATCTCTCTTCTGCAATACCTATGCTCTTTCCGAAGAGGCAGACTTAAATGATGTTGTTGAAGAAGCTCGGACCAGAAAAAGAAAAAAGATCGATGTGGTTGGGACTGAGCTATGATTCCTCACTTTCAAAGCAAGAGGCATCACAGCTGCTGCATTTTAATGTGAGTTGCTGCTTTTGCTAATTCTAGTTTTCAATTTTTTTGGATTTGACGTACTATTGTTTGTTCCACTGCTTGTGCTTCATTCTTTTGGCCTTATATTGCTCCTTCATTTGGTTCTCCCACTGTTTTTTTTATTTGGCTCTATTCCTTGTTTTGTTTTAGGAGCATATCTGAATTTCTCTCAACTTGTAAAGATTTTCTCCCTCTTTTTAACAACTTTATGAAAATTTTCAACTACAGCAGGGGGTGCATAGGACTTTCGATTTGCTACTTAGGTCTTGCCCCCTCTTATATTGTTGAAAAGTTTAATAAAAACTGTTATTCTTAAAGAGGAGCTAAAATTTTGCTACCTTCGTTAAAAACTCCTCCTCCACAGAGGCGCAAAGAGGTGCAGTTGCACCTCCCCTCACCGGAAAACACTGTGGTGGTGGCGCACTTTGCCCCTCTGGTTTGCCCACCAACTGTTTGTGTTTTTTGCCTGAGTGAAACTCCTTTCTATTTGATGAGCTGTTGTGTGTTTGTTTTTGTTGCGCTGCTGTGTTGCGCACACAGCGCGTGCTCTTTTTTTTAAAATGTCCTAGCCCAAAACGACGTCGTTTTGGAGGCAAAAAAAAAAAAAAAAAAAAAAAAAAAAAAAAAAGAAAAAGTGCCAACCCAATACCACCCAATCCAGTATAAGCATATTATATATAAACCCTTTAATAAAGAGCGGAGAGGAGCAATTCAATTTTTTTTGCTCATGTTGTTGTTCTCTTCTATTTTTTCTTTCTTATGTTTTTTTTTCTCTCTTTTTCTTTTTATAATATTATTTTTTTTTCATATATATATATATATTTCTGATTTGGCTTTCTTTGTATTTGTATAATCATTAGAGCATCTCCACCCACAAGGGTTAAGTCTAGGGCAAGGGCAAGCAAGGGCTGCCACTATTCACGTGAATAGTGTTAGCCTTGCCATTTGTGGTTCCACCCATAAGGGCTAAGTCTAGGGCAAGTCTAAGGCAATTACTATTCACTTAAATTTATTTTTTATTTTTTATTCTTAAACCATTGATTTTGATAAGCTTTTTCGAATGAGATTTTCAATTCCCAAGTGTTAATATTTATTGTAAAATCCTCACCTAAAAATCAAGATAACATTTTTGGATAAAATTTTGAAATTAAATTGGTGTGGAAAGTGAATAATATTGGTAGGTATGTATAGAAAAAATTTCCAGAATTTTTTGATATTTTTTTTTATTTTTTTTAGCCAAAAATTGGACAACCGTTGGATTGTGCAAGATTTTTTGATCGGAGGCTCCAGAAGAAGCCACATGGCTTGTAATCATTGGGCAATGTGGGCTGGTGGGTCCAACAGTAAAAAAAAATTGAAAATCAGCTGCTGACGTCAGCAGCCCGAGTTTTGGTGCCCAGGCAAGATTAGCCCGTGGGCTTGCCCAGGCTGGTGGGACCCACCATTTGCCCGGGCTCATTGCTGTGCGCTGGAGCTGGAAATGGGCTGCCAGGGGGGCCTTTTGCCCAGGTTTGGTGCAGTGGTGGACATGCTCTTAGCAAACTCAAGAGAGAAGAAGAGGTTGCGTAGTGCACAGCTCGAGGTATGATCAATTACAATTTGATTATTTAATTAATAAAGTAACATGCATTTTGTAATGTTATATTTTTTTCCATGAATTATTAATGACATTAGTACTGTTTAAATTTGAAGGATATTTGATTCTCTAAATTTTGTTGTTGTTGAGCTTTTAGCCTTTTAAAATTGCCCCTTCCCTGAAAAATTCCTGGATCCGCCACTGTCTGCACCTCAATCCTTTAAAGGCCAATAACATTGCTCTCGCAATGGATATTATTAGTAAGTCACCACCATCTGTCTCCCTGCATTTTATTTTGTAGCCATGCATTTATCATTAGATTCATATCTTCAATGATAATTCCTCTGCTCTCTCTCTCTCTCTCATGTACATTTGTCATCTTGGTTGATAACATGATCTTTATGCATCTGAGAAAGAACATTTCTTTGTTAACTACTGCAGAGCACTAATTAATCAGGTTAATTAACTCATGTTGCTGCATATTATTTAGCACTTGAGCAAAGTATCTGTTAACATACTGCAAATCATTAAGTAGTTACTTTCAGCAATCAAGTATATGTCTTCCATGATCTCATCTATCTTAAGATAGAGTGAATGGTTGTTTGTTTTGTTTGTTTCAATGATATGTCTTCCAACACGTTTCAATGATATTAAGTAGGAGAGGAGAACAATTTATCTTGCTGCTTTTTTTTTCCATTGCAAAAGTACGTATATGCAAGATTTATTATGCAAATAAACAGGACATACTGCAACTTTTTTTTGTTTCTGCATTCAAGTACATAATTACAAGACTACTGCTGTTGAAGCCAGCCAATTGTGTCCTGTTGTCAACTGAAATTTGGTTTCCTGATGCCATGGCCGATACTGGGCACACTACTAATGTGCAACTCGAAATGATCGAAAGTATTTGCATGCTTATCGGCCAGGTTCGCATGAAATTTTCACCTCAAAATCTACAGGCTCATTAGACCTACCTGGTTCTTATGTGACTATTTAAACTGCTATATTCTATTGTGTAGGATGAAGTAAGCCAACAAGAATTCTCAATCAGACGATAAGCATTGGCATTGTTCTGATCTAAAATCGATGCTTTGTTGGAACTCCTCCCTTGTCTGTTTCATTGATCATATCTTTGATAGTTTGTGAAATTTATTATTCAATTATGCGGTCTTCTCTTATTTAGCATCTCCGAGTTTCAAATTATGCAACATAATGGAATTCATGAGAGGTTCATTAACTTCACAATAAGTTGAGTAGGATTTGGCAGTGCTAGTTGTATCTTGAATAAAATTATAGTAACTTTTTTCATTGTAAAATATTTGGAGAATTGGAGTTAAGACCACATGATTAATGAATTCAATCTAGTCATAAGAATGTACTCAATTTTTCACAAAAGCGGAGAGGATGACATTTTCACGCTAGGGAAAACATTTTGTAGCTATCATTTTCTTTTGATTGTTATTAGGAGAAACTAGCAAAGGGTGCCCGCGCAATGCTGCAGGTTTTAAAATTGTGTGAAATGTGTATATGAAAATAGGCAGGGATTACGTTCTATGTACATATACATGAAAATGTAAATAGCGTAATCGCATTTAGTTTCTAAAGTTTTAGTTACAAAAGATAAACTAATAACATGTTTTATATACTATTTGATACGTGTCTACCTATTTTTGGTTATAATGTATGTGTATATATAAAGCACACATACATACGTGTATACATAAGAAGTAGACACATGCCTATATATATATATTAAAAGCTTATTATATATACATATATTTGCATATCTATATGAGTATATATTACTTTATTAGGACCATGTATTTTTCGCCAATATGCTTGTTTGAATATAATATGTGTGGTTATTATAACCTAACAAAAATATAAATCATGATAATTAAGAATATATAACTTTAAGACTATATGTTTTTGACAAATATACTTGTTTGAATACAAAAATGCATATGTGTTTGTTATATCCAAATATAGGGAGTATAATACTATTCCATTTTGTACTCTATGCATGCATGTATTTTTTGAAATTTTAAACTATTTTAATTTAAACATTTAATTAGATAATTAATTTTATACATAAACATCACTTACAAAATAAGTATATTAAATGGGGCCTAACAATTGTAGTATTCTAATTATCTAGAGCAAACATCAAGTTATATTTATACAAACCAAAATTAAACATATATTTAATTACATGAGACATAAACTCTCTCTCTCTCTCTCTCTCTCTCTCTCTCTATATATATATATATATATTAATTAAAACATACATATAATTATAAGTAATATGTAATTTATAGGAAGTTTAAAATTTAAAATATATATATTTTAAAAAAAAATCTTTGCCTTTTGTTGTTGAATAGGACAAAAAGTTAAAAGAGAGAAGGGCAATATGGTCATTTTACTGTGATGCCAAATAGGACAAAAAAGAACAAAGAACATAAGTAGGGGCAAAACCGTAATTTTACTATTCCTAAGCTACAGTCTATGAACAGTGATTTGGTTGATCAGCTTTAGTTTATTTGTACTCTATGCATGCATGTATTTTTTGAAATTTTAAACTATTTTAATTTAAACATTTAATTAGATAATTAATTTTATACATAAACATCACTTACAAAATAAGTATATTAGTCTTAAATAGTAATACACTCATAAAGATGAGACCAATTAAGCCATTAAAACACTGCGACTGATTCATGCTAAAACATAATTAAGATGAACAAAAGAGACCCTACTAATTAAGTAACTAGTGTGGCTAGAGACCCCATGCGTTATTCTTATTGATTGAAGATCTCAAATTCTTCAAGGGACCAACTTCTCCAAATTAGGAACAACTTTTACATTTATAGGATCATGAATTGATGGTGGTGATGGTGGATTTGCCGGCAGGGATTTAACATGATCGGCTTCATCACAGTAACCCTTGAGTACATCAGTCTCTTCCGCGGTAAACCCTAGTGTGCCAAGTAAGGCAGGCCAACACTGATGCTCAATGGTCCGAATGGCTTCACAACAGCTATGACCCAAGTAAGTCTCAACATTCAAAAAAAAAACATGACAACCTCATCAGAGTACATGCCTGGAGTTGGAACAAAGAGTCCCAGCAGTTGGAAGATTCTTCACCCAAATTCAACCTGGTAGCGATGTTCGACTTCAACCGAATTAGGTTAGGATTCAAAGGTTGAGCACTTGTGGCTAAGAATGACATAGTCAAGGCTAGAAGAGCTGTGAGAAGGAAGAGCTTGAAAGTTGTGTATGTAAGACAATTTATTGTCTTAATCCATAAAAGGTGATCTTCTAATCCTAAGAGGACTCGGGTTTTGGTTTGATCAGGAGATACAACTCAATCCTCATTAGATAATGCTTGTACAGAGCTTATTAAAATCAAACACAAGTATTATCAGGATTCCTAATACAACATGGATTGAAACAAACCTATTCTAATGCAAAAAGGACACTCGAATACTTCTTGATAGGCAAGGTTTTCGTAGTGATGCATCTATAAATAGAGGTCCCTTCCCTTGCAGCAAACACGCTCTAAAATCAGTACTCACCCTATCTAAGAGACAGAGACATAAAGAGCTGCAGAGGGAAGAAGACTTTCTAGACGAAACCAGATTTCTCTTCTGCTTCAATGGCTGAACAAGGTTAGTATTATTGCATAAAGGCTTAGTACAGACTTACATGTGGTATCAGAGCTCTAGGCTTTTGTTCTTTAATCTGACTAATTGATCGTAAGCTATAAAGAATGCAGTTTTTCTTTTGTTTGTAAATCTTAACTGTTAAAAGAGCATAAGGTTATCTCTGCTCATAAAGTTTTGACCAAAATTTGAAAACTGCTATGCAGAATGAGTAAGCCACAGCTGCTCAGGCTGTGTAGGAGTTCTTGAATTTAACAGTTTGGTCAGAAAATTGCATCAGTGTTCGTAGCCTTCTATATGATTCTCCATCCACAGATGGAAAGTTGTACAGATTGATCACAGCACTTATGGAACAATCTGGACAGTTGATTGCACTGGCATGTGAGTATCTTTACATCCACAGATGTGAGTTACTTGCGCAGGAAGCTTGTACGATTAACTGTCTAGGATTTTGGAACATGTTTAAACTTAAACCCAAAGGTATGAGATAAACATGTTTAAGTAAAGTTTTAGGGACAGTTTTATTTAATTTGTATTGCAAATTCTACAGTGAATCACAACTCCATCGAAACCTTGACTGGATCAAATTATAGCAAATGGAAACAAGATCTGGAAATATCTCTAGGTTTTCTGGATTACGATTTTGTGCTCAGAGAGAAACCTCCCCAGGAACCAGCTGCAGATGCTTCTGCAGAAACTAAGACTAAGTTTGCCAAATGGGAAAAGGCAAACAAGATGGCTATGTTAATCATGCAAAGGGCTATGTCTTCATCAGTGAAAGGAAGCATTCCTAAATCTAAGAATACTATGAGTCAATTGCACAAAGGTTCAAGGAATCTGAAAAAGCTGTCAAGAGTTCCCTGCTGAATCAATTGATTGATATGAAGTATGATGGACAGGGTTGTGTGAGAGCTCATATCATGAACTTGATTGACATAGGAACGAAATTACAAGAGCTGGATATGACAGTAGATGAGGACATGATGGTCCATTTTGCACTGAATTCATTGCCTAAAGAGTTTAAATCTCTCAAGGAAACCTACATTGCTCAGAAGGAGACCTGGACCTTGAATGATCTTATTACTATTTCTGTCCAACAAGAGCACAATATCATAAGAGAAAAGGGAGCCAAAATGGTCAACATGGTTCAGACTAAACAGAACAAAGAAAACAAGTATAAGCCTGCTGCTGGGAAAGAAAAGGAAAACAGTACAGATAAGGCTTTGAAACCTACAACTGGATTAGGTTGTTTCTTTTGCAAGAAAGCAGGACACATGAAGAGAGACTGCAGGAAATACAAAAAGTGGCTGGAAAAGAAGAAGGGAAAAGGTAATAACAATTTGATTTTGGTCTGTTTCGAATCTAATTTGGTTAATTTCTCAAGTGATTCATGGTGGTTGGATAGTGGTGCTTCTATTCATGTAGCTAATTCCTTGCAGGAGTTTACAAGCAAGAGGCTGCCAAGCAAGGATGAAGTGAAGGTGTTCGTGGGAAATGGAGAAGAAGTCCAAGTTAATTACATAGGGACAGTTAGAATCAAGTTAGAATTTGGTTTTGTTTTGGAATTAGATGAAGTAGTTTATGTTCCTTCTATGAAGAAAAGTTTGATTTCAGTTACTAGACTTGTAAAATCAAAGTTCAGTTTGAATTTTGATGGAACTGGTTGTTCTATTTTCAGAAATAAAGTTTTAGTTGGCAAAGCAAGTCTCATTGATGGAATGTTTAGATTAAACTGCAAAAGAACTGAAATGGAAATAAACACTGTGCAAACCAAAACCAATGAGATTTCCTTCAAATTATGGCATAAAAGACTTGGACATGTTTCAAAAGAAAGGATAACACAACTGTGTAAGGAATCTGTCTTACCACCATTGAATCATGAAAACGAAGATGAAGTTTGCATTCCATGTATCAAAGGGAAATTAACCAACTTAAGAAAGAAAGGGGCATTAGGAAGCAAAGGTTTACTGGAACTCATTCATACGGATATATGTGGACCCTTTCCAAATCCAACTCATGAGGGATTTAACTACTTTATAACTTTTACAGATGATTTTTCAAGATATGGATATATCTATCTCATTAAAGAAAATCAAGTGCATTGGACAAGTTCAAAATTTATAAGGCTGAAGTAGAAAACCAGTTGAACTTGAAAATAAAGGTGGTTAGATCGGATAGAGGAGGAGAGTACTATGGAAGGTTTGATGAGACTGGAAGGAATCCTGGACCTTTTGCTAAGTTTCTTCAAGAAGAAGGAATTATAGCTCAGTACACCAACCCAGGTACACCTCAACAAAATGGAATTTCAGAAAGAAGAAACAGGACCTTGAAAGACATGATAAGGAGTATGATGAGCTGTACAAATCTGCCAATTTTTCTTTGGGGAGAGGCTTTAAAAACAGCCAACTATATTCTAAATAGAATTCCAACCAAAAGCATTAATAGAATTCCCTATGAAGTGTGGAATGGAAGGAAGCCTAGCATTAAACATCTGAAAATATGGGGCTGTAAAGCAGAAGCAAAACCTTACAATCCAGCAGAAAAGAAGTTGGATCCAAAAACCATAAGTGGTTTTTTTGTTGGCTATCCTGAAAGAACAAAGGGATACAGATTTTATTGTCCCAAACACACTACCAGATTCATAGAAACCTCAAGAGCAGTTTTTATAGAAACTGACCAAGAAATAGATGAGGAAGAAAGTTTTAGTTTTGAAGAAATAATCTTGAACCATGACATGCCACAGAATCCAAGTAAAGAAATTGTTAGATTACCTCAAATGGATTCAATCAACACTCAACTCGAACACACTGAAGAGACCAATGTCAATGAACCTGAAATTGCAGAACCAATGGAGTTAAATGACAATCAAGCACCACCAGCAGAAAATCAAGACATGGCTCAAGCACAAGAAGTAGCAAATCCAGAACCAAACTTGGAACTAAGAAGATCACAAAGGCAAAGAAAACCTGCCTTAGGAGATGATTATTTTGTATACCTACAGGGAGTAGAACATGATGTGAATATCATGGAAGATCCTGCAACATTCAAACAGGCCATGACAAGTGAAAAGAAAGAAAACTGGTTTGCAGCAATGAAGTCAGAACTGAATTCAATGGAGAAAAATGGAGTCTGGAAGCTTGTGACCTTACCTCAAGGTTGCAAACCAATTGGTAGTAAATGGATATATAAAACGAAACTGGACTCAAAAGGACAGATAGATAGGTATAAGGCAAGATTGGTTGCAAAGGGATTCACACAGAAAGAAGGAATAGATTTTAATGAGACTTTCTCACCGGTCTCGACCAAGGATTCATTAAGGGTTATCATGGCCCTTGTAGCACATTTTGACCTCCACTTGCACCAGATGGATGTCAAGACAGCTTTCCTAAATGGAGATTTGGAAGAAGACATATACATGGTGCAACCTGAAGGTTTTGTTCAAGAAGGGGGAAAGGACTTGGTCTGCAAGCTAAACAAGTCAATCTATGGATTAAAGCAAGCCTCTAGACAGTGGTACCTAAAGTTCAACAAGGTAGTGAAAGACTTTGGTTTTGTTGAAAATGTTTTAGATGAATGCATATACATGAAGATGAGTGGGGAGACATTTCATTTTACTAGTTTTGTATGTAGATGACATTTTACTAGCCTGCACAAATCTCACCATGTTACATGACTGCAAGAATTTCCTATCTAAGAACTTTGAAATGACTGATCTAGCTGAGGCATCTTATGTTTTAGGCATTGATATAAGCAGAGATCGAAAGAATGGGGTACTTGGACTATCACAAAAATCCTACATAGAAAAGGTGCTCAAGAGATTCAATATGCAAAACTGCACAGGAAGTGATATTCCTATTGCAAAAGGGGATAAGCTAAGCACTGAACAAGCACCTAAGACTGAGCAAGAAAAGCTGGAAATGGTTGACAAACCATATGCTTCACTAGTTGGAAGCCTAATGTATGCGCAGGTTTGTACCAGACCTGACTTGGCTTTTGCAGTCAGTGTGCTAGGAAGATTTCAGTCCAATCCTGGACAAGCTCACTGGATTGCAGGGAAAAGAGTGTTAAGATACTTGCAAAGGACAAAAGATTACAAACTAACATTCAAAAGAAGTGGCACGCTGGAATTACAAGGTTATGCAGATGCTGATTTTGCAGGATGTCAAGACTCCATGAAATCAACATCAGGTTTTGTATTCATGTTTGGAGGAGGTGCAGTGTCGTGGAGAAGTGTAAAACAACCTTTGACAGCAGGTTCAACTATGTTTGCAGAGTTTCTAGCATGCTATGAGGCCACCTCTCAAGCCATATGGTTAAGAAATTTCATTATCAGTTTGAATGTGGTTGAATCGATACACAGACCAATTCAAATATGGAATGACAACAGCGCAGCTGTTTTGTTTGCAAAAGGAAACAAAAGGACAAAGGGTTCAAGACTATTGGATGTCAAGTTCATAATAGTGAAGGAGAAAATTGCTCAAGGCTATACTAATATAAGTCATATCAGTACAGACAAAATGATAGCAGACCCTCTCACAAAAGGAGTCCCAAATGCAGTGTTCCATAGGCATGTTATGAGCATGGGATTAAGGAATGATTTGAATGCTTAAATCAGTGGGAGCCTTGTTAAGTTTAGAGTAGTTTTCTGTTAAAGTCTTAATTTACAGTTGGTCATGGGTTTTCGATGGATGTTGATTTCAGTTTCTGATTCAGAAATAAAGTTTTCTAGTTAAACATTTTACACGTTTAATTGTTATGTATATATATTCTTATAAACACTTGAATGAATTGAGCAGAAAGCTAGCTGAAGATGTCTGCATATGATTTTCATTCATGACAGGATATCATTTTAAATGATAAGACCTTAGTAGTCAAATTAAGGGACAATGAATAGACATGTTCATAAAGCTTTACAGTGAAACATGTTTATTTTTCTGTTTAATCTTGATGGAAGCTTATGTGGTTTTAAAGAATGATCAATGTGATTATAAAGACTCTGGATCCTTATATATTCAGTGAAGTCTTGATGGTTCCTTTTCATTCTTTAAAATTGACAATTGCTTGATGGAATCAGATTGAGTTATATTTCACCAAGGCCTTAAGTGATCAACACAAAACTTTGGGATTAATCGATCAAGTGGGAGAATGTAAGACAATTTATTGTCTTAATCCATAAAAGGTGATCTTCTAATCCTAAGAGGACTCGGGTTTTGGTTTGATCAGGAGATACAACTCAATCCTCATTAGATAATGCTTGTACAGAGCTTATTAAAATCAAACACAAGTATTATCAGGATTCCTAATACAACATGGATTGAAACAAACCTATTCTAATGCAAAAAGGACACTCGAATACTTCTTGATAGGCAAGGTTTTCGTAGTGATGCATCTATAAATAGAGGTCCCTTCCCTTGCAGCAAACACGCTCTAAAATCAGTACTCACCCTATCTAAGAGACAGAGACATAAAGAGCTGCAGAGGGAAGAAGACTTTCTAGACGAAACCAGATTTCTCTTCTGCTTCAATGGCTGAACAAGGTTAGTATTATTGCATAAAGGCTTAGTACAGACTTACAGTGTAAGCTGCCATTTTGATTTGATTATTGTGAATGAGTAAGAGATTGATACGAATGAAGGGTTTTATATAGATGGTGAGGTGATTGTGTTATAAAATGAAAAATAAAAAACATTACCTGCATTGGGTGGTGAAGAGGCTGCCAAGGATAACTCATAATGACTATAATCATGTGATTATTTAACGGCAAGAGAAATGGATAAGACTCAGCTCATCATCTGATGATGCATATATTATTTATTACAGAATTTGTGGGAATTAAAATGATTAAATGTAATTCCCAACCAATGATTTTTTAGACAAATTAATGGATAGTTTATCGTCTTTGTGATGGTTGGTTTGCTTGCTAGCTAGTGTAGGTTTTCTTTCCTGATGTCAAAGAATCGACCATTCATTTGCTCACTGGAAGTTGGTTATTGTATTCACAATTCGTGCTCATTCCCAAAAGATTGAATGAGACCCCTAATTCGATGATTAAATTTATGTTTGCTTTATATTTAATTTCAATTTTCCACTGAATTTTTAATTATTGAAAAAATATGCTTACCTATTTAGAGCTAGACAACGATAATTTGTGATTGTGGGTTTGCTTTGGCATTGGTGCTTTTGCATGTCTACTTGATTAGATAGAGATTTTGGGCTTTAGTTGGTGCCCTTCAGCCTTCGGTTGCTAACTTCAGCTTCTACTGGACGAGAATTCTATAGTACGGGCCTTATCTAAGCCTCTTGGATGTTTGTTTGGCTCTGTTGTGCTTAATTGGGCTGTGTTTGTTGCTTGCTATGTTTTTAGCGTGCCTTTGTGTTTCCCTTTTACTTGGGATACACTTGTTGTTAGGGCTGGGCATGGTATGAGATGACACGGAATGGAGGTCATCCCGGTGTCAATTCCGAATAGGGGAATCATGATAAGATGACACGGGATGAGAGTTTATGAAAACACATTCAAACCATACCGGACCCAAACGGGATCGGTATGATTCTGTATTAATGTTGATACCTTAAAAAAATCTGCAACAGATGATGTATCAAGTGAAGACTGACAGTGAATGGACATAGTTGAAAGAGATTCATCATATTCAAGAGTTAAAAAATAAGTCATAATTCAAGGCTTTGCTTGATCACTACTGATTTCCAATATCTTTGAAAATAAAATAAATTACTTTCCACCTTAATAATTAGAGTGGGAGGGGTGGAAAATTCTGTTATATATTATGCCTTGTTCAATTAGGACATATGAAGAACAAGTAGAACAAGGCACAACCTTCTCAACCTGCTAAGCTTGATTTAATTGCTCATGCAGAAATGGTAAAAAGAAATGGAGATTTCTGGTGGAAAGGGAATCGATATGGCATGTGCCGTGATATGGAAAAAGAAGAACAATTGAAATATGGAATTCAAGAAACTAGATGGGATAAAATAGCAATGGTGAGTGAGTGAGTCACTCAGAAACTAGATGGTATTCCGGTTTTGATGCCCACCCCTACTTGTTCCTTTTTGAACAATATCTCTATAGCTTACAATACATCTTAATATTTTGTGATTTTGATTATAGCATATGTAGTGATGTCAGTCTTCTTATAGCTCTGAAATTATATATATACTAAAGCTGATCAACCAAATCACTATTCATAGACTGTAGCTTAGGAATAGTAAAATTACGGTTTTGCCCCTACTTATGTTCTTTGTTCTTTTTTGTCCTATTTGGCATCACAGTAAAATGACCATATTGGCCTTCTCTCTTCTAACTTTTTGTCCTATTCAACAACAAAAGGCAAAGATTTTTTTTAAAATATATATATTTTAAATTTTAAACTTCCTATAAATTACATATTACTTATAATTATATGTATGTTTTAATTAATATATATATATATAGAGAGAGAGAGAGAGAGAGAGAGAGAGAGAGAGAGAGAGAGAGTTTATGTCTCATGTAATTAAATATATGTTTAATTTTGGTTTGTATAAATATAACTTGATGTTTGCTCTAGATAATTAGAATACTACAATTGTTAGGCCCCATTTAGGGCTCGTTTGGGAGTGATTATGTAGAAGCGATTTTACTCATTAGTGATTTTAACATAATCACTTTATGTTAGTAGCACTTTTGCGCAAAATCAGTTCATCGTTTGGCTACCAACATAGAAGTGCTTTTATATTGTAAAAAAGTGATTTTGATGTTATTCGTAGCGTTTGGCTTCCCAAAGAAAAAGTGTTTTTTTTTGTTGCCTTTTTTTGGTATTTTTATAATCAAACATTTTTAAATTGATAACCCCAATCACATAATATTATATCTTGGGCATTCTTAAACGAAAATTGAAAATTTATAGCTTCAAATCATACTTCTTGAAAAAAAAACATGAATAAATATTTTTTGGGATGAGAAGATATATTGTTAATCGACACAAATATCAAATAGACATAAGAAGATTTGCAATTGTCTCGCGTTCGTCATCCATCTCTCGTGCACGGGTTACATTTTCTTGTACAATAGTCTCTTCCATACTAGTCCTTCCATCATCTGTTTGGGGAAGTAACTCTTCATCATCATCATATGGTTGGAACTCTACATCCATCATTGAATGAATTCTTATGAAGTTATGGAGAGCCATTGAAGCGATAACGACTTGTACTTGTTTTTCCAAAGGAAAATTATGAATTTGACGTACCATTCTCCATCGGTTTTTCCAAACACCAAATGTTCTTTCAATTGTGCATCTTAGAGATGAATGTCTGTGATTGAAGATTTCTTTTTTCCCTCTTGGTTGGCTTCCTCGTCGGAAATCCGGAAGATGATATCGCTCACCCCTATAAGGGCCTAAATATCCTTTCATTTGTGGATAGCCAGCATCAACCAGATAATATTTGCCTATACATGTGAATCAATAACAATATTAGTATTATTTGCCATATTTGATATAAGAAACATATCCAAGGCGAAATAGTAAAGGAAAATATTGAACTTGATGACATTTTGATTACTAACCAGTAGGTGGATGTGGAAATTTCAGTGTCGGTATTCTTAAGGCCTCCATAAATATACGTGCATCGTGAGCAGCACCCTCCCATCCAGCCCAAGCAAATGTAAAGCACATGTTAAAATCACATACAGCCATGATATTTTGGGTAGTAATGCCTTTTCTACCAATATAAGGTACTTGCCTTTCTCTAGGCACAACAACTGGTACATGTGTTCCATCAATTGCCCCAATGCAATCTTTAAAGTATGGCCAATATCGATTATCATCTTTAATTTTCTTTGGAACTCTTTTGAATTCAGGATCACTAGGACTTATGAGATCAGTAGCCATTCGAGATATAGCTTCTAATATTATCCCAAACCACCTTGACACAGTATCCCCTGAATGCTGGAACCTTTCTTGTACCATTCTATTAGTAAAGCCATGACCTAATGTGATAAGAAACATTGCTAAAGCCTCTAGTAATGGTATTTCTCCACCTTCTTTCAAACCATAGGTACTTGTAAGGGTCTCCAACAATTTCTTAAACACATGTTTTTCCATCCTAAATTGTTCATGACACCTTACCTCATGGCCATTCAAAACTTCAATTACCCATTTATAACCAGTATGAGATGAAGTCCTACATGGTTCTTTATCAACATATTTAAGCCATTCAGACACAACCATCACACACCCTACAGATATTAAGTCATAAAATTCATCATCACTATCATCTGACAAAGAGTCAGTATTATCACCATCACTGTTGCTTGAACTCATGTCTGTACAATTGAAAAAACCAAATAAGCAAAACAATATAAGCATCTTCCCAACAAAAATAACCCATTTAGATAATGTAAACAATTCAATAAATGTCAAACACAAAATATGTCCACCATTACATATTGTAAAAAATAAAATGATAATAAACTAATAACATTTCAATACTGAACCGATAAAGCTTATAAAATAAAGTGTGACAGATTAAACTTTCTTGTTTGTAAGCCACATCACTTGTCGGTTTGGTTGTTTTAACGCAATAAACATCTCCCTATTTTTTCTTTCAGTTAAGATATCAGCAGCTTTCATGAAAAGGTCATCATCATTGACAATTTCTGGAATTCCTTCAACCACCTGCATCACTTCCTCAATGCTACAACCAGCCTTGTCTTTACTTTTAAAAGTGCTACTTCGATGTTCAATTGCATGTAAAATAGAATCTAACCGCTTCGTCACCTTAACCCCAACTCCAGGTCTTTTCGAATCTCTTTTCCTTTTATTGTCAGTTTCAACATCAACTATTTCATCAAGTCCAGCATTAAGATCAGTAGGATCCCCAAACTCATCCTGATCCTCAACCAGAATCTCTTTATTATGTTCTCCTATAGCTGGACCATTGTCAACATCCTCTACCACAAAACCTTGTGAGGGTGCCCAAGCGCATTCACCCGTGACAGCAACATCTTTAAACAAAATATCTAACTGGTCAACATGTTTCAATCCATGTGTTCGAAATCTTGCAACCTCAGGTTTCTCCTACAGTAATAATATGAACTAAAATTTTAAAAAATTGATATAATGCTACAAATTAAGTATTAGCTTTAGGAAATAAAAATTTCACCTTTATTTTCTTATCCCACCATTCATCGGTAGCTTTGATTGTTTGCTTCACAGGATCCCATCCTAAGCCAGTCTCTTTTGCAACCAAACTTGTCCATAACTGCCATTCTTTCTTAAGTCCAGTCCATTTGTTCTTCAATTGTCTATAGTCGTAGTTCCTTTTAGTAATATCATTAAACTTCTTTATAACATTTTTCCATCCAACCTTATTAAAATGACTACTTGGTCGATTACCACCTAACGTCTCAGCAACACAAATCTTGATAAAAACCTCAGTTCCCTTGTCATCCCATTTTGCTTTCTCTTGTTTTTCTTTTTCTTCCCGACTTTCATTTTGGGATGAGTTCACTATATTGTTAGACATTTTCTAATAAACAAATTGGACAAAGAACAAAAATTAATGATGATTGTACAGTATAACAAGAAGTTTTGCTCAACATACAAGTATATAAGACAAAGCACAAACAAAAGAAAAAAAAACAAAAACAAACAGAAGCTAGTATCAAATAGAAACAAAAACAAACAGTAGCACGTTTGCATTAATACATAAACCAAAAGTTCTCAGACAGAACAACAAATTGAAACTAAGCATTAATACATAAACCAATAGTTCTGGTATGTGTCTATACGTGTCTCTCTCCCTCTCTTAATTTCTAAAAGACAGCCACATGGCATTGACATCAATGTGGAATGAAGATTGCCTTACACGTTCATCTTCATATTCTTATGTCTGATGATGTGGGGAAGGGAGCTCCAAACAGATTGCAAATAGGAAACAGATTGCAAATTAAACAAATTGCAATAGGAAACAGCTCTTTCTATATCCTTCTGTTATTGCAAAAGAAAGTGTTTATAATAGCATCGACATATACGCAAGCTTTTACCCATCTCTCTCTCTCTCTCTCTCTCTCACACATAAATTCAATTTCTGATTCTGATAATATTTTTACTAATAACTATTAGTGATATAATATGTGAATCAAGAAGCATGAGAATTTCATAGTACTATCTGATAAAAGAGAAAAGCTAAAATAAAAAATATCAAGATAAATATAGAAGTGCATAAACATATATAGTGAGAACAGAGAGGATTTACCTTGAAGAATGATAGCCTTGCAGAGTTTGAGCGAGAGAGGGGGGAAGCCTTTGCAGAGAAAGAATAGAGGCAGAGACAAAGACGTGATAACTAGGGTGGATGAAACGTGTGGATTGCTTAAAAATTGTAGGGTTAGGCTTTTTGGCCATATTGTAAAAATAATAGGGATAGTATTGGTATTAAAAAAGTTTCATTAATTGGAATCAAGTGATTCCCGGTTTTTTTAAAAAAACCACTTCCTGGGAGAAGCACCTCCCTTGTGCTTCTCCCTAAAATCACTTTAAGTGATTTTAATACATATTTTAAGCGCTTTTAAATTTTTGCCAAACACCATATTTTTTAAGCAAAAGCGATTATACTAAATAGGAAGTGATTTTGGCCCTCTCAGAATCACTCCCAAACGAACCCTAAATGATTAGAATAATCAGTTTCTATCGAATTCTATATGGCCCATCATGAATGCATAGTTTTTGTTTTTCAAGTTTACCTTATTGAATGTAATTTTTTTTCCAATAAGAAAATGGGTAATGTCATCGCCTTCTTCCATAATTAAAAAACAATTATTTAAAAATAAAAAAAAAACTAAGGCCCCGTTCGTTTATGTTTTGAGAGCCCATTTTCATTTTGAGAAAATAAAAACAAACAAAAAACCTGTTCGGCGGGCAAAAATAGAAAACACGGAGAATGTTTTATGAAAACAAGAACAACTTCACATCTACTTGTAGAAAACATAAAAAAAACTGTTTTCGTTCTCACATAAAACAAACACTGAAAACACGATGCTTCTCTCACTCAATCTTCTCTCCCCATCAGACCAAAACTACTGTCAGACGCTGACAGCAGAGAACCACACGCAGAGCTTGAACCACCACTATTACACAATCAAAATCACCACTGCCCCATTGAACCAGATTGACCTCACCGTCACTCAATCGAACCCAACAGAATCTCTACGCAATTGAATTGAACCACCATTGTTGAACAACTAATTGCCGAACCAATTTTCAGTCCAAGAAAAGGAAAAGGAGCTAGGAAGCTACTGGAAGGTGAGGTTGCAGAGAGAGAGAGACAAAGAGAGGGTGTAGTAGCATGAAGAGAAAGTGGAAAAAAGAGGGGGGTTGGTCTGATTCTTCAATTTTGAGGAGAGAGAGATATATATATATATATATATATATAATTCTAGTTTTATACTTTAGAATTTTATTCTATTTTTTAAATGGTATTCTTTTAGATGATTAAAAAAATACTTTTAAAAAATAATATACGTACTAATTTTTTTTATTTTTTTTGAAACTCACATATTGATTACATACTGTTGTATTTAAAAAAAAATGCATTTTAATTAAAGTTACATATTCACTATTTTTGTTTTTTTCACATATTACTACTAGACACGTTTTCATTGTTTTTGTTTTCTTAGTTTTTTTTTTTTTTTTAATGTAGAAAAAAAAGGGGGGATTCGGGGTGGGTATGGGGGATAGTCCCCCGACGGGGACGTGGACGGGGATTCCCCGAAACCTATTAAATGGGGATGGGTTCAGGGACGAGGGCAGGGATAGAGAGCTGGGACATGGATGGTATTGTCATACCCGACCCTTACCCGACCCGTTGCCATTCCCAATCTAAACTGCAGGGCATGAGGATCTCTCTCTCTCTCTCTCTCTCTCTCTCTCTCTCTCTCACACACACACACACACACACACATAACTATGATGCCGTGGGGATTTGAACTTGAGACCTCTGGTCTGCAAGTTAAGGCCCTTTTCCACTGGGCTAGATTTCGTTGACAGAACGCAACCTAATAGTTTCATGAACCTTAAAGATGTTTTGTGTTAAAAAAGCCTAATTTTTATAGCGGATGAGGAAAACATGTAGGAGACCAAATGCATAACAAATTTTGAAGTGTGATGTGACACCGTCTCATGATCTTATATGTGTTATAGTATTGCTGGATAACATATGATGAATATATCATGAACTTAGATCATACACGTGTTGTAATATGAATGAATGATACAGCAGTGTGATGGGTGTGACCTCACATCATTTTCACTCATATATATATATATATATATATACGTATATATGCATTATTATCCTCTCTTTTTTTTTTAAACAAAAAGGCTATTAGCTCTACGCATTAATTAATGATATTTGGGAGAAGAATGCCAATTTGCCAAACCAAATGCATGAGATATGCATGATCCCTCCATCACATGTTGAACTCTCCACGTTTATTCCTCTCTCTCTCTCTCTCTCTCTCTCTCTCTCTCATTTAAAGGTTGAGTATCTTGTGAAATCTTTCCTTACGTGCATGGGACTTTCTCCCATATATCTTCTCTAAACCTGTAAACTGCAGTACCACATGTCATTAGCTAAAGGCTCCACGTGTGTCCTAGCGCAGCATTTTGTGTTCAATTATGAGACGCCATGTCTTTTTAATCACACAAGCCTTTTTCAAATGCACTGATTTGACAAACTCAAAAATTGTTAGCGGTGTTCTAGCTTCTACCCTCATATTTCAATTAACAGGTTTCAGGTTTGCCTGCCTGCCGACCAACCTTGGTGAAGCATCGACGCTCCCTAAAGCCATTCCCATATTTCACTACCTAATCTAGTTATGTCAGCTCAATGCTACTTCCCTCTGTATGTTTGTTTAAAGGTGGGTTAAGCCCTTATGTTAGGGGAGTAAAAAACATAGAACGGAAAATTAAAAACAATTTCAAGTTTTAATTCTTTGTTTTCTCACTCATTTCTTCTTCTGGTGATCATCTTTCATCGCTCTCTCATTTCTCTCATCTTATATTGGGGAAAAGGGGAATCGAACCTTAAGACTAAAAAGCTCTTAACCACTAAGGTACAATCCCCGTACCATCCTTTTTCCTCTTTATATCTTTAACTAAAAGAAAATAACTACAAAAAGAAAACAACAACTCTACAGAATCGAACAAGTCTTGCATCTTTGAACCTTTGTTTACGTCATTGAAGTTTATGTCTATTATACATGCTTCTCATTTTCGAGACACCGACCAAAGTTTTATGTGCTCCAAATCAAAGGAACAATGATGCAAAGTGTATTGAGGGAGGCAAAGTATTGATATTTAGAACATGAAACCAAATTTATTTTATCTTACAAATGGTGGCTCTCATGCATGGCAGTTTCTTGGGGACTATGGTTTCTCATTAATTAATTAGGTACGTATACATCTACATACCAGAAAGTCCTACAAATTATGTCACATTTGCCAAATTGATAAAAGTAGATATACTCTAACAGATAATGCTTCGATTAAAATAGAAATTTTTATTTTAGATCATGGAAATATTTAAGAAAAGAAGAACATCTACGAAAGAAAGAAGAAGCATTGATTGATGACGAAAATGTGACAATGATAGCAGTTGCATGACAAAGATAAATATATTTAGCTTACTAGACATCAATGATTGAGTTTCAAAATTGGTGATAGGGCATGCAAACATCCAGAGGTGCCTCTATAAGGTGTGTACGTATACCCCCCAAAAACTTATAATTAACTTATTTTTTATTTATTTTATATAACTTGTATAAATGAGAATTTCATCTTGAAGGGTACAATGGCCATTTGATTGTAGGCTTGTAGCAGTGTTTTTTGGGCCTCCTTGATACTCCTCTATATAGGTTATGTATAACTGTAAGAAGAAAATATACATAAAGGCGAAAAAGAGAGGCCAGAGAGGGCTGTGTCAGATGCAGAAAAGGTCCTCAAGAAGGGAGGACTCTTCAGCAAATTTAGCCTTAAAGCTTGCAAACAAATTGGAGAAGTAACTCATCTCTCTCTCTCTCTCTCTCTCTCTCTCTCTCTCTCATGAAAATATTGGAGTTATGAAAAAGACAGCGTGAACTACAATCCTTAAACAGCCTTTAATAAAGCTAGAAAGTTGAATAGCTAGCTCATTCAAGCCCTTCCTTGTTCTTTCTTTTAAGGTTCTTATAAGCAAGCCCCACAGTTGGGTTATGAATTCAAGATCATTATTAAATCTCTTCTTCACAAGTTGGGAGCTAGCTCTTCTTCTTAACCTAGCTAAGATCGACATCAAGTTTGTTGTTCCGATTAAAAGATCGACCTCAATATGTGGGCAAAACTTAAAGCTTCTTCAAAGATTGCAAAAGGTATGTTGTATATGTTTTTGTTTAATTAAATTTTCGGTTGAAAGTTATATCTTCATCTTTTTTTTCCTCTACAATTTTGGATTATTGGTTTTCAGGGAAAGAAGTGATAAGACAAGTTCAAAAAAGCTTCAATCTGAACGAGGAGTACCTCAGTGCATTGAGAACCAAATCATATGCAGACTTCTACAATAAGGCTCAATTGCTTGTAAACGAGCCATCATCTTCTTTTAGTTACAGCCATGACCACAAATTCTCAGAAGTCCTCCTAGAACCTGGTCAAGAAGCCATACCTGGTATTCTTGAATCTGCGATTCTTTCGAAGGTGCCTGAATTGAAAGGCCTTATGCTCAACTACTTTGACATCAGTGCTGAGGCCTCAAAAATATGTACCCACCTCTTAAAAAGCATCAAACGTATCCAATCCAACTACCACGTCGTTCAACAAGCACTTGATAAATTCGAGGACTATTCCCCGAACAAAATCAAATCGATTGTTTCTGAGCTAAACTTGTTCATTATCCAAAACAACATAAACCCTTTTTCAAATCCTAATGACCATGACTTTGAGCTCATTCATGACAAGTACTCGTCGGTTTTGCACCACCTGAAGTCGATGAGAAGAAAGGTGTCACGGAAGATTAAGCTCGTCAAGTTTTTCAAAAAGGCTTCCGGAATTTGCATAACAGCAGCTTGTAGTTTGATTGCTATATCAGCTGTTGTTCTAACCGTACATACTCTCACTGCCTTGCTCATGGGACCAGCTATCTTCAGCTTCCCATTAAGCGCTTAAAGAAAAAGTTGAGTAGTATCCCGTCTTTGAGAAGTAGGATTCTTACCAAAGTCGGAGAGCAACTTGATGTAGCCGCCAAGGGGACTTATATTCTGAACAGGGATTTCGACACAATGAGCCGACTTGTGGCAAGGCTTCATGATGAGGTTGAACACAACAAGTCAATGATTCGGTTCTGCTTGGAGAGGAGAGAGGATAAGTTTTCGTTGCAAGTTGTGAAGGAGCTTAAGAAGAGTGATATTGGGTTCAGAAAGCAAGTGGAGGAGCTTCAGGAGCATGTGTATTTGTGTCTTGTGACTATCAATAGAGCTAGAGCTTTGGTCATCAAGGAGATGAAAAAATCTTGCGTAGAAAATTGATTTTAGGAGTCTAGGAAGGTGGCTATATAAAAGTCTTGTACAGCATAGTAATTCAATATCTGTAAATTATACATAATTATACTAAAGTATTTATTGGGGGTTCATGTTTTTTTTTATATTAAAAAATAAAACTATTGTGTAAGCATCTGATCTATTTTGAAGACTCGACTTTGTCAGCTTAAAAAATAAAAAATATTATTTGACATTGTGTTTGGAATGCATCATTTCATTAGAGTGCGTATATCGTTATATGTTATTTTCAAACCTAATTGGGATAATCCTCTCGAGGGGAAGTGATGAACGCTTGTGACTTGTCAAATACCAATATGGTTGTTTGCGTAACAAATTTGGCAAGCTACTATGAAAGTACCATTAAAAAAGGGCAATGAAGCCAAATGCGGACAAGAACCATCGGCAAGACAACAACCACACAAGGATCCGAAGGGGGACCACTAACATGTTCTTATCACAACCTCCACAGATGCTCGGCCTTTTCCCATATATTTCCAAATAACTGATTCAGCCCCATTACAAAAAGACTGAACCAACATATTGATGTGTGTGTATATATATATATATAATCTTATAAGGATATTCGGACGTTATTATTGTGTGGACATCATTGTAAATATAGAGGAGTCATAGAAAATATATAGCGTCCGCACAATAATAATATGCGGACGTCCACATAGGAGAAAATATGTATATTATTATATTAATAATATTATTTGTACTGCATTTAGTGACCCCTTTATTGGCTATCACTTAATACAAGTGAATTTAAGAGAGGTACTCTGCATTATTAGAGTTTTCCATCTTTATAGTGTGAGTGTTTTATTTATATTGTTATGGTTTAGTTTTTTTCAAGTTTGATCTATTTTTGGTTGTTTTGAGTTTGCACTCTTACAGTTGGGATGTCTATGCCAGAGTTTCTTCAATCTTGCGTTAATGGAGGAGTCCCAGATTATCTTGATTTTGATGTTAGATTTCTTTATTATTGTAATGGCTCTTTGTAACTAGTTCCTTTTTAGACTGAATTATGAATGTAATCCCAAAATTTTGTATAATTTTTTTAAAAAAGGTATTCTACAATATTGTCAATAGATGTGGTACACTCATTATATATGTGTATATATGCTGATTTTGGTTTAAATTCACAATGTAAATAGGTCTTGCAATAGAATAGGAAGAAATTGTCAAATCTCTTGGTCATAAACATCTTTTTATTTATTGTGTGTTTTGAAGCAGGTGAAGAGAGAGAGAGATCATAACTGATTTTTTTTTAAATTTCTTTTTATATAAATATGATGACAAATGTAATGCTGAATAGGCTCTCTTTCTCTTCGGTCTTCACTCTGCCTCTCAACCACTCGCAAGTCACAACGGCAACACAACAAACCAAAGTAAGATAGGGCTTTCTCTCCAATCTGATTGCTTTGGTTTATAATTTCTGATGTGGGAAAGTTTCATTTCTCTTCATCTTACTTTGCTATAAAAGATGTGGGTTAGTTTGAATTAGGAATTTGGGTTGTCGAGAAATTTTTTCCTGATTGTGGGTTTTAATCTAGATTATGAAAAAACAAAGACATATATAGATTAAGAAGAAAAAAGATTCTGCTCTGTCCAAGCAAAACATGAAAGCTGATATGAAATCTACAACATAAATAGATGAATGCTTGATTTTATGAAGCAGAATGGTTTTGGTATTGTTGAGATGGTCAAATGGTATATAGGTGGAGCTTTCTCTTGTCCATGTACTGATAGTCAACAATTGTAATATGAAAATTCAATCTTTCCCAGTCCAAAGGTGGGCGGTGAAATGAGCAGATTTTTATGCTAATCAAATTCAGTATTTCCCATACAAAATTTCAACCTTCATTGTTTTGGCCCTTTATCTTCTTCCCAAGTTTTGTATACTAGTCAAACACTTACCTTTTCATTCCTGTGATAGTTTCTTGTGCTAGTTGTGTTATTTTATCTCTATAATTGATTTCTTTTCTTTTCTTTCTGATACTGGTGTATAAAACAGAAAAGAACCGATGACTGATAACTCACAGGGAAAAAAATTATATTGAGTTTGGAGGTTTATCACTTCTCAGACTATTCCATCACTTAATTCAAAAGGACAGGGCTGCCTGACTGGTGAAATTGATGGAGGGTTCAATCAGGTGTTCTGCTAACTACATCCCCCTCTCTCCAATCAGCTTCCTGGAGCGCTCGGCCATAGTCTACAGAGACAGGCCTTCTGTTGTATACGGAAGCATCATCTACACTTGGAGAGAGACACTTGAACGATGCACCAGACTCGCTTCTGCTCTTTCCCAGCTCGGAATTTCTCGTGGAGATGTGGTTTGCAACAAACTACTTATTTCATGTTATTGTAGAAGTTTTGCTCTGTTTGTTTCCATTATTGACTACTTTGCAATTTGCATCTTCATTTTTTATGGTTTCAGTGGTTTGGTTTGTTTATTTGCTTTTTTGTATTTCCTTTTGGGGAAGTTTGGATTTTTGACATGTCCCAATATCCAATCAACATAGTGAGGGAGAGGAGGTTGGTTGTTCTCCTTGCTTTCAGATTTTGATGATGTTTTTGCGTCGTTACTACCATGTTCCGGCCACTTTGAACACATTTGTAGCTGAAGTAATTGAATTTTAAAGTTTCTCCTTTAAGAGTGATTCACAAAATCCATGTTTATTTTGGCCATCCTTCTGTATCTCCATGAGATTCAGTCTAGCCAATGATGTGCATGTCATGCTCACAGTGCAACACTTTTTTCTCCCTGAATTTCTTTTCTAATTACCCTCTTCTTCACATAAGGCTTGGGGTATATAAATCATTAAAACTTTTGATTTCTTTTCTTTCTTAGATTTTACTCCTCTTTGCCTTATTCTTAAAGCACCAGTGCAGATTAATTCGTGATTTCCTTTTCCCACAGGTAGCTGCATTGGCTCCAAATATCCCAGCAATGTATGAGCTCCATTTCGGTGTTCCAATGGCAGGCGCAGTTCTCTGTACACTTAATGTACGCCATGATTCACAAATGGTGTCAGTATTATTAAAACATTCTGATGCCAAATTCATTTTTGTAGACTACCAACTTTTCCATGTTGCTAAAGGAGCATTTGACATTCTGTCCAAGACTAGAACCAAGCTACCTGTTCTAGTCTTAATCCCAGAGAGTAATCAATTGTCCCCTGAGTTCTGCAACCCCATTTCTGGGAACTTGGAATATGAGAGCCTATTAGGAAGGGGAAAACTCGATTTTGAGATCCAACGGCCAAAGACGAATGGGATCCAATTTCACTCAACTACACTTCAGGTACTACATCAAGCCCAAAAGGTGTCATTTATAGCCACAGAGGTGCCTATCTCAATTCGTTTGCAGCAATTCTTCTCAATGAGATGCCCTCAATGCCTGTGTATTTATGGTGTGTGCCCATGTTTCATTGCAATGGCTGGTGCCTCACTTGGGCTGTGGCTGCTCAGGGTGGCACCAATATCTGCCAAAGAAATGTCACTGCAAAAGGAATATTTAGCTGTATTTCTCAGCACAAGGTGACCCACATGGGTGGTGCACCCACCGTTTTAAACATGATTGTAAATGCACCAGAAAATGAGCGAAGGCCACTTCCGGGAAAGGTAATAGTCATGACTGGAGCTGCACCGCCACCAGCCCAGGTACTATTCAAGATGGAAGAACTTGGGTTCAATGTAACCCACTCATATGGTTTGACAGAAACTTATGGTCCTGGGACAGTTTGCAGTTGGAAGCCTGAATGGGATTCCCTGCCTCGGGTTGAACAGGCAAAGATCAAGTCTAGACAGGGGTTGCAACATCTTGGCATGGAGGAACTCGATGTTAAAGATCCTGTGACCATGAAGAGTGTACCATCTGATGCAAAAACCATGGGTGAGGTTATGTTCAGGGGCAACACCGTGATGAATGGATACTTGAAAGATCATCAAGCAACAAGGGATGCATTTAAAGGTGGATGGTTTCATAGTGGGGACTTGGGGGTGAAACACCCAGATGGTTACATAGAACTAAAGGACCGTTCGAAGGATATTATCATTTCTGGGGGCGAAAATATTAGCACAATTGAGGTGGAATCAGTGCTTTTTAGTCATCCAGATATTCTTGAGGCAGCTATTGTGGGAAGGCCTGATGAATATTGGGGGGAGACACCTTGTGCATTTGTGAAGTTGAAGGATGGCTGTAAAACTGGTACAGAGGAGATTATTAAGTTTTGTAAGGATCGGTTACCCCATTATATGGCTCCTCGAACAGTTGTTTTTGAAGATCTGCCAAAGACTTCGACCGGGAAGGTGCAGAAGTTTGTATTGAGAGAAAAGGCTAAGGCCATGGGAAGCCTCACCAAGAACACCATCAGCAAACTGTAAAGCCCCTTGTTGTAGCTGATGACTGTTTTATTTCAGTCTGTTTCTTTCAAGCTGTAAGTAGGCATTGTCAATTGCCATTTGTTCTCCATCCACACTTTAATCCTGTGAAATTTAGTAATGGGAACTTGTAAGTGTGCCGCTTTTTAATTCCTCTTTTTACATTAATGCAGGAAAACTTTTGTCAGTTAAACCAGAAGATTTTAAGTTGGATTGAATTCATTCTTATCCAGAAAGAGCGTACCTAAATTCAGCAGAATTAATAACTCCAGTTAAGATCAAATACAAAAGGCCAAATTACATCTTTTAGGCCTCCCTTGTCATCAATTCTCTTCAAGCTAAACTTTGGGCCATGAAAACTCAACTTCACTGCACAATACAGTAGGTGTTCTAAAGCTTGTAAGAAGGTTTCAAATCCATGTAAACATATTGTTCATGACCAAAACCTATTATGTAACGTATAAACTGAAATTCGCTTAAAACTGCAAACAAAAATTTGTCTGCAAACGCGTGCGTTTTACTTAAGGATAGCCCAGAACTAGGGTTGATTTTTGGAATGAAAATTCTATTTCAATTATGTTAAAATTCGGAATTTCAATATCCAGTCCAATTTGGAGAACTTTCAATTTTTGGAAAATTTCAGTACATATTTCGGAATTTTCTTGAAAATTTTCAGAAACTGGTTAAATTTTAAACATAACCAACCCTTTGAAGGGTTGAATTGACTCAAAATTGAAAACTCATACCGGAATCTCAAAAAACTAGTATATGCTAGTACTTAGATGTTTTTATCTTTTATGGAATAATTTGTCTATGTCTATTTTTGTCATTAAATTAAAATATAGTTCAACATAAAATTTGTAATTGTGTGTAGTCTAAAGCTGAAAACCCCAATACATTAACCCATGAAGGTTCAAGGTCACTCTCGAAATGAGCCACGGGGTTTTAATTTTGTCAATTTACACCGTAATGTTTTAATATTCGAACAATTTATATATTCCGTGAATTTAACCATTTGATCTTATGTTAAATTGATGAGGTGTCAAGTGTTCTTATGTTAAACTAAGAAATGAATGAACATGATTCTCCAGTATCAAACAACACTTCAACAAAACTATTAACAATAGTTAACATGATTCTCCAGTATCAAACAACACTTCAACAAACCTATTAACAATAGTTAACATAACTTCCATTTCCTCATTTCTCTGCCACCCAGTGAACACTCAAGTCTGCCCCTGGGTGCAATTTTTAGCAATATGGCCCGGCTGACTGCAAGTGTAACATACACGAGCACTGCGATTAATACAATCTCTAGCCATATGTCCAACTCCACCACAATGGTAACACTCCCCTAGCCCACCCTCTTGACCAGATGCAGCTGTGATGTCTTCATACAGAGTTGTCGTTCTCTGTTTCTTTCTAATACCACCATGTTTACCCGAGTCATAGCTACTCTGAGATGATGTCTTCCCTTTGCCCTTATAGTCTCTTCGTTCATCCTGGTACAGTCTGTACGGCTCAATACTATTCTCGACTGCCATGGCACAGTGTACCGCCTCAACTAAGGTCTTGTGTGTCGAGGCAACCACATACATACCGATATGATCAGCCAATCCCTCCTCAAACCGACGAGCTGTCAACTCCTCATCAAATGCCGGTGCAAAACGAAGCAACTTTGAAAATCTGGACTCATATTCCCTTACAGTTAGGGACCCTTGTTTAAGTTCCAGGAACTCACGTCGTAACGCCGTTTTCACAACATTAGGAAAGTACTTATCATAAAAGAGAGCCTCAAACTCTTCCCAATCCATCTGGGTCTCATCCTTGGATTTGACCACAGTATCCCACCACACACGAGCCTCCTCCTGTAAGAGAAAAGCGGCTACCTTCCTCTTTTCCACACTTGTGATTTCGATTATACTAAAGCAGTTCTTCAGGTCACGAATCCAGTAATCCGCCATCATGAAATCACTCTCCCCAAAGAAAGGTTGAGCTCCTAGTGCCTTGAGCTCAATGATCAATGCACACAATCGAGAATTAGCAACATGTTCAGGCAATGGAGGATCCCTAGACGCAGGTTGAGCAACTCCATGTCCTCTGGCCTTTAAGAACTCAGCAAACAACTTTGTCGTATGAACATCCAACTGTACAGTACGCACAGGTGTTGCCCCATGCAAAACTTCCGGCTCCTGCTCAAAATCTTCCGGAACCTCTGAAACAACCTCTGTCTGTGGTAAAGCCCCGGCTCTACTTCTGCCTTGGCGGCCTATGCATCTTCCTCTTCCTCTTCCTCTTATTGGGTCCATTTCCTATCAGAAAACAAGGCCAACAGTTAATTAAACATTTGAATACCCACTCTAAGATAAACAAGCATTAAATTAAGACTATTTCAAGTTCAACAACAAAAAAGACTCCTCCCACTAAAACTTAATACCTCACTTAGACCTAACAAAACCCGCTTCCTCATAGTTAACCCCAGACTCTCTCGGAGCTGACCTATAGTTCTCACACAAACATACCATCCATGGAGATTTTTTTTTCTTAAGCGCAAACAAACCTGAGCACACCATAGATAAAAGACAAAAGTCACAATAGACAAAAGTCAATCAAACTATCGCAAGTCTGAGCACACCCTCATGCTCAGGACATAGAGGACTACACACCGAGCCAAATACATAAATTCAACAGTAACCCACGGGCCTCCCCGCTGGTGGTTTGCCGGAGTAATTTTTGGACGACGAAAAACTTCAAATAACCAGTCATAGTTTATACCAAAATGAAGAACTTTAACGACTAAGAAACTTTGGTTGTTGGACCGTACCTGAAAGATGGGCGGAAGTAACCCAAATCGCCAGTCAAACTCACAGTGGCTGGAATTCTAAGAAATTTTGGAGCTAAAATCAGCAGCGTAAAGTGGCAAATCGGAGTGGATGATCACTGAGTGATGTAGAGGGGTATGATGAGAATATTTAGCAACAAAAATCACGGCAATCGGAGGTCGGACGAAGCCGATTGCACGCCGAGAATTGCCCCTCTGTCGAGCTCGCGTGAGAGAGCAAAGAAGAAGAAGAAGCATAGTGCGCTGCAGAAGGGAGGGTACCATACTTTCTGTCTCATGTTTCCCACTTTCCCAGGTACTCCTGACGTGGCAGGGGTGTTTTTGTAGTTTCATACACATAAACCATCACACCACTTGAATGGATGACGTGGCAAGTGAACCCACTTCCACATGGATAAAAACATAATTAACTGTTCTAATAATTAAAAATAAATCAGAAAAAACATAATCCCCAAACCTTTGAGGCGATAAGAATTCATAGGAGGGCAAAGTTGAAAATTCATATTGAATTAAAGTGCTGTTATCATGAGTTAGCACATATCTGATATGACATGAATTAGAAGCACTAGAGTTTGCACGAGTCAGGACTCAGTCCCGTACAACTCTGTCTCACGTATGTCCATGTTCATTGAAATCCAGACAGTGAGAAGCTTCCTTTTCCCCCCCCTCCCCTGTCTTTTGCTGCTTCTACAACAGAACCACCTCTCAACTCAAAGACCCGGAAATTTTCTTCAAGTTTGTTCCCTTTGTCTGTAGCAGTTCTTCGACTTTTCTTTAGCACTTGAGTTGAGTTGAAGCGCCATATTTTATTGGGCATCAAAATTCAGCAGCACCCATAAAATTGGTTTTTGTTTTTTGGATTCTTTGCTGAAAGTTCACTTTTCTTCAATTTGGTATTGCTTTTGGGATTTAAAGGCGGTTTAAACTTTAAAACTTTTGGCCACCAAACGTTCTGTGCTTTGACTGACTGGTAGTGGTGGGTCAAATTACAGTTAGCAAGTAGAGCTGTCAATGATACGCGTATGCAACAGCTAAATTTCAATAATTTAGACCCTGTGTGGAGCTGTTTAAGGTTTTTGAAATTGAGGGACTGGTGGGTCTTGGTTGTTGGTTGGGCTTTCTTGGTTTCTCAGCTCTTCTCTCTGTTTTGTACTTGAGGTTCTTGGTTTTGGTTGATGTTGATATTGCCTCATGCTTTCAGATTCACTTTTTAGTGAATTCAAGAATTTGGATATTAGGAACTGAAACTAAGGTTGTTGGAGTTGTGGTTTCGTGGGCTTCGATTGCTCAAGCCTTGCAATAGGCAAAATGGGGAGTAATGGGGTTGACCATCCCTTGAAAGATTTGGTAGAGGAAAGTGTTAGCAGCCAAGAACAGAGTAAGGATTTTCAGCACGCTTGTGGAATTTATTATAAGTCACTAGAAATGGATAATATAATAAGTCTTCAAATGAACAATTTGGATGCAGGTTCTTTTCGGGAGGAGAGGAATCAGAAGACAAATTCTTCTAGGCACACTTCGGTTTTAGAGATTTTTCAGTCAAAGGAGATCAATGTTGGTTCTTCACCTCAGACACCTCAGAGAGGTTAGTGCCCACGTAGTCTGAGTTATTGTTGCTTTTCTTGTTTGTTATGCATTGAAGGACTTAAAATGAAGCTTTTTCCGGGAAGAGAGTTGATCAGGTTCTTTCTCTTTAGTGTGAACTATATGCTTCTAATAATTTCTAGACAATATGGAATTACTATTATTTGGCCGAGAAACTTGATATTGTCTCTACATAACCAGAGTTTGTTAATTTATTTGTATATACAATGGGAAAACGAAAACCAACAAAAGCAGCTATACCTTTGTAGTTATTACTGTATGTTTATCTATAGTTTAGTAATCAGAAATTACTTTGTGAAGTTCCTTCTAGATGTAACTAAGTGTTGGAACATGGAATATAGATGCCCAGATTGAAGTGGTAGAGCAAAACCAAAAAAGAAACAAAACATAAAACTTTGTGTGGTCTAAATCGTGGAAATAACTCAGACCGTAAAATTGAGGGATTTATATGATTATATCCACCATTATTGTTGTGGCCAAACTTATTACTAAGCTTGTAATTGGATCGGAGGATGACATGAATCTTATTATGATCCCATTAGTTGGATAGTCTGATTATGATCTGAACCAATAACCCAATTAGTAGGATGATATGATCAGAACCGTTAATCCAATTAGTAGGATGATATGATCATACTGACCCCCGATGTTGTTGGACTTTAACAGCATATTAGAACACCTTTACCGTATGTTATTCTGTTGTTTTAGTGTTTATCGGATATATGCTCACTGATACCTAAGCATATGTTAATGAAGGCTTGGACCATTACATCACTGCACCTATTGGCACTCCCAAAGGTTTACTAATTGAGGATCATGAGATTAAATTCTCTAGATCCATGACTGAGAAGAAGGGACTTCCCAGGCATGACTTCAAGCTGGATAGACTGTCAGATCGTGAAAAGGTAGATACCATCATCTGCAAGAGCTAGTTCATTGCCATACTCATGTTTGCATATAAATTTTTATTTGTCTAACTGCAGAAGGTACAAGAGATGTGCATTATTCATTACAAACATGCTTGTTTGGGCTAGTTTCTTTCATGCAACTACAACTTAATGCTGAATGTTGTTCCCTAATTTTATTTGCAAAGCATGAGTGTCCGACACCGTCCCTGTCTTACAGTATCTTATACTGTTTCCGAACCTGATGATTAAATAAGAATAATGACATAAATTGAGTTATATCACTGCTAAATAATTTAGTGGCTCCAACCACTGAGTCTGCTAGTTATCCTCCATCCTCCAAATCAGCATTAACAAAATTATAAATGTAGATGGTTTTATGTACTCTTGCACATTTTTGTGGTTCATTCTCCTCTTGGTTGATCATTATTTTCGTTTTGGTTTGCAGAAAAAATTAATTGTTGAGATGGTCAAGATACAAAATGATGGAACAGTAGAAGTTGATTTAGAAAAAAGTGCACCTGTTGCCTCTGAGTTGTTAGAGCTCCAGAGTATTGAAGATGTGCCTGTCAATCTTGATAATATGACTTCCAGTACTACCAAGTCAATTCCAAGGTTGAAAATTGCCATACTTGTGGTCGGAACAAGAGGAGATGTACAGCCTTTTCTGGCTATGGCGAAGAGATTTCAGGCATGTCTAACATAACTGGATGACTTTGTTTTGAATAGCTTACTTTTGATGCCACTGATTTCTTAGTATTTTCGTAGGTATTTGTAGTTATAAATATCATGATATGTCTTCAGTGTGAAAGAATTCCTTCAAAATCAACATTTCATCAATCCAGATTACATTTAAGATCCATGTAACCTTGGCATTCAGTTTGTACTTGTAATACAAATTTTTATTATACAGATGTTATGCAGATTCTACTTGATGTACTGGTTCTTAAGCAAGTGCAGATATTGTTGATATCTTTATGGTTAGGTGTTGTTTTGTTGGTCCAATGAGTGCATTCTGAAGCTTAGTTTTGTACCACTGTTGTGATATATTGCGTCTCAAAGTTTTGGGCTAAAAGGATGTGGATAGGTTAATGATTGTAACGTTGTCCTTGCTATAAAATAATGTAGGGTACCTACCTTATTGTCTACATTTATTTTCTCCATGGTATAATGATTTTAGATGGTTTGATGTTTTCTTGCAGGAGTTTGGCCATCATGTTAGGCTGGCAACTCATGCTAACTTCAGTGCTTTTGTAAAGTCGGCTGGTGTAGACTTTTATCCTTTGGGTGGTGATCCTCGTGTTTTGGCAGGATGTAAGAGGTCCCTAATGTTAAAAATACTATTTTGATAATATATTGCAAATTATCTTATTTTTGTGGCGATATTGTTGGTAGATTCTCTTCCTGTGTCCCTGTCTATTTTGCCTGATATGTGGTCAGTTCTACCATGTGATTCTTTAGAGGTGTGACAGAAGCATTAATAATTTTCTGGCTCATGCTCCCTCTCCCTCTCTCCATAATTTCTTATGAAAGTCAATCTGTAAAAGTTTGTGTGAAACTCGAGTTAAATATTTGATTGTTGACTACTTTAGAATTACTAACTTCTATATTTTTTTAGCCAAAATTGAAGATTTTTCATTGCTTGGACTTTAAATTGAAGGACAATCTTTAACACGTCTAAATATATTTAATGTTATCACATCCTCCCCTCAAGTTCTTTATTGAATAACTGAAATTCAGTGCCTTTTAATTTTAGATATGGCCAGAAACAAAGGTCTCATTCCATCCGGGCCAGCAGAAATATCTATACAGAGAAAGCAACTGAAGGCAATTATTGAATCTCTTCTTCCAGCCTGCACAGAACCAGATATAGAAACTGGTGTGCCTTTTAAGGCACAGGCAATAATTGCAAACCCTCCTGCTTATGGTGAGTTCTCACAAGTGGAATATTTAATGTCACTTCAATTGAGTTATATTTTCTTTAAGTCAGTATGTATTGCTGTCTATGCCAGGGTTTTAGAATGAACTTTTATTGACAATAGAATTAGAAGTTGTGTTCTTAGCTTATGATTTGGTCCTGTGTGTTTCTCTAAATGTTGTGTCACTTGTGTAAATGTTAACACTTCATTTCAGACTTCTTGCGTCTTACCTCATCTTTTATTACTGGACCATGCCATTCTAATCAAGTTTAATTGAAACTCTAGACCCTCCCTTACATTGGGTGCAGGGTCCTGTCAAGCTTGAAATCAGAATAGTTTCCCCATTGATCTAGGGGAATAGCACAGTGGTTGGAAGCCATGCACTGAAATATAGACTTAGTAACAGATGGTTGTATAACATATTGGGCCTGGCCCAGTTACAACTTGGAAGTATAACTATTTATTGGAGAATGAGACATTATTTCTAGTGCGGCTATTAAGAGTAAATAGATGTCTCCGTGGTTGCTAATTCCTTAAAGTCAAATAGTTTTGGTGGAATATGTTGTCTGAGGAGAGAGGAACTAAGTCTTAACCTTATCCTCCTGTTATATAAGAATATATGAACATATTCTTAACCACTTCTTGTCTTGCAGGACATGCTCATGTTGCTGAAGCTCTTGGAGTACCCCTTCATATTTTCTTCACAATGCCATGGACGTGAGTTTTGACCAGTTCTTTTCTTGCATTCTTTTGATACAGAAAAAACACCGTTTACAAATTGAATGTTCTTTGACAAATTGTGAAACATAAATCTTGGATAATTTTCAGGTGAAAAAAAAAAAAAAAAACTTTCCAATGATTGGAACCGCCCATTTCTTAGGTTCTCTTCTAGGAATCATCCATGCAAAAGATCAGCCAAACAGAAAATTGTTTAGCCATTTGATTGCAATGAAAGTAATTTTGGTTTTAGCTGACGGATTGTTCGAAAAATTTAGATGGCGAAACAGTTACTGGTTTGGTGAGTTTTTACATGGATGATGCTTAAGGAGCGACCCAAGCAACAGACCTTTCTAATCATTGAATTGCATTTCAGGGTGACCCAAGAGAGGATGTTCACATGTATCTTAAAATGCAAACATCCTCACTTTAGGGGCTTACATATGTATATTGCATGCATGTATCATGTCAACTTTTACTTCTCCTGAAGAATCTATATTTCTAAACTAGAGCGATGCTTGGAATAATATTTGTACTAAGTCAACAATAAGATGGCCCAGTTTCACTTGTTTACACATGTCTTGTCTACATGAGTAGATTAATAATATCCATGTGTATGTGTCTCAAGTAATGTTCTTTTGGAAGACAATCTGACATGTTGTGTTTCACCTGTCAATCTTCTGGACCACTCATTCAAACAAGAATCCACTTGAGAAGTTGTTCAAATTGACAGTCGGAAAATATGGTAGACTGTTTAATTAGAGAAAGTTTCCCTATATGTATATTCAGTACCATTCTAGTAAGAGGCTAAAAAAAGAGGCAACACAAGAGGTGATCGTAGATTGTTAGGTCCAGGATTAAAACACTTTCATGGATGGGATCAGAATGCTCCCATTTTGAGCCTTTTGATCTTCACCAGTGTTTGATATCTAAGAGCCAGGTTTACCTCCATAAGTTTCTTCCTTAGTTTAGATCTTAGAAAGTGTCAAGTGAAGTGTTGCAAATATAATTATTACTTAATATATACCACCCAGAAGCAGAAAAGGTTGGAAAAGACTTTCTCAGTCACATGGACTACATTGATGTTTTAAGTTGACATGTATGAAATTACTCAAGAGATTCTAATTAATGGAGTTTAAATATTTTATGCTCTTATTTATTATTATTTTTCCAGTAGCATGTGAATACTGGTTTATTTCGATTGGAACTCTTTTCTATGTTATGCCATCTTACCTATCTTTTCTATAGGCAGGCCTACTTATGAATTTCCTCACCCACTGGCACGTGTACCTCAAAGTGCTGGTTATTGGGTATGCTCTTTGTTTAGTGTTCTATTTCTATTTATTTTATTGTCATATTTTTTGAATTACTGAACTAACTTCATGACAAATTTATTCCCATTTGTCTTTGCCACATCCAGCTTTCATATATTGTTGTGGATTTGCTGATATGGTGGGGCATTAGGGGATATATTAATGATTTCAGAAAAAAGAAGTTGAAGCTTTCTCCTATTGCATACTTCAGCACATACCATGGATCAATATCTCATTTGCCAACAGGCTATATGTGGAGCCCTCATGTTGTGCCAAAGCCAAGTGGTAAGTCATTGTGTTAGTCACTGCCAGTGTGAATGTGTGCTATGTTTATGCTATATTTGAAAGTTTAATGGAGTTCGTCTCAATGTGAATATAACAGCTGTCATTTGACACCCTCCACTGTCTTAGTCACTGCCAGTGTCAATGTATGCAATGTTTATGCTATATTTGATGGAAGGTTTGACAATGTATAAAACTTGCAGATTGGGGACCTCTTGTGGATGTCGTTGGTTATTGTTTCCTAAACCTTGGGTCAAAGCATCAACCTCAAGATGAATTTGTTCGTTGGATTCAGAAAGGGTCGAAACCTATATATATTGGCTTCGGAAGCATGGTATGTGATCTCATGTATGAAGTGATTCAAGTTGTAGTGTGTATTCCTTTTTTATTTTTTGTTTTATTCATAAATTTTCTTCTGTTAGTTTCTTGTCAATTTTTTCCTTCAAAAGTATCACAATTAGAAGAGAGGCTCTTATACTCTAAAAATATATAAGCTCCTGTACATGATGCTATGTTATAATCAAATCTTATATCAAATTTGGAAGGACTGGTGGGAATTAACCTTGTTCCTAGAAAATGGACCGTTATCTCTTCTAATATTGTATGTATCTTCTGTTAACGAAGTTCCAAGGGCTCTTTGAGTAGCTTGACAACCGTACTAATTAATTTCCAAAAATGATAATGTTCCTACCTTTGCATATAGTGTAGACTTGAATTTTCTACCTCTAGATATTTCTGTCCTTACGTGGAATCTGGATGATAATTTATGGACATAATAAAGTATTTTTCTTTTGAAGAGGGAGGCGGGATATGTATAGATGGATTGCTTTTTTTGTGCTGTTTTAGTACTTTGATATCCATCTTTCTTTCTGTAAACCTTTTAATTCTTTCATGATTCACATTCGTGGCTGATAAAATCATGTTTTCATCATGACTTTTGAAAGCACTAAAATCTGAAACTACACCTGTTGCTTGTTAAGCCACTTGAGGACCCCAAGAAAACTACGGAGATTATATTGGAGGCATTGAAAGATACAGGACAGAGAGGAATAATTGACAGAGGTTGGGGGGACCTGGGGAATTGTAAGTGTCTATTCTTTTTCCAATAAAATTTCATGCTTTAATCTGATATTCCTTGGAAATTCCACAGTATTTTATAGTTCTTTACATATTATGCACTTTGGTTTTCTAATCAGTGTCCATGTTGATATAGAACTGGACTATATCGCCATTATAATTGGAATCATTTCCCTTTTTTTAATTAATTTCTGTTGCATCTTTTGGTAAGAAACAGTAGAGTTAATAAAGGTTACATCTTTTGGGATGATACTTTTGTAAGATTTGGAATTTGATTGGGGTCATGATAGCATTAAAGTTAGCAGGTCTGTAAACCCTACTGTTCATGTATGCTTTCTCTTAGACATATGCTCTCTCTCTCTCTCTCACACACACACACACACACATTTTTTTATTTCCTTTGTTTGTTTTGAATGCCAATTTGACTATTCATGTTAGTTTTTGTATTTTCTGTCCGATTACATGTTTGTTGTAATGGTTACGTCAAAGATTGTTCCCATAATTTATTGGTTTATATAATGCCTATTGTTCACATATGCTTGCCCTTGGACATACTCTCCCATTTGTTTGTATTTCCTTTTTGTGTTTCGAATTTCAATTGATTATTCATGTTACTTTTTGTATTTCCTATCAAATTACATGTTTGTTATAAGGGTATTTTTACCCCAAAAAAAAGAAAGGAAAAAGACAATCAGTTGTAGTCGGTTGTTTTGCATTAATGATAAAGCATCTGATATGCTTTTGTCTAATTTGATTTCCATGTTGCAGTTACAGAAGCATCTGATAATGTTTTCCTATTGGAGGACTGTCCTCACGATTGGCTGTTTCCTCAATGTTCAGCAGTGAGTTGTATTTTTTTTTTTTTTTTTTTTTTTTTTTTTTTTTTTTAAGGGACCTTTTAGATGTAGGTGAATTTTTTTAATTTTTTTGACAAAAAAAAGCTTTTTTCATTTTTTTATTCTTTAAGAAATTGTTAGTTTTTAGTCTACAGATTAGTAGTAGGTTTCACTTTTTGTTCTTTTTTAACTAATTATTACTCCTGTAATCTTTAGAGAAACTGGAAAATTTCCAAGTGCCATACAGTAACAAACTGTGGGTAAATCAATTGAGAAAAAATTGTAGAGATTGATTATTACTGCATGTTTTTGTTAAATATCTATTGTTTAGAGTTTGGGGATGGTCAGCTAACTTGAAGCTATACTACCACTAATATGCAGGTTCATCACGGTGGTGCTGGAACCACAGCTACAGGATTAAGAGCTGGGGTAAGATTCTTTTCAGTCGGTGTGGTTGTTCTGATATCCATACTTTCTGGGATAATGGATGCATTATCTTTACATGTTTCTGAGACTTTTTGGCATCAACCCACCTGGCCTGTGGCTGAGGTGGTAAAGGTTGAGTGGAGTTGGGGTGGTTTCTTGATTCAAATCTTGCCAAGCCGAGAAAGAAAAGAAAGTATTTTGTGATCAATGTTTTGAAGAGTACTTTGAATGAGTCAACATATTATGTGATACAAGATAACTTTTAGTCACATAATATGTTACACAACTTTCTTAATTTCCGTTATTTGTTTTTATGAGTTACTGTGCATAGCTCTCTCAAGTCAACTCTATTCTTTAATCTATGCTTTATTATTGTATATTTGCTAGTTTAGTCTTTGTAAGATTTAACGGATCCTCCACTTGAGAAGAATATATTAAGAAAACTCACAAAATCTTCATGGTATTAGTGCAAGTCATCCATGTGTTGGGCCTAATGGCCACATGTGCTCCCACCTAGGAACCTCACCCATTTAAGTTGTCCACATTTTTGGCTTGAATGCGACACACACGTAAGGGGCTTGTTAAGACTATCATCCAACAAGGGTAAGTGGAAGCCTTGCATAATAGTCTAGAAGATCTTAGGCGTCTCCATCCATTTCTGTGTGGTCTTGGGTTGGATAATAGTCTCAATGATCTGTGACAATTAAAGCTATTTTTACCTGTTAGATATATTTATTTATTTGTTTATTATTCGAAGGGAGTTGAAACTTGTTGGAGATGATCTAACAGCACTATTTTACAATGTACAGTGTCCAACAACCATAGTGCCATTCTTTGGAGATCAGTTTTTCTGGGGTGAGAGGATACATGAGAAAGGCTTGGGGCCTGCACCAATACCTATTTCTCAGCTCAGTGTCGAGAGCCTTTCAAATGCTATCAGATTCATGCTGGAGCCAGAGGTATTTCTAATTTCTATTTCTGCCTATTTTATCTAGAAAACATGTTAGCTTGAAAATTATTTATCATCTGAATGAAGAAATTGATGGGTGCAGTACAATATGGAAATAATTATACCATTTTAAATATTATGGCATTCATTATTCTAGTTATTTTCCAAAGTTGTGACAACTTAAGATTGCTTTTCATACCTAATATTTCTTAATTCTTATTGAATCAAATACAACCTAGCTATAGATTTTATTCATGAAGAGATTACACATGCATGAGAGTGTGTGTGTGTGTTTTTTGGGTGTTACAACCACTGGACCCCCAACAGATTAAACTGTTAAAGAATGAGTTAACAATGTATATCGAGCTCACACATTCCTTCATGTATTGCCCCATCTTGCACGTGGAGAGGCTTATTATATAGGTGCAGCCTCACCTTGCACTTTGCAATCAACAAATTACTGGAGATGAGAATTGGGGGGTTTGAACACGAGGCCTCCTGCAACAAGTGCTCTTTCTGACACTATATTAGACAACAAATAAACCACTAGAGCTTAAGCAATGGGCCAAACAATGCATATCAAAGATGTTTTCGCAATGTTTTGCTCATTTTGACCTGAATTATAGTTTCTTAACTAAAAACACATAGCTCCCATGGAATTATGTGTATTATTTGGGTGAAGATGATCGCTTTTAAAAACACAAAAACAGAGTCCTTTCATAATCTTTTTTTGTTTTTTTTGTTTCCATAATCCCAAAACAAGTCACTTGTTTAAGTTTCATATTGAACTACATTATGTGAGCATAACAAAAGATTTCTTTAAACTTGAGTATTTTCAGTCCAGATCACACACGATGCATTGTCTACCTGCTTGAACAGTCGCTTACATAAACAACTGGAGAATATTACCAAATTAAAATGACATTTAGAGATTCCAGAGATGTGCATGTATGTTTCATTGTATTGTAAATTAAGGAAGAATATCCTAAGGCTGTAAACTCCCATAATATGAAAAAGGAAGAAAGCATTCTATTGTTATTTTATAGTTGGTCTTGCATCTGGCAATTTAAATGTAGTGTCTTGAAGTCAAAGAATATGTGAAATTATGTGGCTATACTTTGAGCAGTAGTAGCATTAGTGGATAAGAGGTCATGTGGTTGCTATGAAAATATTGCAGCAACATAGCAACACCATGCAGTTGTTCTAACCAGGGCTTTACATCTTAGGTTAAATCTCGGGTACTAGAAATAGCAAAGTTGATAGAGAATGAAGACGGTGTAGCTGCTGCAGTTGATGCGTTTCATCGGCAGTTACCTCCTGTGCTACCAATGCCAACTTCATCTTCAGAGGAAGATGAACTTCCAAACCCTTTGGTGTGGTTCTTTCTTCAACTTGAGAAGTGGTGCTGCCTGCCATGTGGTTTGTAGGATTCTTGCTGTGTCTTGTACTGTTGTACAGATATGTTTCTTCTTCATTTTTTATAATTTTTTTTTATAGTCATATCATTTTAATTTGGTGTTTCATTCATTTCATTCATGGCTTCCCTGTGTGGGTTTGATTGATAATATTGTTTACAAGCTAATGTAGGTTTCTCACAGCTTGTGTAACAGAATTAGATTGCACCAAACTTCATTTTCAGTTAGTTAAACTGACAAAATAAGAATATAACTGTGCTCAATCGAGCTCAATTATTTAAATCAATTTTTTGGTTCCCAGCCTTTCATTATTTAGTGCTGTGTTGGTGTTGATTGACCTATGAAATATAAATACCGGGTCTTGCACAAAAACCTGCTTGAATATTTGCTTTGTTATTTTGATGCTGTATCCCAATCTTCTCCAACCATGTTTTGCAAGCACACAATCATAGGACGGTGGACAGGGCCAATTGAGTTTGGCCGTCATGGCTTGTTTTGTTATTCGTGGACACTGATTTTACATATTCCCGGGTAACATTTAGTTTGTCTAATTATCACCCAGAACTGTGTTTGTACTTGTCACGTACATTTCTTGAAAATTTCCTGATTCTACTTCTTGAGCTTTCCATACTTTCCCCAAAGGAAAAAGAAAGAACAAAACATACTTGTGGGTTTGAAGAATTACCTGTAACAGATTGATAAATGTGTTCGAAGGCATATACAAAGTGATGTTTGCTTGTAGATACCCGGTAACATGTCAGATAGTTCATTACATATTGAGTTTGTTTGAATCTCTTGGAGAACGGTAATCATGTGACATTCTAGAAACTGCTTATATGAGTCAACAATTCTGTCGCACCTTCACATAGTTCATTTAGAAATTTAGATTTCCAGAACATTTTTGCAGTTTGTTCATCTTTTTAGCACAGGTTGAATAAGAAATTTATTGATTGTACGAGTTGTTTACTTGGTAGCTGGAGGCTGAGATCACAGGCAATTTTAGTTTATACATTATAAAGGTGCTACTAAACCCTGTATGATTTGCACTCATAAAATCTACTTTAAGCGAAATAGAAGAGGGAGAAAGAGTTGTAATAGTTCTAGTCAAACCATAGCTTTGTACTTCAATAAATAGACTGATATATAGATAGATAGATAGACACTGTAACAGCGTACTTTAGCTATAGTAAATAGAAATATTCTACAAATCCCATCATTTTTTGTAAAGTTTGATCTCTTTCCACCGTGATTCCATGTAGTTGCTCGAGTTTTCTGGTGCAGCATATACTCCGAATTTGAAATACAGGTCCCCTGGTCCCTGATCTTTCACCACAAACTTTTTCACACCATCGATGAAAACTATTATCTTCCCTTTGTCAACGTTGTGGATTATGTTTACTCTGAACCACTTATCATAGAGATTGGTAGCTACTACGTTGTATTTGTAGTATTTGATATCTCCATCATACATCCTTAGTTGTAGAGATGTAGCTCCCTCAGCTGCACCATGGATCTGCACTATTGTAACCCCAGAAGTACCACTCGGCACAAATGCATAGCCTTCGAATTGCCAAATCCCAGAAGAATAGTCATGACCCTGCAAGAAAACCCGAGTGAGACAACTTGTTATTGCCAAAGGAAGGAGTTTGGGGGGGCAGGGAAGTAGAGAGAGAGAGAGAGAGAGAGAGAGAGAGTACCGTTATGCGCGCTTCCGAACGGGGCCTAGTTGTGCTATCGGTTTTGAATGGCTTGTCATGGTTGTAGATCCAGAAACTTCGAACTCCATCCTTGTCACTGTAACGATCATCGAGGGGTTCGTTGTAGGGTTTCTGTAACTTGAAGTTCTCTTCTGTTAGTGGCACAAGGGTGAATCCATCAGTAGGATCAGCAGCACAAATATAGCGGTACTTCAAGATCAATAGGATCAAGCACAGGAGCTTGCCGAAGAAGGAATTCATTTTAATGCAATTTAAAGGCAACATGGAAGTAATGGAAATTGAGGCTGTGGAAGATGGATACCAACCTAGAATATGGTAAAGCCTATTTATAGGAACAACTTGATAATTGCTTTCATGCTTTTGTTTCTGTTCTTTTGGTGCTATTGATTATGACAAACTCCACCAGTTGAAATTCTATGCATATCTTTCTTTTTGTGGTCAATCAAACTGAGTGGTAATTACATGAGGCATCTAGTTTTTTTTTCCCAGATAGAAGCAATATTGAGGAAAGGGGAAATCGAACATAGGACCTCGAGTGTTGGGGTAAATGCTCTTAACCACTTAAAAACATCCCTTTTTTTTTGTTAAACTTGCCCCCATCAAATATTATATCATTAGTAACATGATTAAACAGGGAAGTGAATTAGATATTGTTAATCTTGACGTGGGTTTGCTTCCACTAATCCAAAATAATTAAGCCAAAGTTTAATTAATGCTGTTTGTGCTTATATAATTATTTATTTGTCATATGCGTCAACTTATCGTATGAATATTGCCTTGTCGGATCCTTCAATCCAGAAATAGCATTCCCCTCTTCCTCCCTCCCTCCTCAAATATTCAAAAGAGTAGTTGGTCATGCCAACACAGCAGTCTGCCATAAGTCCTTGTTTCATTTTCCTTTTCTTCATTCAATTCACCAAGCATATTTTTCCAGCCAATAAAACAAAACAATCTTATTATATAGGGTTTTACCATAAAAGGACAAATAGGAGGGTACAAAGACAAAATGGTCCAACCCCTAAAAAATTGGACAAATGAGTCTAGACACTATCCGACAGTGACATGAAATAAACTCTTAGTCATTTACTGAGAGTGACATTGAACAACTCTCAGGTCACTGTTCGATAGTGATATAAGAGTTATTTCATGTCACTATTTGGATTGATTTGTCCAATTTTGGAGGAGCTGGACCATTATAACATTTTGTCTTCGGTGAAGGGCTTTTTTTTTTCATAATCATTTTCCGTTATTATATTAGTTGTTATAATAACATTGTTTTTCCAGTATCAGCCGACTTTGATTTGTCATTATATTCTTTCTTTGGTGATATGAGAAGTAAATCCCAAACTCTTCTTCAGGCAGCCAAGGATCAAAATTGTGATTCGGCCCAAAACCGCCTTGCCTCTTGGGCTTCCTAGAGTTAAAGACGGACGGAACATACCTCATACTTCGATGAAAATGGTGACCTTTCCAGCACCAACACTGTGAATGACATTGAGTCTGAGCCATTTGTCGTAGATATTTGAAGCCACCACATTGTTTCCGTAGTACTTGAGATCCCCATTATAGACCCTCAGTTGCAGTGTTGTAGCTTCAGTCGCTGCACCATCGATCTGCATTATTATGACGCCCGAGCTGCCTTGTGGCACATAGAAATTGCCCTCAAATTGCCAAACTCCAGATGTGTAGTCATATCCCTAGGAACAAAAAAGAAAAAACAAATTTGTTGCGTGAAAAAAATCGATCGACTTGTTAGAAATTGTGCGGATCAAATACAATACACACTTGTTTCGAGATAAAATTCAATGCCTAAGCACACTAGACGGAGTCAAGAATTTTCATAAGGATGGGTTATGCATATTATTTTTCTTCATTTTAGGAGCTCTTAGGGTAAAGTACTGATTTTTACCAAGGCAAAGATATGTGTCCACTCCACAACGACGACGTCTAACGGAGGGCACTTTCGTATTAATAAAGAGAAATTGGTCTTCTTATCCCATGAAAATAACACTCTTGTTCTCATTTTATTTTTTATTTTAAATCTTTTTAATGTGAATATTGTTATTTATAATATTATCCTCCCATTTCTTTTAAAAACATTTACATTAACTAATATTTCTTAATTCAAAAAAATTTCACCTCTATTTATATAAAGGCAGAGAGTCTTCAGACCTTTTTATTATTTCAAAAGGCAGATTATAAAGTTCATTGAAAAAACAAAACCAAATTGGCCCGCGCGCGTGAGGATAACATAAAGATAAGAGAGCTACTACCTAACTTTTAACTTACAACTAAGCCGACTTTGGTCAAAGGCGCTCATGGACAAGTAAGATTCATTGACGCCGTAAATGACAAGGCTTGTACATATTGAAATTGGCAACTTGACAAATGGGCAAAGAAATTGGAATGTTACCATATTTTGGTTCCAAATGAGAAGTGAATGTTACCCTCATCTAGGGGATAACAGCAAATTAAACTCTCACACACACATTATACGGATACTAAGTTCCGATTTCAGCACCTTTATTTGAGAGAGCAATTGCTCCAAACCGCTACACTAGTGGATCTTTTAGTATAGATTGAATTAGAATGATACGAAGCATTATATTATTAGATGGCAGAGCATGTGCAATACCTAACTCAATTGCTTCAATATATATCAAGTAACTTGGTCTAATCTAATGTGATGGCAGAGCATGTGCAATACCTAATTCAATTGCTTCAATATATATCAAGTAACTTGGTCTAATCTAATGTGAACTCGTTTGGGAGTGCTTTTGGAACTGTTGAAAGCGCTTTCTGACAATCAAAAGCACTTATGACAATGTTTGGCAGACAAGTTTAAAAGCATTTTTGGGCTATAGAAGTGCTTTTTGGAGAAGCACCTGTCATGTGCTTCTTCAGGAAGCACTCTCAAGTGCTTTTCCAAGAAGCACTTTGAATTTTTATGAAAATTTCAACGTCCTTATAATAAAAGCGCTTTTGGTAAAAGCGCTTATACGTAGAAGTGCTTCCTAGAGAAGCAATCCCAAACGAGCCCTAAAGATGGACCTGCCGTTTCAATTCAATACCCACAGTTTTCTTCTAATAATTGCAGCAACGTAGTCTAAAGGCAATCTAAGTTAGGCAATGACTCCTAAAAGTTTAAATAGATAAAAGTCATGCCCATTAATGGACCATGCTGCTGTTGACCGCATCTCATATCTACACTATAAATATATTGAGCTTCATGCGCATATATGCATATACATCCTACAGAATGAAAATGGCTTCTTGCTTAAAGAAGGTGGTGTTTTTGCTGCTCTTGAGCTCTTTGGCAGCCCAGCAGCATTTATGTGCTGCGGATCCCACTGATGGCTTCACCCGTGTGCAATTCACGGACGAAAACCGCATGTTACAGAAACCATATGACAAAGCTCCTGAGGATCGTTACAGTAAGGTGGATGGAGTTGAAAAGTTCTGGATCTACACCAATGACAAGCCCTTTAAAGAAGGCAGTCCAACCAGACCACGCACAGAAATAAGAATCACTGTAAGATTTTATATTGTTGGTTTAATTTCTCTAGCGTTAGGGTTCTAACTTTTATCTCAAATTAAAATAATATAGTTTATTTGTTACACAATTCCTAGCAAGTTGATATTTTTTTTATTTTCCTGCATGGATTTTGTTTTATAGGGACATGACTACACTTCTGGAGTTTGGCAATTTGAAGGCAACTTTTTTGTGCCACAAGGCACCTCGGGGGCTATAATAATGCAGGTCTTTGGTGCAGCCACTGAAGCTACAACTCTGCAACTAAGGGTCGTTAATGGGGATTTGAAGTACTATTGGAAAAATGTGGTAGCTGCTAATATCTACAGTAGATGGGTTAGACTGAATGTGATTCACAATGTTAGTGCAGGGAAAGTGACAATTTTTATCGACGGTGACCAGAAGTTAGTCGTCAACGATCACGGTCGAGCTACTTTTTACTTCAAATATGGAGTTTATGGTGCCTTATCTGGTTCAAGTGACTACATGGAATCAAGATGGAAGGGAATCAAACTTTTCAAAAAATGATAGTTTTGTTATCATTGTAATTTCGACTTTCACCGTTTCATTTCAAGTTACATATACATGACAGAAAAATAAGTAAACCAATAAAGCTTGTGATCATGAAACCTAATCTTAGTACATTTTAACTTGTGTATGTATGTTCTTTTTTTATTATCAATGAGCAGGAAGTTGGTCCGTTTCTTATGGTTAATCTAGGCTTAGCCAAACCGATTGATCACTAGACTTGTTTGGTTTGGTTCGGTTATCTGTAGTCTAGTTTAAGGTATAAATTGAAATCAGTAGAAACTCAGGTATTGTATTGATTCGGTGTGTAGTTTGAGGCACTAAGGCCATCTCCAGACATAGAGCTACCTGTGGTATCCTCTACTACAGGCCCAAGTAAGGATCTGTCAGTGGATGTACTTCAAATGAGTGAAACAATCTGGAGAGCATAACTTTATAGGGTAAAGTCTACATATTAGGCACATGTGCACAAGCCACTGCGGGATCTTTTTCAATAAATAAGGTTTTTATGACCTCCAAAATGTTTCAAACAACTATATATAGGGTTTTTAGGTCTAATGGTCCATGAACTTTGACCCGATTCGCATTTTGGTCCATCAATTTCCAAAATCATTCCCGTGGTCCTTCAACTTCATTTTTGTTAGGAGAAATGGTCTTACCGTCAATTTTGTTATTTTTTCTGTTAAATGCAGGGTGAAAATGGTATTTTTGTATTATTTTTAATTTATGCACCCATTTTCTTCCTCTTCTCTCTCCAGCATCCATCCCTCTCCTCCATTCATGTTTCTCAATTCGTAAAAATTATGCAACTCTGTTGCTTTCTTTCTTCAATCACTCCTTCATCACCTATTGATTTCTCCCCTTTTTTTTACCTAATATATTTGGTCCCTGTAGTCTGGCACTTCAAGGATTTTGGGTTGACGAAATTGCCTCTTGCACTGTCAAATAAATTGACAGGAATACTTACTTGTCCTTGAATTGTTACAAATATGAAACTACAGGGTTAAACTTGACAGAATTGAAACTACAAGGTCAAAAGTGGTTGAAGTGCCAAACTATGGGGACCAAAAGTGACTTTTAGCCTATTTAAATTGAAGATGAAAAAAATGAGAGGAGAAAATGGGTGCATAAAATATTTGTAAAATTTTTAATTGAAACTTAAATTGGTTTCCAACTATCAGTATTTTATATTTATATCAAAGTTTAGGGACCACTAAACCTAAAAACCCACTATATAAATGAATTAGCAATCTCATTGCTCCATGGTGCCGCCTCAAAAATAGCAATCTCTCCATGATGATTAAATCCCACAAACATTCCAAATGAAGGATTTGATTAATTAGTTTTATAAATGGTGTCAAATTTTGAGCAAAAAAATGTGGAAATGATGAACCAAAAAATCAACTATGGCTACTTCATTAATTTGTAACAAAAACTTTATAGGGTCAAACCGCGTTTTGGCTCTACTTATTTTTTGAAATTATTTTCCAATAAAGAAGCAGACAAGTTTTTAAAACACACATTTACTTTCTCGTTTTTGTTTTCCTCGGAGGTTTACGCGATGATTTTAGAATGATCATGTGGCACAATTTTGACCACTGGATCTCTTTAATTAAAGATCGTGATTAGAAATTTGGTATTCGGTATGAAAAAAAAACTGGCAAGATGAGAACAAGCACAACATGTAAAGAATGTTTGGTTGAAAGATTTTGTTGTATTGACAATAGCGGAGTACAGCAAAATATATACTACCAATATTACAAAGTCACTGTAGCGTGATCCTCAATCCTAGGGATTGATTTGGATTTGTCTACCTATATCAAGTAAACTACCCTGTGTATGGCTATAATTGAAATATTACAATAATAACATATCAATTACAATATATTATTCTAATACTCCCCATCAAGTTGGAGAGTGAATGTTATGAAGTCCCAACTTGCTGCTTAATCTAGTGTAGTCGTTCTTTCCCAAAGGCTTCGTAAAAATTTTTGCTAACTAAGCATGGGAAGGAACATATGAATGAGAGATTAGTCCGGCTAGCAGCTTTTCTCGAACAATGTGACAATCCATTTCAATATATTTGGTGTGCTCATGGAATACAGGGTTCGCAGCAATATATAAAGCAGCTTAATTGGCACAATATAAAGAAGTCGGGTTAACCTGAGGGACTCTCAGATCATGTAGTATGTATCATAGCCAAGTGAGTTCCAAACAAGTGTTAGCCATGGCTCGATACTCTGCTACTACGGATGAACGAGAAACGTGTTGTTGCTTTTTGGATTTACATGAGATGAGAGAATTTCCCAGAAAAATACAAAAACCTATGACATATTGTCTTGTGGTACGACAACCGGCATGGTCTGAATCACAGTAAGCTCTCAAAGCAAGATTGTTAGATGCAGGAAATAATAAGCCTTGACCTAGAGAATGTTTGATGAATCTAAGAACACGAAGTGCTGCATCCCAATGTGGTTTTCTAGGCTCATGCATGAATTGACTCAATGTCCGAACTGAATATACTATGTTGGGCCTTGTTATAGTGAGGTAGATCAAACG